TAGCACGGATATGTAAGCGCCCACGAATATTTCCTCCTCTAAGTCCTCGAAACAAAGCTGACCTCTATTGGCTCACCAGGTCATAAACAGTCATATCTAAACGTAAATAGTTTCGAAACCAGTACCCTGATAAACGATTTCATTCTTCAGAGCTAACAAATAAACGTCTGAGATGAACGTTCATGAGTTTGTTTGGGTTTCAAACCCAAGGTCAAACTGCCAGCACTCACAAAGGAAGCACGTGGCTTGCCTCTAAAAATTATAACATTTGGCCAGCTCAGCTTGCTACTTGATGCCAATAATTATAACATTCGGCCGTTAAAGGTTTACGAGCACTCAAATGACGGTCTGAGTTCAAAAGTTCTCTCACACGCATCACATTTTCATCGGTGGTGCTTGTTGATGGCTGTCCAGCGCAGGCTTCATCGCCGACCTCTTCACGGCCTTCTAAAAAGGCCTTGTGCCACCGGTAGACCTGACGTTCCAACAGACAATCATCACCAAAGGCCGTCTTTATCATGGGAAATGTTTCCACTGCAGACTTGCCAAGTTTCACACAAAACTTGATGGCAATCCTTTGTTCCAAGGAGCGCTGCATTGCAGCTTGCACGGGAGACAAAAATGAGTTTCACGGAAAAGCCTTTCGTCACTCTCAGGAAGTTCAGAGACGACTAAGCAACCGCGCGTTCATAAGCTGACTTCCCCCTCCACCGATCCCAACCGGTCTGAGCGCACTGCGACATATAGTCACTTCACAATAAAATCACTGCTGAAAATTGAAGTCCCTTATGCGCACTATTTCGAAATGTGCCACTTTTTGCTGAGCACCTGCACATATCCTCTCCAGCGTGTAACCGTCCTTATTTGCCACGGTGCTCTCCCCAACCTGGAAACAAACAAAACAAAATTAGAATAAAGTATTTTCAATAGCAACTTATTGCCCCCATCTTGAGTGACTTGTGCTGTGTACAAATCCCTCAAGTATGGGGGCAATAAGTTGCTATGAAATAGCATCTTTAAACACATTCCTGTAATGCAAATAATAAAAACATTACCAATATATATTCTGTTTTCATGTACAAGAACCATAGTTAATGTGTAAATCCCAGTTTACCATGTATCAGAAGACTTTTCTGAATCATACTATCAAATTACTGTTTCGACCAGTATGCTGGTGGGCACGCGGTAACATGGTTGAGGCACTACAAGCTGGAAGGTCGCGGGTTCAAGTCCCAATGAGGTCAATGGATTTTTTTTCAATTGACCCAATCCTTCCAGCCACACTATGGCCCTGGGGTCGACTCAGCCTCTAACAGAAATGAGTACCAGGAATATTCTTGAAATATTCTTGTGGGTAAAGGGTGGCCAGCACATGAGGCTGACAACCTTGCTGCCATCTATGGGCCGATTGTCTAGAAAATGTGGGAACCTCAACATCTCACAACCCTATGGGTCTCCACGACCTGTTACGGGGACACTTTTACTTTTTTTTTTGCCAGTATTCATTCTGTCACTGCAGATAATTTAAGTAATCAGACACAATCATTTTCAAACACTGAAACTTTTCTAGCATAATTTACCTAAGAATGAACCAATGGTAGTAAGTTTAATTTAAAGCACAACAGACCACTGTAGATCGCAGTGCAAGGGCCAAGAAGGCCTACTCCTCATACATTCAAGTTTATTTTACTTAATGACTGACTGCAAAGTTTGGAGATTGGTGATATTCATGAGATCTAAGTCTGAAGAACGCCTATACTGAGATTTATCAACCTCCTTCCCTTAAAACAGATCATAGCTACAGCCTTTCCAGTGCATCATTCATAACTGCCCTACCACCCAATGGTAATGTAACCTACACAGGTGTAAAACCACTGCTGACTAACAGAAGTGTAAGGTGCATATCAATCTCTTTTTTCCGGACCACATCTGTAAGTATGTTTACAATGTGCAATAAGCATTTCTGCTTTCCATTCAAAAGGGTCTAGGTTCAATGCTTACCCTGAACATTACCTATCCTTAAGCTTTGTAATTTTTGTCAATTCCTAGAATCTGTCTCTCCAGACAACTGCTAGGTAACTTGAACTTAATTTGAAACAAATTTTACATACAGGTCTACATGTCCATTCAGATTACTACTCTCCATTGACAGTTCTGTTGGTATGAATTGTGATGGCTGTATATGTTCCAAAGGTGAATTATATCTTGCATCAGATAATTGTGTAACAATGTGTGAACATGTGTATCATATAAAATGAAACATGAAAAGTATATTACACTATTTATTTTTACATCTGTTTTGGCTGAAGTAGTGAAATACCGAATTGATATGAAGGTTATGAGAACATATATACATATTCATTCATTTAAACAATCGCTTTTGGACGCACAGTGTGATAAAATGGTAAAAGTATATCGAAATGTATTAGAAAAATGTGACTTTGTATCTTTATATTAATTCACCCCATTATGGAGTGCTGGGCCATAATCCACATAACCAGATGGACATCGAATATAAATACACTTCACATGACTTTCCTCGCCAACTGTATGCAACCACTCCCATTGCAGCCACCTGCTAACATTTCTAACAGAGGCAAAGAAATATATTTGCCGTATGCTGGAAAAATCAAGACCTCTGACCTCTAAGATAACTAGGAAGGAATGTTGGGCATTGAAGTATCTAAAAGATGAAATAAGAATTCTACAAGCTGACAAAGTAAACTGCATGGTAGTGTTGAACAAGTCCACGTACAAGAAGAAGATATCCAGTCTACTAAAGTCAGGGGTTTATGAAATTCTATGTACGGATCCCACATTTCAAATTGAGAAAAAGATACAGAAACTTTTTACCAAACACAAAACTGTCCTTCCTGCTGCCTGGAAATATCAACTGACTCCTTACTATAGTAAACCACCTCACCTCTATGGACTTCCAAAGATACATAAACCTGACATCCCAAGCTCTACTGGCTCTCCGTGTTATGCCCTAGCAGATTTTCTCCACAGGATCCTGAGCCCTCTGGCTGGCAATATAGACTCCTTCATCAAGAACTCAGCAACACTTCATAAAATTAATATAGGATATCAACCTTCAAAACAATAACTACCTTGTAAGATCTGATGTCAGTCTATTCATCATGCCAGTGGAAGAAGTCTTACAGGTTACAAGAAATAGACTCAACATGGATCCTACTTTCCCAGAACCTTCCCCTTTACAAGATGAAGACGAAATGGAATTACTGGACATCTGTTTAACAACTATGTACTTACAGTTTGAGGATAGGCTGCAGCATAGCTCAAGCGGTTAGTCACTGGCATCCCACCGCGGTTTAATCCTGGGTCTGGTTAAGTGGGATTTGTGGTGGACAAAGTGGCAGTGGGGCAGGTTTTCTCCAAATACTTCGGTTTCCCCTGCCAATCTTCATTCCACCAAATTCTCCATCGTCATAATCACCCGGGGCAGGCTACATTAGGCCAATCAGTGGCTGCTGTGCCAAGTGGATCCGGTTGGACTCCACCTCCCACTAAGGGAATTTAAAAAAAAAATGTTATTGAGGATTAATTATATCAGCAAAAAAGAAATGGTATGGCAATGGAAAGCTCCTTATCTCTGGTGGCCAGTAATACATTTATGGAACACTTTGAGGAAACAGCACTGGATACAGCAGACCACAAACCTGCTAAATGACTTAGATATGCCTATGACACTTTCATGGTTTGTCCACATGAACTAGTAAGATTGCAGCAATATCTTCACCATCTAAACAGTGTCAGACCTACCATTAAATTCACAATGCAAGTTAAAGCTAATGATACCCTTCCATTCTTGGACGTTTTGGTCATGAATAGGGGTCTAAAACTGGCACATGAAAGTGTACTGGAAACCTACTCATACTGGTTATCTGCACTTCAAGTCCAACCACCCATATTACGTAAAAAGGGGAGTCCTTAATAGTTTGATCAGTCGAGCCAAGGTAAGGACCATAAGGATTTCAACAACAAAATTAAGAACATATGACACCATCTGATCCTTAATGAACACCCACAAGAATTTGCTGACTCTGTAATGAAGCCCTCAATAAGCAATCGTCCTTCTTCAGATATAATATACCAAGGGACTGTATCCCATACGATAAGGCTAACCAAGAGAAATTCAGATGCATTTGAAACTGTTTCAATGTCATGGCCTTTTTCAAAACTAAACTGCTCATAGCCCCACTGTACTCCACCAGACCTTCCGGTGAGCGGCTTGCGTTCAATTACGTTAGATTTTGTTAGTTTAGCCTAGGTTGTCGGATGAAGTTTCTACTGTATACTCCTGCGGCTCACGAGTTTCCGTTAACATTGTAAAGGCCCGTCCACATTACTCGTGCTCATTGGGAGACTCATCTGGCTTTTACTTGTGCTCGTAAATCTTCGTCCACACTACTTCTGTTACTCACCAGGCTTCAGCACATGACGATCCCTATATTTACTCGTAGTGTGTATAGGCTGTAGTCGTATTTTAATTTATTGGCTATAGTTTTTAAATTAAAAATTTAAAATGGACGAAGTTGTAGTGAGTGCTGCGAGTTTCCTAGTGATACGCCTGTTAGATCAGGAACAAGAAAGGAGACGCAAGAAACTACCTCAGAAACGCAGATGGTGGATGACCAGTCGGGAAATCTACAGGGGAAGTGATCTCTTGGAGGACTTGGGAGCGGAAAATTTACATTTCAAGACATTTTGCCATATGTCCCCATCCAATTTTGAAGCTCTAATAAATTTGGTGGGCCCGAAGATAGCAAAGGCTGACAGCACATTTCAAAAAGCTATTCCAGTTGGAGAGCGGTTGGCACTTACGTTCAGATACCTAGCAACTGGTGATTCCTACTCCAGTCGCAGTTTTTTATTTAAAGTCTCTAAGCAAGTGATATCAAAACATTCGTCCTGAAGTATGTGCAGCACTTCTTGACAGTTTGAAGGAGTTTGGAAATGTAAGTTAATGTGTAATAATGCACGTTTCTTTGTTCTTTATTCATATTGTGGTCGAAGCCATAAAAATAATTACAGAATATTCAGCAATAACGACAGGAACTACAATAGGATTTCAAAACATATAAGGTAGAAAAAATTAACAGTCAAATGAGAGAAACAAATGAAAATTTGAACAAAAGAATTCATTCAAAATTACGGAAATCACGCAACTGTGAACGGCCATGTCTGATACTGTCGGGAGCAGAAACAGATGTCTGTTGAGAATTTCACTGTTGGTTGGCCTCTGCATGTTGAGTGCTGATAGCAATTGGTTGTGGAGGAGATGGCATGAACGATGAGTAACTATAGTTGCTATTGCTTGACCTTGAATAGTTGCATGAGGTTCAAGATGATTGTATTATTGCAGAAGGGGATGTATAAATGCCGCTTTCTGCTTTGAAAATTATGTCTGAAAACTCTTTTTTAACAAAAGCACGTGTTGGTTTATCCATTGATCGCAGAACATTTGCTATGTACTCTCCATAGGCGTCGAATTCGTCCCTTTTTTTAGCAATAGCGGCTTGCAGAGCAGTGTATGCCTCTCCTATTCGGGGATCTTCAGCGTCTTCAAGTTGGGAGTCAGATGCTTCTCCTCCATCCTGAAATAAAGAGAGGAAAATAGATTGATGTAAACAATAACAAAGCAAGGAAATTAAAATAGAAAAGAATAGAGGTAGGACTATGAAAACGAAAATACAAAATTGATAACAAAGCAAGGAAGATGAGTAAACTAGAATACAGTAGAGTGTTCATTATTATTGTTACATATTATTATTGTTTATTGTTATAATCAGTTTTTATTGTTTGCAGATGCCACAGACACAGGATGAGTGGCTGCTGGTAGCTAAATATGAGAGAAAATGGAACTTGCCTCATTGTGTCAGTGCAATGAATGGCAAACATTGCGCAGTACAATGCCCAGCTAACTCTGAAAGCGATTTTTTCAAATACAAGTTGTTTTTACAGTATTGATCTTTTTGGTCTAGTGGATGCTGACTACTGTTTTATGTATGCTGATGTGGGCTGCCAAGGTTGAATTTCAGACTGTGGTGTTTTTCGAAACACAACTTTTTTTAAAAATATGGAGAACGGTATAGTTGTTTTCCCAACCGCTCGTACTCTCCCAGGAAGACAGAAAGGAGTATCCCACATCATTGTCGCAGACGACGCGTTTCCCCTCAACAATCATATCATGAAGCTGTATTCTGGACAGCAGCCGATGGGATCAAGTAAGCGTATTTTCTCAACTACAGACTTTCAAGAGCACGTTGGATAATGGAAAATGCGTTCAGAATACTTTCTTCCGCATTCCGAGTACTAAGAAAGCCTACATTACTTCAGCCTGAGAAATCCCAAAGTGTTATTATGGCTTGCATATACCTGCATAATTTCTTGTGAAAAAGCTGTGATTCCAGACAAATTTATACTCCTGGGGGAGCACTCGATCATGAAGAGAATGGACACATAACTCGTGGAACATGGAGAAATGAGATCACGACTGCTACGTTTACACCATGACCAACCATTCCGCGACGGTCAACTCAGACTGCTAACGACATTAGAGATGAATCTGCTGCTTATTTCATGTCCAAAGATGTGAAAGTGACATGGCAAGTTGATTATCAATAATTGTCTAAGAATTTGTTCTTATTATTCAATTACCAGATACCTAGGTACTAATAACTACCTACTTACATAGGTACATTTCAAGTACCTACTTATGTGAGTTTTTTACCTTTATTTTATAACATTTTTGTAACTCTAATTAAAATGTTCCAGGCGTGAACACACTTACTTTTCGTGAATGAGTTAATATTTTTTCTGTTTTGATTTTCTTCCAAAATAAATATTGTGTAAATTAAAATATTAAACTACTTTTACTTACTTCTGTGTTGACTGTCCGCCGAGGTTGATATATGTTGTGAAGAAATGCGAAGGCTTCGTATGCAAACCAGTTTGGGGCGTCCACTTCGTCAGCTCCAGATCCTGATTTTCCGGCAGCAGTAAGCTTCTGACGCACTTTCCGGTATGTAGCTAACAAACTGTTCATTTTCTTTTTCAACTCAGCCACGACTACATTAAGTTCCGTTGCGATTGAATCCCACGCTTCAGTTTTTTTGGGTTTCACTTTATATAAACAGTGGGTAGCATCCCACAACACTGGGTGTTTTTCATAAACTTTTATGAAATTAATCGTGGAATCGTTCGTCCACTCCATGTTCCGCACGAGTGCAGAAAGTCGACTGATCAAGGCTCGTCATCGTCCACATGACTCGAACGGCTTGTCACGAACCCCTTTGATGTACCGACAACAAGCGGAGCCTCGCGAACCAGTGGCGCGTGCACGAGCACGAGTAATGTGGACGGGCCTTGATGCTTTCCTAATACTACCTTTGCACGAGTCTTACTTTCCAAAAGTACGAGTGGGCTCAATGCTGTAAACCATGACAACTCATAAATTATATATTCCGAATATACTTATTTTAAGCATTCCCCGGATGGACACGTGCTGCAGCAGCAGACGTTCAGAAGATGAACGTGAGCGAGCAAGCTTATCAGTCTGACGACTTTGTTCCACAATATACCACTAAATTTCTGGGTTTCTCTGAAACTTACCGATGACTTGCGTTTGTTCTGCGGCCTTTGGTTGTTCAGGTTGTATCTCCGGATCACACAAGACATTCCAGAACGTGAAAAGCGTGGAAAGGCTTTAAAGTCCTATCCAATATGGCGCGTTGCGTTCGGATAAAAAGAACAGTAAAAATAATCACTGATTTGGACATTGGTAGTCACATATACGTAGACCCGATGCCATTTTTGGGCACAATAGCGTCATGCGCATTCTGCTGCCACCTATGGGCCATTTGCAAGTACATAACGGCGACGTGCTAACAATAGCTTGGTCGGTGAAAAGGTTACCCACTTACCTTTACCAATAGAATCATCATAGATAAATCAACTTATACTCGACGAATTTAGAAACCGCGTTAGCGCACAGGAACTTTATATCGACATACTCTGTATGCAGTCCACGATCATAGCTCCTGATAGCTCCCAGTTTCAAAACAGTCAAAAACATTGCCCATCGTATCAAAATTTCCCGTGCTGAGCGATTAAATTGTTTTATATATTTAGTAACCTTCAATTTCCTGCTCAATAGTATGCAATTCGCACCCATACAGCATAATGCAGAACGGTAATTCTACGCTGTACCAAGATCAAAACGAAATAGAGGTAGTTATTCTGAAACGATCTGAAACAATAAGGCGACACACTTCCACCGAACGAACTGAACAAATCTGCATGTTCGTATGTCCAATTTATCACCTTGCGTTGGAAGTAGTATTGGTGTGAATTGTGTTAATGACTATATGCTTCGAAGGCGATTTTATGTTTTGCGTCTGTTAACTGTGTAACATTGTGTGAATATGTATGTGTATATCATATAAACCGAAACATGAAAAGTATATTACACAAATTATTGTTACATCTAGTTTGGGTGAAGTAATGAAACATTGGATTGCTATGAAGGTTATGAGAGTACATTTATTCTTTCATTTAAACCGCTTGATGCACAGTGTGGTAAAATGGGAGACGTATATAGAAATGTACTAGAAAAATGTGACTTTGTATCCTTATATAAATTTCCCCATTATGGAGTGCCGGGCCATAATCTACATAACCAAATAGAGATCGAATATGAATGCAGTTCACGTGACTTACCTTACAACTGTATGCAGCCACTTCCACTGCTGCCACCTGCTAAGGTTTCTAACAGAGGTGAAGAAATATATTATGCATTTTGCTATATGTTATTGGATTCGAAGCCAGCTCAGAATCATTGATCATTTTATTATAGTTTTGCCCCCTTTGTGTAATATTTTGGAAACAACACAACAGAACAATGAAAATGTATTTCCCATTTTAATTAATCCTTGACTATATAGTAAATGGAAAATTGGCTGATGTGCCATTTCAGCGGCCGCAAACCTTCTAATAATAGCTTGAAGCTGTAACTTAGATAATTGCTAAAATTAATATGTAATAGTGTGTTATGTTACAGTCTTGCAAGGTGAAGATCCAGCGACCATTTTAGTCAAAAAGAAACTCCTTTGGAAACATCAAATTGCTGTTCATAAGGGTCGCTACAAGACACAGAAGAAAAGTATGTTATTTCATACAGTTGTTAAAAAATATTTTAGTTGTAGATGACATGATATTCTCAGTACAAGATGATGTGAATTGTGGTTTTTAACTTTGTGCTTATGGTCAGTTACTTGGTTTTCATACTGTATGTGCACTGCAAAACTACTAGCAAATGAGAAGTTCCAGTGAATTAATCAGTGGATAGTATAAGAACAGCACATGGATAAAAATCCCTGAAGCATTACATGAGAACCAGACCTTGGAAAATGCAGCTGAAACATAATGAGTACTGTCTATTCACTGATATATACCTCGATGAATTTGAGATACATTCCTTAAATGGATGATCAGTTTTATTTTAACTGGATCCAACATTTAGGCTGTATTTCCTCAATCCACACTAAAGCTTATCTCATATCTGGCCTTATTTCATATATTTTGGAGGCCATTTGGAACTACACTGCTGTTTTTAAGTTCCTATGTTTTCAATCTTTGTTCTAGGAAATATGGTTTGTAAAATTCTACAGGATCTGATTTCATCAAATAAAACGGTACACACAGTTTCACATGAAGATGCATATTATGTGAAATTGATTGGAAGAAATCCAGATGAAGAATTTGATGGGGTAAGGTGTGATAGTTATTCTAGGAAGATTAGTAATGTTAGGATGATTTTGTTTATAAAATGGTTATTATTATAAAGCCTGTGAGTTCCAGTTTCACATCAACATTTGTAAAAATCCGATTCAAGGTTCACATTAGTATTCTTCCAACAATGTAACAGATATGCCTTTTATAGCATACATTTTGTATGGCTCTGTTTATATATGTCGATGCTGTTCAGTATTATTATTGCCAAACTATAAAAGTTGTAGCTAGATGAGCTAGTAATGTTACTAACACTGATTCATGACTGTGTGTAGACCTACAATTGGTACTACAGTGGAGGATGCTTGGATAAGCTGGAGGTAGATGGCCAAGTGTTGCTCCTAACCACGGAAGGCAAGAAGAAAGACCAATTATGTAAGTAATCAGATGAACATATATACATTAATGTAATAGTTCTAGTTGACTTTACAAACATGACAAAATTTGAACTAAGCCTCATTTAAATGATGTATCTTAATAAATACTGACACAATCAGTAGGTAGGGGCAAGTATTACAAACAACAATGGGTGGAAACTTGAAGCAGTTTATATTCATCTAAATAACAGAACAGGTTGCCAGATACTGAAGTCTAAGACATGAGCTCCACTAGGGGATGGGAAGTAATCGCGCGCACACACACACACACACACACACACAGGTAGAGTTACAACAACCATTACTGAGCTTCCCAGTGATCTACTGGTTAGTGTACTGCCCAGTATTTGGGAGGCTTGATTCCAGTTACCAGCACTAATATTACAACTAAACTTTAAGTATAAATGTCAGTATAATGACAACCAGGCAGGAGTATACCCAATTCCAGAAATGTCATCCAATCAAATATGCCTCAGATAATGTCCAACACAATATTAGTATAATGAATCGACCATTGTCACAGACCTTAGAGAATCATTTCCCTTGCATTCAGCACAGAAGGCAAACAGTCATAGTAAAATGTTATTCTTTTGTAGGATGAATGAACAATATCAGACCAGGTCCATGACAGTGTAACAGTCATTAGATACTTCTGTGATGACCGCATAAAACAGGACTTTCTAACATGTACACCATTACCAAAATCCCCCTAACTCAAATAATGCAGCATTCATATACAGATTCAAGAAGGATCAATCTCACTTCTGATCTATATTGTCTTCATTCCATTCAGCTATAAAAATCTCTAAAAGACAGAAGTACCATCAGCCATGTATCTGGTGAGAGGAGAGAAAGTTTATATGAATAATGCAGGTTTCTACTATCGACTTTAATTCTTTAAGAAAGTGATATGAAAGAAGTGTGTGAATTATTTCCTTACCAGATACCTGGTATATGTGTTACGAATGCTTACAGCTGTTTTTTGCAGGTGTTCTGCCATTAGAAATGAAAAATAACTGGCAGGCTTCCTTATCAGGTGGCAGTTCTGTTCAGTCCACCTGTGGTCACACCATTCACCAAGTGCGTGGCATGTACAGGCAAGATGAAGGTAAATCGTGTAAATTGGTGGGTAGGGACTAATAGACTGTGAAGACTCTGGATATGGATATAAACAAAGAACTCAGGATCGGATCATTCCACATAAACTGCCGATTACAGTTAACAGATATAGAAATATGATATCAGATTTCATATAACAGTTCATTTTCTTGAAGTTTTCAGCTCCATGTAAGAACAACATATAAAAAATTTTATTGCAAGTTCCAGAAGCTCTCTGTAGTGCCCTTCGAGTCATTAGAACACTGAGCTACAAAATCAGTCTTCCAAAGTGTCAAAACTGTCAGATAATTTTCATACTGTCACTATGTTTGCAGTTTTTAACATATACAATTTGAAGGTGTGTTCATAATGTATTTGAGTGCCACATTTTACATGCCTCGCTGCAATGAATCAGTTATTATCACTGTCAGAGTTTGTGCGATTGTTATGTTACTGTTTTACATTGTACAGAAAATTTTTCTTTTCTTTTCCTCCTCCTTCTACACTTCTTATTCTGCTTCTCCACAAATGTCAATCAAAGGAAACAAGGGAAAATAGTTTCACAGAGGAATCCTCCTCCTCCTCCTTCTTCTATACTCTCTCTCTCTCTCTCTCTCTCTCTCTCACACATGTGACCTTATCAACAGTTGTATAAGATCTGTTGCCACACAGCGTTTCATAGCCCTACATTAAACTGCAATAATGTTCCACCCCAAAGTTTACATATCTGAATGTTGCTATTGTTGGTGGTACAGTATTAAAAGCACAAAGGCAGATTAGCACCCAGTAGCATTCATGTTTCATGAAAATGCATCAGTTGGTTTAATGTTATGAGGGGGACAGATGCTTACACATGTACATGACACTACAGCACTATTAGCATATCTTTAATTATAAAGCAAAGGAAACAGAGTAAAAATAACTTAGTTATGAATAATACCTGCTGTTGCAGGTTTTGTTGGTGTACGTCTTCGCAATGCATGTCACTTGTACTCACTCAACCCAGGCTTGCATCTAGAAAGTATGCATAAGGCAACATCTAAACGTCCATTCATAGGATTAGATCTGAGTCCCCATTCACCTGGAACATACTGTACTGTTACAACCAGTAGGTGCATTCAAGAGTGGGACATTAATGCAAGGTGAGTGTTATGATGAAGTTCAGCTGGAAAATATGCATAACTTGTTTAAATCGCTTGTCAGCAGTACGTTTTAATTATAAACCAATCTTAATATACTGGAGACACTTTTATTTAGTACAATCAGCTGTGTCATTTATTTTCAATTTTGAAGGAAACACTGAAAACAACTGCAAAAAATTATGAAAAATTAAAATTATATCAAATTGGAAAATCTGTTACCATTCAGGTCATAATCTTTTGGATCAAAGTCTCTTATCCTGAAATATAAAAATAAAATAATTTTCCCCCTTGTTTTGTATGGGTATGAAACTTGTTCCTTCATTCTAAGGGAAGAACAGAGTTTCTTAAAAGGTGACAAATTTCTTACAGTAGCTTAGCAACTGTTAATTTCTCAATTATATGAAATTATAATCCTTTTTTCAAATACTGTCAGTAAATTTTGGTAGTCCACTGATAATGGCATTTCATTGTATTTTGAACTTAATAATCTGTTCCTCATTGATAATGAAATAATATGTAGTGTTGATTTTACTTTTTTCTAGGAAACCTGTTACTTCTAGCGTTCCTACTGAACAAACACTGGGAGACAAGTGGTGCAGTGTATCCTACTGTAATGATCCGCAAGTGATAAGGGTGACTGACAGATGCTGTTCATTTATTCTGGACAAGAGAGTATGAATTATTTCAGTAACCTTACAGGAATTGTGTGACGTAACTTTAAATAATGACAGTTAAAAAGAAAAGCAATATACCTACCATGTATAGTACATGATACGATGCAGTGTGCATATAATGACTTGTGTTATGAACTTATCATTATAACCTTGTCATATCATCTCTTATCCCCAAATACAGAAACTCTTGCTTCAGGAAAACATTTTCTATTTTGCTGTACCATGCGGTGGGATGCAACAAGAGTATAAGTAGCTTTTTCTGTGGAATAAAGAAATAAAGAGTAATATCTCACAAAGTGTGTTGATATCTAGTCTTTAGTTGCACTGTAAATACAAGAACCATGGTATAAACTGATGAGTTGTAGCAGACAGTATGATTTTCAGTATACTTAGACAAGCTGTGATGTTGCATTTTCGATATGCATTTATTATACAGACAGATGTAATTATAACCACCATTTTCTTGTTTTTTAGAACCATACAAGGAAATCAAGTGTGATGTTATGCATCAAGAAGATGCCAAATGTTCTAGAATACTGTGAGACCATATCCTTGGAGTTTCTGAGCCGCATACTGCCACATGCCTTGTACTTGTGCACAAATCACCATGTTTTTCTATATGACATACGTGCTGGATCAAAGCCCTTACAGCGCTGGACACACCTTCTCTGTTCCACACCATTATATGGTTGTACAGTAGTTCCCAGCAGTGAAGAAGAGCTGGTATGCATAGGAAACCAAGAGCCTGGCGAGATAGTGACACTGCTCAACAGATGTGATGGAGAGGTACCATACTGCCAGGTTCCTCCATTTGCCCTCCCGAACATGCATGATGCTGTTCATTCTGCCCACAAACATGGGCTATGGCTCAATCCCTTCACACAGCGGCGTGTTCAGCTCAGCCTGACAGGTCTGGTGTGGCTCCCACCACATGGTTCTCATCTCACACTTCTGTCTCAGACTGCTGCTGGAGATATCTTCAGTCATATCCTGAAGCCCAGGGATTTGTTGCAGTCAAATGGCAGAAACAAGTGCAACAATGCAGATCAGAAGAATAATGTGAATAGTAGTTCAGAGACTGTGAATGACTATTCAAAAACACGGGACTTGAGACGATTAGTAAAATGGGAAAAGCAGCTCCTCAAGAGGAAGACATCACCTACTATGAAAATAACAACAAGGAAGGAAATGAAACATATATATGAAAGTAAGATGTGTCAAATAATCACTAAAAATGTGCTGATTTTTTATACTCACTCACGGAGCTGAGCCCTTCTTGAGAAGCCGCCAATTGTTGCAGCTACTCAAGAATTTCCCAACATTTTATGGAACCCAAAGTTTCATTATCATGTTCACAAGAGCCCTCCACTTGTCCCTATCCTGAGCCAGATTGATCCAGTCTATACTATCCCATCCTGTCTCTCTAAGATCCATTTTAATATTGTCCATCAACCTGTCTTCCTAATGATATCATTCCTTCTAGCTTTCCCATCAATATCCTATATACATTCCTCTTCTCCCCCATTCATGCTACACACCCTGCAATTCTTTATACTATGATATTTATATAAAAATAACCACAGAGAATGGAACTCGTTGACGTAAAATATGTTAACTATTTCACAGTCACAACTTTTCTGCAGTTCCCCATTCTTCCATGGAATATACTTAAATGCAGAGAATATATATTACATCCAGCATACACTGACAGTATTTTAAACTACAATTACATAGTTTTCCTCAAACCTAACAGTAATTTTTCTGAAATACACTGCAAGATGTTTTGAATCAAAAATATTGGTGTTGATATTTTCCTTGAAAGTCAATTGTAGAAAAGGTCCCTCATACCCTGTAACATTTTTCTCTCCAATGCAACTTTCAGCAGATATGAATATCTATTGACTGTTGATACTAACAGAAAATAAATCCAGGAAAATGCTTGTTTTTCATGTAATGGGCTGACTGAATAAGGTTTTTTTTTGGGGGGGGGGATTATTTTATTCCCTGGCATGACTTCAGGAGATGTAAATTATAAAATTATCTTAACAGAGCAAGCAAAGGAAAGTCTCTGTGTGTCAAAACTGAGGGAATTCAAAGTTTTGGTCTTTTGTAACTTCTTGTTTAACTTATTTAACAGTTTCTGAATTGCACAGGTTTTAGAGCATCAGATGGGAGCAAGACTCAAAATTATTAATTGGGAAGGATGTGAAAGTGGTCATATTCCTTGTTAACTGACAATCTATCCCAGCATTTTTGTGAAGCGACTGAGAAAAGCCATAAAAACCTCAGGACAGTCAGCCTGTGGACCAAGAATTGAACATGAGGTCTCCTGAATATACAGTAGGATTATGTATGCAAATGTAATGTTTGGTCTGGTCTTTGTTGGATGTTATTTATTATTAGAGGGGGTGGGTTTCCCCATGCACTTAGACCAGTTATTGGTCCATTGTACGTCCCCCCTTAATTTCTACTATCGCCATACCCTACCGGTATTGGTGCATGCTATCAGCCCCGTTCAGCCAACAAGGTTGGCCCTCGGTACCTGATATTTCCCCCATCTATCAGAGGCATTGGAAACTACTTGCGCAGGAAATGAGTTGCCTAATTTTGCTCAGAGGTCTCCTAGAGACATGAGGATCTTTTACGTCCCGTAAATCTACAACACGGGACCCACGGCTTAAAGTCCCTGCCGGAGGACTTGTTCCCTGAATTTTTCCGCCCTTAAAAATTCCACGACCTCCGCCGGGTTTGAACCCGCGTACCTTGAGTCATGAGGTGGGAACATTACCCCTAGACTACGGAGGCCGCTTTTGTTGGATGTTAAGTTCTGGAGTTACAGACTTAGGAATACTGTACTGCACTGGGATCCAGAATGTCCAAAGCTATGTGGAGATTTTCTTAAGACAGATTATACTGAATATGTGCTGTATATCATTTCAGTGTTTCTAGGATTTGAAATTGGCTGACTGTATTTGTTTGTTTCAGGATTACATTCCTGTGGATACAGACTCCATAAAAATACAGAAAAGAAGATTCAGAAAGATAAGTGGATGATGTCAAAGCAAGCAATGCAAAGTTGTATAGATATATTGGCTCCTAGGATTCTTGCAGTTTGGGACATTGAAAAAGAACCAGAGTGGTATGAAGGGGAAATCGTTTTTCAGAAAGACCTTTCTCCCACATCACATGATAAAGTACAGGCATGGTTGACTAGTGTACAGAATGGAGAGCAGAACACTGAATCACACAATAGAGTATCTGAAGAAGAGCCTTCAGTTTTTAACACCTTACATTTGTCAGAACAAGATATTAGATCTATGAAATCTGAAGCTGGATTGACTACACTTCAGTCGAGAAAACAGTCTCATACCCAAAGGAAAGACTTATACAAAATGACACATCATGGGTATCAGGATATGTTTACCCCTTCCAAAACAAAATTCTCTACTTCAACACCTTCAGTTGTAAGACATGTTGAAGGTCTTACCCAAGATACTTTTAAAACCCTGGATCATCAAGTGAATGACCTAATTAGTCAAGATATATCTCTGTCACAACCTGGTGTTACACATGATATCTTGACGTCTGTGAGACATACGATCAAGGAAAGTCGAGAGCTATCACAACATGAAGAGAGTATGATTCTTAGCCAAGGAAATAGTAAAATTAATAGGAAAGATATTAAAATTCATAGCAAAAATGCATCTGTTGCTGGCTTTTGAGATGGCTGATTATTGTATTACATATTCACTGTACATACATAAGGAGTGGGCCTAACTGCTGGCCTTTGCACTTTGACCTTTAGTGATCTATTGTGCTGCTTAATATATTACACAGCAACATTTTTTTCTAATTTATATTAAGTGAAACACTTTAACGGTCATCCTGTTTTAGAAATTTGTCAGCACACGGTGTTTTATGGAAATATTGTCCTTTTTCTATGATTCACTCTCTCATTTTACTGAGAAACTTCTATTTCATTTTCATATTTGAATGAATTTCAATATACTTAACACATCAAAAAGAAAACATATTATTAAATACCATGACCATTTTGTACATTGTTGCAAAAGTAGCCGAGTTAGGCAGCCCAATCCACATCTGATGTAGTCTTTGGTTTTTCCTGTCCTGTTTGTGTTTACAATTTTAACATTGTGGACAGGGGCTGTAATTCTCACTTCTTGTATATGCCTTCATATCTGCTAAAGGATGCCAAAATGTAGAATTACTTCTCTTCTGTTGCTTGGATTCTTTGACCATCTCACTTGAAATCCCATGGCTTCCCTCACATACTATTATTCTTTTTATTCAAAAGAATCTCTGCTACTTTTACAGTGTTTTATTTCATAACAATTGCCTGAGTAGATATGGTGATTTTGGTCTCTGTTAACATATGATTCTGTGATTGCTACACACAGCAGATGCAATGTTATATGCAGTAGGCTGAGGTGATTTAGCTACTGCAAATTAAAGCCATTCTCACAGTAATCATATGGATTTTAGACATGGATGTTATGAAAGTTACATTTTAAGGAATGAATTTGTTTTCCTTGTTATAGGAATGATATAAAAAGATTTTGTAACATTTTCCAGAAATGGCTTAAGGAAATGTACTACCAAAAAAAGTATTAGCAAGGCACATTCCTAATTCTTGTTGCGTAAGTTTATAGTCCTACATTAAGTTATTACTATTTTATTTTTGTCAAGAATTTGTTACTTAAGCACAGATTCTGCAACATTAAATTGCTCAGATATAATCTCAGAGTTTTGGCCTGCCACCATGACTGTCATTGTTTCCTTGCAAACAGTATTTCATACATAATATTTAAGTAGTTTGTGGTCTCTTTATATACTTAATTTTACATTCCTTGTTCCATTAGCTTATTAGCTATCACTGTCAAACCAGTGATGTCAACAATGTTCACTGCATTTTCTATCACTTCCAAGATATGATCATTTTGTTGTAATATGGTCCACTTTGCTCCACACAGAATCTGAGGTGTGACTAACACTATCCTCATCATAACTTACTTCCTCCCAGAATCAGTTATTACAAATTTTGTGGTGTGTACAACAACCCTTACCGAACTCCTGTAAATTCATAATTCCACTGGCACTAGCTTGTGAACTACAGTATTAGCATCAATGGCATAAACTTCTACAAGTTTCTTCAGCACTGAAAACCAAACTATATAAATCTGTTTCATCTTTCCATGTGCATGAAACAGAAGTCAAGAACCGGCATAATAATTAAGGCCTGTAAGGGAGTAGAATCAGATTTGTACGTTTATGTTTATTCTGAGTACTTCATCAGGGGAAGTAAATGTTCAAATTAATGATATTATCAGCTGATCCTATCTGGTCAGTCAGTGCTGATTTTTCACGCTGGTGCAACAGTCTGAGACTGCATAGTTGCAAGAAGGGAGATCATGGTACGTGTAACTCTACCAGACAGAAACTCAAAGAAACTACCACAATCCTTATGCAATATGTTAGTAAGTCCTGTACCAGCATAAACCTCAGTTATATTTCCACTTTATCCAATGCAAATGAAATTTATTCTACTGAATTGCTCTGCGGTATAAAATGGATGGTGCCCATCTGTAATTTTAATTAATGTAATAAACATTCTGTTTTATACAAGAGTAAATTATCTTTATATTTAACGTTTCTCACTTGTGCATCTTAAGTTCTAAAACTCTACCCAGATGTCATGGGATTAAATTTCCACAATTTGAAGTGATTTACAGCTTAGTGTTCAAGTCCACTGCCTACCACAGAATTTCACTATAACAGGCAAGAATTTGAAGTTAAATATGACTTACTCTGGACACTGTCCACCACTTTGAGTTTTTTAACACAACAATTCAGAAACTGGATCTGCTTCCATTACCAGATGTAAGGGAAGAAAGGTCCCTACTTAGATGGGCCTGTTAGAAAGGGCTAGTCTCAATTACTGCACCCCAGCATCATGTTTCACCAAAGTTCAAGTACTTCTTGAGACAGAATGTGACACATGACCTTTCAATTTATGCACTTTATGAAAAAACTGCCCCAGTGTGTAGACTGTATTCATATAAGAAAACCACTGCTTCACATGGCTGGCTTTTATGAACTACTGTACTTTACCTTGTTGGATTCGAACTGATTGATCAATATCTTCTTATAAACTACAATACTGCTTGTCAGCAGTAACAGGGTGAGAGTAGTTAGAACTAGTTCTGCATTCATTACCAAAACACCATACCTGGAATTAAATATATATTTAAATAAACTGCCAAACAACAAGTAATCATATTAATGCTGAGAGAACAATAGGAAAGTCTGCTTTTACTGGTTCTCACGGTCTCTTCACTTGCAGATTTCTTATATTTTTCCTTTTACCCTGAAGATGGAGGCGATACGTTCCTCTGAAATGTTGGTTAACACCACATATACACGGTGCCAAATCCCAGAAGACTGCTTTCTTCATAGTCANCCAAAAGCAAAAAAAAAGAAAGAAAGAAAGAAAAAAAAGAAGGTATAAATGAAACCACTGTTTTGCAATCTTGAAGGGTAAGAAGGTAAAAGTGAATCTATTGCTGTATTCAGTTAATTAGGCACACACCACAGAGGCATGGGAGGGGGGGCTGTGGAGGTATAGCTCCACCATTCTTGACCTCAGAATTAGATGGAAGTGATTCCTTGAAGGGACCATATAGGTTAACATGGTCAATAAAATGGTAAATATGACCACCCAATATGTTCTTATATCTTCTACTTGTCATATATGAAAAACTGAATATGTTACAGTGACTATATAAAGTGTTTGGATTGGTAATCAAACTTACTGAACACTTACAGTGTAATTACAAATAACTATGACAGTCTCACTAAGTTACACACCCCCAAAGATCACTATAACTACAATGCACATAAAGTCTTCTCAGTCTGCTGGGTTTTCACCAGTTATTGCCTGGTGACAGATTCCAACAATGTCCTCTGCTTCTGTGCTCACATTCTTACTGGCTGGCAACTCCCAAAACTAACTCATTCTTCCAACTATCCTGCTTATAACATTTTTCCTTTGTTGTGTTCACATCTGTTGGGATGCCAACATGACTGCTACTCAGCCACCGCCCAGCAATGGCATTCCCATGGAGTGTTACTAAAGATCAAGAAGGGATGAAATCCAAAACACACATCTGAAAGTATAAACACTGCAAGAAAAGTTGGTGAAATTTAAGGATACATTGGCAAGGATGTGTTTCATATGGAAGGCAGCTGGATTTCTTTGAGAACAGCAAAAACAAAAATAAGTAAATGATATATAGAGTTATCAAGTGAAAATCACACACAAAATAAAAGTAATGAAGGTTTGAAAAAATGTGTGGGATGATAAGGAAGCCAAGTAGAAACATCAACAGATAATGATTAATAAATTCTCAACTGTAAGTAAATGGCCTTCAAAACACACTTTCCATATTATCTGAAGCTCTAGATCTCCCATATGGCATTTATGCATAATGAAAGGTACCATTTTCAAGTGTTTTAATATATATATATATTTGATGTCACATATGTAATAAAATTACCACCTCTGACAAACGGAATTATGTAACATGAGAAGAAAGTTTTCATCCTTGCTTCAAGATAAAAAAATCTAGCATCTGTGTAATACAGGCTTTGATAATATATATCACAGTGCTTCCTTTATATCTGAGACCATAGGTCTCAATCTAACACAGAGATGTTCTTGTATAATCCTTCACTTACTGTATACATACAGACCTTTGTTTGTGGTCTTGCACACAATATTCAGATGGTATAGATAAATGTGCTTTGACACGAAGTGGCAGAAAACATTATTCTTATCCACACTTCTATATGTATAATACAAACTCCATCACAAATGTAACACTTTATTGTAGTTCTTGTTCCCCTTCTTTCACACTACGTTTCGGCCACAACCGGCCATCATCAGGTGTATTTCACTTCACGTAGCTGTCACACTGCACTCAATATTAATATTTAAACTCCAGATTGCCAATTGTTCATTGTTCTGTCATCGATCAATATCCGTGACAGTGTGACAGCTACATGAAGTGAAATACACCTGATGACGGCCAGTTGCAGCCGAAACATGTAGTGTGAACAAGAACTACAATAAAGTGTTACATTTGCTACGGAATTTATATCATATATATAGAAATTGTCTGCATCAGAAATTCTCAAACTTTACTTTGGACACAACTGTATTCTTATAAATGTTACAAAACTGTTCTCACTTACCTGGATGTTCTCAATTATAACTGATGGTACAGTCCCTGTAGGATGTTCACATGTAGTTTTTCAACAAGATAATATCTCAAGCCTACTTCCATAGGTATGAATGTGATAAAAGCTAGAAGATAGGTAACTGGCCATGAAAGTCCATAAGGTTGAGACATTGAGGCTACCACATCTTCTAGGCAATCAGCTCACATATAGCAGTAAGGTTCTCAACCTTACATGCTGGATGCCCTTTACCACCTACTAATGTGATAAAGTGTCCCTACATAACCCTTATCTATTTACTGCGTGGGATTTAGAAACCTTGTCTGTGGTCTCCTTCACCTGCCAACCTAATCCTTTTAAAGGATTTCTTCTCAAGGCAGACAGAAAACACAAAGTGCATATGCATTCAGTAAAGGTAAAAAGGTGAAGCTGTTCCTGTGCTTAGCTAGGTAAGGATTATGCCATGAAGACGTATGGAGGAGTGGAGATACAGCTCCACCTTCTTTGATCTTAGCATTAGATGGAGGTGAATGGTAAGCTTCATGGCCCTGCCACTTTACCCCCAAGGAAGAGAACCCCAGTACCCACTGAATGGGAGGCTGGGTGGTCCCAGAGTTGGTCTGGAAGCTGTGGAGAAGAAAAGAATCTTGCACTGCTGGGAATCAAACCTGGGCCTTCCTGCCCATAGCCTGTCACTATACTGACTGAGCTACCCCATTTTTTATATATATATGCATTCAGTACTGAAACAAAAGCTGACCTGAAGAATTATGTCATTGGACTCTGGGTACAGTAGTGATGCAGTCCATGGCATCTGCACCCCAATAATAAATGATCAAACCTTTTAATTTCCTTTTCTTTTCAGCTGCTATGCTACTTCTGTGTGTGTATATATATATATATATATAATGCATGATACACTATCCAGAAAAAGAAATTGTATTTCACTTCTTTAAAAAACTCTGTGGCCTGTGGTGACTGCTGCTTGTCGGCTAAGTTAGTTCCAACTTTTGCAGACAGAGGGTGTCACATGGTCATTAATCTTGGATTAGTGCCAACTTTTACGAACAGAGGGTGTCGCGTGGTCAGCGCAACAAATCCCCACAGCCGTTAATTTCGGTTTTCTAGACCGGAGCCGCTATTTCCTTCAAATAGCTCCTCAATTATCCTCATGAGGCTGAGTGGACCCCGTTCCAGACCCACTACTTCTCAGAAAATCTGGTAGGGCCAGGAATCGAACCTGGACCTCTGGATCTGTAGCCAAGAACTCTGACAACTAGACTACAGAGGCAGTCTTCTTCTTCTTCTTCTTCACTTCTTACCAATCTAAAGTGTTAGAAATACTTTTTTTACAGCATATAAATAAAGTGTATCTTCCTTAATAGGAGCACTAACAAACCAGACTAGGGTCTAGGGGGTTTTATGAAAAACTCGAGAACCTCTATTCCAAAGTTTTTAAATCTCCTGAAACAATTTAATGGAACTCCCACAAGTGCTGCACATCACAGATGGAGAATCACTGTTCTACAGTTTTGAGGATAGGTTCACTGTAGTCACATTACCCATATAATCTGAGGAGTAAATCACAAAACCTTTGAGAAACATGACATCTTGTTTTATAATGAACTATTATCATAAACGTACCTAAGAGCACAGAGATGTGACCTCTAGACTTCGTTATTGCACATCAAATGGCAGTATTTCAGCAATTTGAATATATATGAATAATAAGAAACACATTATCTTCTGCAACATATCACATGAGTATCTGTTTCATACCCTATATGAATACATGAAAACTGATGTTACATCTTGGAGGCTTTGCAATATTTATGATAGACATATACATATATGTATGTATTATAGGGAGGCAAGGGGATTCAAAGATGTTAACATAATTTTACATGAAACTAAAAAGAAAGCAAAGGGCAATGTAATGTAGAATACTAGGATGTACAGTAACCAGTCATGGAATTTAAAAGAACACTAACTGAAAAAATTACTCTGATTTCAAACCATAATACAGGGTTTGAATTAGCACTTCTAGTGGCTACAATGCAAGCCAGTATGAATGACAAAATTTGACATGTCAGTGCCCTTCACAGAACTCAATACTTATACTATCTGTAATGAATGCAGCTCATCAACCACTTCAACAGTTATGTGCACGGTATCAAATTTGTATACGAAAGCAGAAGTTATTAATGAAAGTATGTATAATGAAGAATCAAGATATAAAAAAGAAATATGTTCTGGTATATCTTAGGAACCGAGTGTACAAAGATTTAAAAATGAAAATTACGGACTTCCATACAAAGGTCATTAGATCATGATTCAATGCTGTGTTCCAGGAAAACTACATACAATACTGTTATGGCTGTATCACAGACACAGTTAAACCAGCTTATCAATATTATTTCCGGTAACTGGAATCCATCAGAATTATGGCTGAAGGCACTCTTATTCATCAGAGAGAAGAAATTAATTACATGCCTTACTGATGAGAAATACTTTTCAGTTTTGGCATTATAACGTGTTATGCACAGCAAATGCAAAGCCATAATATTAAGCATGAATTTGATTTGGTTCAGCCTGGTCCGTCACACTAGCAATAGTATAAAATATTATCAACTCCATCCAGTGTGATTGATATATGCTTTTTCTCCTTTGTAATCTTTCATCTTTGACACGTCCTTCTGAAGATGGTCTCTCAGACTGAAACATGTCAAGGATGAAAGATTAAAAAAGAGAAAAAAACATTTATCAATCACATTGGACAGAGTTGACAATCTTTTAAACTATTCAGCATAAAACTACAGAATAAAGATATCCTTGTAAAGAAATATTAAAGATCACTGCTAGTAAACCTTTAGAAGCATTAACACAAAAATTGCATAGGTTTGTTACTCCATTCTGCCTCAATACCAGCTTTCACATAACTGTAACATGTTCTACCCTCAGAACTCTTGGTGTGGTTTCACGTTAATATTCATCATCAGATGCCTGACCCATGTCTGTATTTCGAGCCAACATGTAGTTGTCCATGTCAATTGACCGACAATTGTTGATTGCATAGCGAAGACGTTCTGCCATGATCTCCTGGCTGCTGTAAGGAGGCAGGCGCAATTGGAAGAAACATGTTTGTGCCGTAGGTAAACCATCTGGTGCACGATCAACTTTCATCACCTGAGCAGAATTAAAGTAATAAGTAGAAATATAAATATCTGAATAATTACTGGAATAAATATTTTGCCCTCAAGTTTCTCTTACCATTGGAACCAATTAAATATGGCAGGTCAGCCTGTATTACAGCCCACTGCATTCAATATATTCATCATAAATTAATTATATATTGACTTATATCTCATAAATTTTCCCACAAGATTTAATCCAGAATGGAACAGGATATATAATTACAAAATGAAGTAAAGAATAATTTAATTTTTAAGAAGTCAGTGATTTTGAAGAGTCAGGTATGTCGGCTCATGTTATAACTCTATAAAACTTTAATGTTGTATCAACTGAAGAAGTTATGTGGGATAAAATTAAATTTAAATAGCATGGTAGGAGTGATGTATGAAACGGTAGTCATGATCTATTTTGAGCTACTATCTAAACATCTTCCTGGAAGAAGGAAGTCATGAAGTTCTTCAGCAGGATAGGAAGTCCCCCAACCCATTTTCAATTGGATATCTCGTAAGTACAAACCACAAGTGACTGCTGTTTGTATATTACACATACAAAAGAGAGCAAACTCGGTGGCTCGAGTCCACAAGCAGACTATAACAACTGAGCAACCACCGCTTGTCGGTGAAGTTAGTGCCAACTTTAGGGGATAGAGGGTGTGTCATGTGGTCAGTGCAACAAATCCCCACGACCGTAATTTCGGTTTTCTAGACTGGAGCCACTACTTTTCCATTCAAGTAGTTCCTCAATTTTCCTCACAAGGCTGAGTGGACACCGTTCCAGACCCACTACTTCTCAGAAAATCTGGTAGTGCTGCGAATCGAACCTGGACCTCTGGATCTGTAGGCAGGAACTCCAACCACTAGACCACAGAGGCAGTCTGTATATTACACATAGTATGTTTTAAAAACGTTAAAAACTCTGTTTAAATTATGTTAATGGCTTAAACGTTTATTTAACTGCACTGATTATTAGTCACTGTCATGTCAAGGAACTGGATCAAATACATTATACAAAAAAGGGAGAAACATTTGGTAGAGAACTCACACAGAATTTGAAGGATGAGCATTACATACATAAATACTGCGAAAGGGGTTAATAATTCAAAATACTGAGAGCAGAAGTATTTAGAGTGAAGTTTCAGAAAAAAAATAACATTAAATATTTAATTCCTGAGAACATAATATTTTGTGATTACTGACTTCTAGGATGTTATATTGTGAAAACCTGAAATCTCACATAGTATCTGGTATTTTAGTCTCACAGTCTCTACAAACCAGATTACTCAGAATTGCCTTATCAGGTTTCTCTCCTTAGTATAGTTTGTCTACCAGAAAACATACCTGGAACCTCTGAGATAAGTCAGCTAAGTTGGCTGGTAGGCGAGATCTACCAGAGACAAATCTCATGAAGAGAACCCTTTCTGCATTAGTAAACCCTTCCAGGATGTCCCACAGCCATTGTACAAGTAAGTTATTTTCATCAAGCTCTCGATACCTGAAAAAACGCAGACCTAAATTTCTGCAGCTATTTCTACTAAAGTTTCTGCATATCAGATTCTGTGCAAACTTTTGTGATTCCACAAATTGACCACTACTGCAGCTATCAACATAGAATAAGCTCAGCAGAGAACTGTTACAATTAATATGTTGTTGGACATTATTCATCATCTTGTCTGTTCTTAAAAAACCGTCCCGTTTCTTTCAAAAGCACGTTTCGGGGGCTGTATTCTGTCCCCGCCTTCAGGTAAAACCTACTCAGTTGGGTCCAATAGTCAGAGCTAGTCTCTATCTCCGGACAACCTAAAATTGGGATATATACAAGGTCCGTACTGGTTATGCAAATAATCTTATCAGCAGAGAATATTCACAATAGATGACTGGGGCAACAATGGCTGGAACATGTATGCTGTGACAGATTAAAATAAAAATTGCTACCTTACAACTCTTCTGAGCAGTTGGATTGATATGTGAGGCAATCCACAAACCAGTTGCTCTAAATGTTGAGCTGTAACTAGTGATAAAAGTGGAACAGGGATGATCCATGCCATTCCTTCTCTCACAGCTGCCACCTACGGAAAGAAGAAACAAAAGGTGTTAATAAAATATACTGAATTATTATTCAGTTTAAATGTAACACCTACAAGTGTTGTTATTCCACACAGCGTCTTCAGCTTTTGATTACTTGTAAATGAAAAACACATTCAAACTTACCACCAGGACATAAAAATGTATAAAAGTTGTCGCTGTGCTCATTTAATTAAAAACCATGCCCTGAAGACACATGGGGGAGTGGAGGTATGGTTTCATCATTCTCAGCACTATATAGAGTAAGTGGTAAGGTACATTCCCCAACCGCTTTACTCCCTGGCAACAAAGCCCCAGTTCCTGTCGGATAGGAGGCTGGGTGGGCCCCAAAGCCAGTTTGGACATTGTGAAGAAGAGAAAATCTCTTGCCTTTGCCAGGAATTGAACCCTAGCCATCCAGCCTACAGCCTGTCACTATACTGACCAATACTTTATTTAATTCCAGTTGACGGTTTCCATGAATATGCAAACAGTTTCTATTCTGAAGTATTCACAGACTTTGTGTGTGCTTAGTTCAGTCAATTCAAAGTTGGAACAAACATCAATTTTCACTGTATTTTTCTATAGCTGAAAATACTCTGGTCCCAGAACTTAATATTGAACATTGCTAATACTGGATAAATCAATGTATTAATTACAATTTTAAATCAATTACTTATTAAACCTTCTGGTAAAATGTAACCGTGTATCATATCAGACAATACCATAATTTATGTTCTTATGGAGGGCTTGGTGACCACCCATGTATGAGACCCACTTCTCAACTGACAAAAGTAAACTATTAAAATTAGGACATATTAGACCAGAATGTAATAGTGAACTGTAACAAAATTACTAGTTGAATAACTGAACTTTCCACATTCTGATTTAATGTCCTCTAATTAGAACAAGTGAATTGGAAGAAATCATCAATTTAATTTTGTTGATAAGGGCAGGGCAGTGTGCTCTATAGCACATAACCACTACACGCTAATCGATGCAGCCTGTAATTGTAATATGTGTGCATTACCTGAAGATCTAGTTCGTGTAAACGAAAATAAATGGCTTGCTCTACGTATTGCAAACGATTGTGGAAAGTGAGGGGAATGCTCCTTCCACCGGCAACAATAGGCACCAGTTGATTGGTGCAACTGGTTCCTTCAAAACATTCCAGAGGAATCACCTGGAATACAAGAAGTCATTTAAAGTACATCACTTGAAAATGTCAATCTGCTCTCACATAAACATAAATATATTTCATATAAGGGCTATTCAGAAAGTAACCTCCATTTATTTTAGGGAACTAATGTAGGGGGGGGGGAGCTCGCACATGCAACGTAGTGTCACACGACTCACTGCCTTATAAACCATCACATAACTGGACACCTGGTGTTTGTCCATGTCTCTACAGAGTGCGTTATGATGTGTCCTTTCATTGATAATCCTGCCAGCTGCAAAATTTGTGCTGTTATATGCTTTCTTCATGCTAAAAACATGAGTGCTCCAGAAACCCTTTGTGCATCAGGCACTGTTTACAGTGTTTACTTCTTTGACACAGACATACAAAAACTTATTTCTTGATAAAACAAGTGTCTCAATACTGGCAGTGACTATGTTGAGAACCAGCTTAAATATGTATGCATTTTTCGTTCACAGTAACTTTCTTTTTCTCATTTCTTCTCTTGTTAACAGGTGACTGGAGGTTACTTTCAGAATAGCCCTAAGCAGCCTTAGCACCTACTAAGCCTTTTTCCAGCCTGCTGTGTCTTCATCAGTCATTCCCTGGCAATGGCTTCTAACAGTGGAGATTCTTTAGTTTCATGTGCTCAGGTTCTACCTTCACAGCCTTCCATGCAGAACTCCACTCTCAACTGAATGACAACTCTCAACTAACTGGGTCACCCCAATTGTATTCATTATAACCCCTTTGCATGAACCAAGCAGAAAACACTTTTTCCAACAGTAAATCTATTGTTATAGAGGCATGTTTACCAGGCTGTTGCATAGCAATGGCTGTTGTCTTGTTGTTTGTTTCAGGGTCTTTGTGTAGCAATGGGTCTATACTCCACAATATTTTGGCGTACTTTGCTTCTAAGCTCTTATCCACTTACACCACCACATCAGCTATACCTAACAACACATACTCCATATCACAATACATGCACGCATGCATGCACATGCACACACACAAAAGAGGATTTACTATTAAAGCAAAACTTAAACATTTAGTTGAAACAAGCAATTTCTGATTTATTTTTCATTGTAATTTTATAGAGGGAATGTAACTACAGGTCACATTATTAGACCTGGCCTCTGGGATGTGGACAAGGAGAAATATGGCAAGAAGCATCTGTGGGGACATCCCACATATCACGCTATTTCTACTGTGCTCACTTTTTCACCATCACGCGCGCTAACCAATCAACTTGCTCCAAACGTTCGCATTTATACTGCGCTCGCAGCTAGCCCCGCATCTACATCATCACGCGCGCTAGCCAATCAGCGCCCTGCAAATTCTTCCTCCTCATTTTCAAGTTTTGCTCCGCCCACTGAGCAGTGTATAAAAAGGAGCAGCCACAAACCGGCAGCATCAGTCTGACTTCAGTCTACGATCAAGCCACACTCAAGCAACATCAGCCAGCAGGCTTCATCGCCAGCGCTCGGTCTTCAGAAGCATCGGGAGGCTGCGCCAGGCACGATTGCCTCAGCCCTCCGGCTCTCACACCCAACTCACTGGGGCACCTCGCCTGGACTCGCCGGTGGTCATGTCCCTGTCCGACTCATTGGCCATCTGGCGTAGCCACTGCCTCATCACTCCTACAACCGTGCTGTGCGACCATGCAACTTCAACTCACCTGGCGCACAGCAATCAAGCAACCTCCAGCAACGGCCGCGCTGTGGCCAGTAAAATCACCGCAACTAACCTCTCTCCCTACCGGCGCGCGCTGTGCTACCTCACCGGTCAAGCATCTCAGCAACCACGGTCCTTTTCAGGACCAACAAACTTTTCCGAAGAACTGGGTTGTCATTGAAGTATTGACAAGACAGACACAAACCCCACAGACCTAAGCAATGTAGTTACTGCTCTAATGTGAGAGGGAAAGTGACTCATACACCATATCTGTGGCCCTGTTATACCCATACATCTCAGTTACTGGACCTGACCAAATCAACTGCACATTCCACTGATATCAGCCAAACCCGAAGTCATGGACAGTATGTTACAGCTCAGTATGAGAAGAACAAGACTTCTTAAACNTTATACCCATACATCTCAGTTACTGGACCTGACCAAATCAACTGCATATTCCACTGATATCAGCCAAACCCGAAGTCATGGACAGTATGAGAAGAACAAGACTTCTTAAATGGCACTACAAGAATTAAAGGCCTCTAAGATCTGTAGTCTTTTCTTAACAACAAATAATCCATATATAAGTGTACAGTGTTAATTACTTCATGGAATGTGGCTTCAGTAACACCAGATTGGTGAATATCCCTGATGGCCCTCAGACTCTGGGCATAAAGACTGTCTGTCTCTTCAAGGTCATCTATTGAGAGTGGCTCTCCTACCAACAGCTTCCATACGAACGGAGCCAGAGGAACTGCAAGTGGTTTCTTGGTTCTCACTGCAACTCCAAACAGAATTCCTGAAAATTCACAACAAACCATGTATCTGTATTCCCAATTTCAACAATTAATTTAGTTAATTCAATTTCACATGAAATAGGACTAATGAAAGTAAAGGTGTTATGTTCAACATCTGCAAGTAACACATGACAGCAACACTTCTGAGGTAGTACACAACCCAAAACAGAAGCCCTACATTCCCTTTAGTGAAACTTAATTCAGTCAACATCATAAAAATATTTTTTCAATAAATCCATTCTAATATTCTCCTCCCACCTATGTATCCATCTTCCAGGTGACCTCTTTTCAAGAGGTTCATCAACCATAATTTTGAATGAATGTTTCCTCTTCAGCCTACATATCCAAAGCAATAGATTTTTATTACAGGCATATCATACTGTAGTTCTCTCTAGTTCTCTCTCATTATCAGTCCCACAATTACAATTGAGTGATGAAACTATCAACAAAGAAATCAGCTTACCAAGGAATTTGAACCAAGAAAGGTGCTGGGCTGTACACAGAGTTGGATTAAGCAGGTAGCGGTCACGGTTGTAGCCAGTATCATTAGTTGCATTCTGTGTGGGCACTAGCAGGGGCACTGCACCACTGATAAGCTCCTGACACATTTCGGTGATGGTATCATCAAACACTCCACCAGCATCATCAGCTCCTTCACCAACTAGTTTCACCTATACAACATGACGATCGTTTTGCAATGCTTATCACAACTTCATATCACTATTCCCAGCAATGGCCTGCCTGATATGTCAGGGGAATAACAAAATAAAATATTTCCAAAACTTTAGACAGTTTCCTAAATGTTTTCTTCTTCTAGGTTGAGAGTTTACAATTTTGGGGGGAGGAGGGATTATACATAACAAATCTCAAAAGCGAAAATGTTAACCTTTACCTAAAAGGGTAACAGGAATCGAAAGCAAAATATCAACATCTTATATGTATGTGCCTTACTATAGGTTTACAATAAGCCAGAATAATTCAGTCAGTAAAGTGACCAGCTATGGTCTGGATGACTACGGTTCAGTTCCTGGTATAAGGGGCAGTCAAATGAAAACGGGTCACCACACATAACTCACATGGCACCCAAGGTGGTAACACTGGAATTTGCTTTCGGTATGAACAACTGGTGGGGACTCGGGAAAGCACAGTGACGTGTCCTTGCACACTAGTCACTTGTTTATTGTGCTGGAAGTAAGGTTAGCGCTAAGTGTGGTCGTCCAACATCAGTATGGTGGCGGGTAAAGAAGAACAGCGAAGTGTAGTGCACTTTCTGACTGCTGAAGGAGTAGGAGGACAAGAAATTCATCGTCACATGTCTGTTGTTTATGGCGAATACACCATGTCACGTTTGCGTGTGCTGGCATGGCATAAGATTCCAAAAGGGACGTGTGTCACTGCAAGATGATGCTTGCCCTGGACAGGCTCATCATGTCATCACTCCTGATGTTATTGCTGTGTTAGGTGGTCATATTCGGACAAACCGACAGATCACTGTGGAAGAAATTAGTCTTTTGATGGGAATAAGTCACGGTTCCATACACGCCATTGTGACAAAACACCTGCTGTATTGCAAAATCTGCGCGCAGTGGGTTCCACATCAACTCATGGAGGAACAGAAGGCTCAGAGAATGGCTGCATCACTGGGTCACTTGCAACGATACCATAACGAAGAGTATGCTTTTCTGTCCCGTATTGCCACTGTGGACAAAACTTGGTGCCACGTTTTTGAACCCGAGAGCAAACAGCAGAGACAACAGTGGAAACACGTAAATTCTCCCCCACCAAAGAAATCCAGAGTCATACACACAAGTTCCGGTAAAGTGATGATGATGATCTTCTTCGACTGCAAGGACCCTCTGCTTGTCAAATTTCTCGAGCATGGGGCCACAATCAGTGCACAGCTCTATGAAGACACTTTGCAGAAACTGAGACATGTCATAAAGTCATAATGCCCTGGAATGCTATCGAACAGCAGTATCCTTCTTCACGATAATGCACGCCCCCACACTGCCAACTCTGTGAGGAATACGCTACAGAGATTTGGGTGGGAAGTGCTTCAACATCCCCCCTACAGCCCAGTTTTCTCCCCACGTGATTTACACACTTTTGGAGACCTGAAGAGAGACATTCGTGGACATCGGTTTGCATCGGATGAAGATGGGTGTGGCTGGGTAAAGATGTGGTTCTGCAGACAGCCCACAAGTTTTTTCAAGGATGGGATTGACCGTCTTATCTCCCAGTGGGATAAATGTATTAACAGTTTTGGAGGTTACTTTTGAGGTAAGAAATACCTTTATTTTTATTCTTTAATATGTTTTGGCTTCTGACCCTTTTCATTTGACTGCCCCTCATAAAAAGGAAATTTTTAAGCCTGGCTCTGGAGATGTCAGAACCTTCTGTCCAGTGGGTATCTGTAACTCTTTCTGCAGGACTTGGACTTTTAGAGATTTTGAGTTTGAAACTACAGTGAAATCTTAATCCACATTCTATAAAATTCATATATTCAATAGCTTCTTCTCAGCTCAATAATATTGCATTCATGAAGTGATATTGTATTTTTAAGTAGCTGAGTAATCTTATGCTGTTAATTGTAATCCATTACATTGACAAATGTAGGATGCTCTGTAATTAATAAATGGCCCCACCCCAACTCTAACTATGACTGCTTATCATGTACTACTTACCTTCCATGCCCTGGATGGTAAACGAAGTTCTGCTGGCTTCATTTTAACTACTTGACGTGCAACTTGCACAAATATTGGTTTGCAGCGACGGCCTCTTGTTGCCAGTCTTCGAACTGTCACTTGTGGACCATAGTTTCGACCCTGCACCATGGTACGACCCACACTTCGAACTAAAGGTAAAGTGTAGACTCTTGGGGCTAACAGTGGTCGCAAACGAGATGATGTGAAAGTACGGAGAGATGGGGTCAGCCATTCATACTGCTATAAAAATTATCAAAATCAATACATAATGTAAAGTGCAGTTTATATGATTAAGTAACAACAACTGTTGTTATGTAAAAACTTCTATAAGAGGACTTCATATATACCATACATTTCATTATCACATATTTAGATGAATACATTCTAATCTAAGACAACCCTACCTACCAGCTAGTAAGAAGCTTAAAAATTAGAAATGTAAAATAATGTAGGATATTATTTCACTAAAACGATAATTTTAATTTTGTCGGTTTACCATAAAAACGTCTACATAGGTACGATAAAATGTGATAAAAATTGTAAGTTGAAAGTTAAAAAACTAAATACATTCAAATCAAAGCTAGTTAATGTTAACAGTGGCCTGACCTGTGGGCAGAGAGGTAACAATCTCCAGCATGCGTACAGAATGTCAGAGAAGCGATACAGAAGTCTCAGTCGTGCCTGTATTGCAACAATGGATGTTCCTTGAAGGTGGCCATACTGAGGGGGGATGTGTGCTGGTAGACCAAATCGCAGAGGTATCGACACTCCTGGACTTCGTCTGGGCAATGGAGGGGATGTCCATGCCGCACTGTGTGTCCTTCCAGTAGAAATCTGATTAATAAAACAGTTTACCGAATGTTTAGAGCATTCAGTAATTTTTATTATCAGAGAGAGCATTAAATTTTCTGCAGGAACTTAATACTTCAAAACAGTTGTTTTTGAGACAGTAATTCATTAAGCAACCATACACTTCTGCATCTTCAATAGAAAATGAAGTACATCCAACATTGACGTGATGATACAGAAACAAATTTGTTCCACTGCCATTTGGAGGCAATACTTTATTTCTTATTATTTCCAGACTTCTCTCCCCATCTCATATTTCCAAGCTCTATGGTTTACTGCAGTGTCTTATGCCTATCTCTATTTTTGCAGAGACCTCTCGTCATCTTTTGGATATCTTTCTACTTGCATTTCTCATATCAAGTTTTACCTTTATCAAGAACATCTTCCAAACATCTATATTTAAAACAGTCATTCTGAATTTTAACTTCTTCCATTCTTAACACACTGTCACACTGCCTTAGTTGATATTTCTTTCTAATTTAGCTACCAAAGGTTTTATCTTTAAAGTTTCTAATAATTAATGTAATTAATACAATGAAACAGATTAGTATGAAAAATTCTATGTACTAATCAATCCAAAGCAGTTGAAATAACTTATCAAGTATATTAACTCAACTGATGCTCTTAAAAGACAGTTGAACAGATGTTATATCTAATGGTGAAAGTCTCACCACAAAGTGACCATTATCTGAATGCTGGTATCATTCACCAATCAAGAAGCAACACTAACCTGTTTAGCACCTTTCCCTGAAAGAGCTGTAACCAACTGTGGCTCTCTCACAATGGCTGTGTGACCAAGACCAAGCTGGCCATCACCATTATTGCCCCATCCCCAGACATCACCAGTAGATGTCAGGGCAAGTGCATGCTCTGCCCCAACTGCTATCTCTTCAACAAAATGACCGTTCAAAGCCGGAACCTAAGACAATGAAAGAAAAACAATTAGCTCTGAACTGATGAAATAACATATAAAACACTGAAACAAAAGAAAATGGCACCTTCCTGACATAAGCACTTTACTGCCTATTGCCTGAAATACACAGGATATGCACAACATTTTAGCATACTGAGCATTGCTGTCAAGTCACAAGCATTTCTGCTTCATACTCAGGAGGTCTTTGATTCATTTCTTTCCTCAGAGACCCTCTATGCTGACTGAGCACTTATTGTTATCTTGTCAGTTGCATGACAAGTGTTAATACCTTAAATCACAACCCTCTATGCCCTTCTCAGTTCATCATTCATAATTATCCTCTAATTCAATGCTACATTGCCTACTTAGCTCTGAAATATTCCTCGAATGAACAAAATAAATGTCAGCATATCCATCTGTTACCATCCACCTTCAAGGAACTGATTGTCATTATGACGTTGTTTCTTTTAAAGTTACTTTAATTTCTTATGACAGTGATCAGAATTAAAATCTGGACCTTTTGGATACTAATTAGTGTTGTGTACTGACATGAGAATTAATAAAAGAAAATTGTTGATATGACAATCAACATCTGGAAAACAGGCAGGGGTCCAAGCCCAGAAATGGCATATATAACAAATATACTTCAGACAGAGTGTATATACAGAACTCATACCATCAGCAACAGAAATTACACTGACAGCGACACTGAAAGAGCAACAAGCAGTCTATTAAAGCATGCAGGATGAAGTAAACAGTATATAGAAGGGCAACCAATGGCTACCATTAATGTCACTCAAGACATGAATCACCACCATCAGCATCATATGAAGTGTCCTCATCTATACTGCATATAGTACTAACCTGCTGTGGTTTGGTGTGACCACGAGCCCTAGAGTCAGGCTGGCCAATGAGACGGTCCATCCCACATGTGAAAACATGTCCATCCTGTGTAAGGAATACAGTGAACTGTGTTCCACAGCAGACACGCTTCACACCAACACCACAAAGCAGATCAACTTTCTAAAACAATACCAACATAATATTAAGCATTATTATCCTACCATCTGTGGTACATCACTGGTGCTACTTCCAGAGAAATACACTGCTTCACAATTGCCAAGGCAGGCAGATGCACGGATGGTCAAATAGAACTGGAGGATTTAACCAACATATTAAACAGCACGCTAATGTCAGGATACACAGCAATGCATGGTATAGAAAGGGAATGAAGGTACTAGTTTAATAAAAATGAGTGAGAAGAATTTGGAAAACTTTCAGACAGTTTAACTTGTCCTAGAATCATTTCATGTGTACTATGATCTAAGTTAGTTTTATTTATGAAGAATTAATGTCAATTCTAGTTACCTGTGGAGTTGATTTTGTGGCTGTGTTTCCTAGCCCTAGCTTTCCATAGTCTCCATCACCGAATGCCCACACTAGGTTGCCATCAGAAGACACACATACTGTGTGATTCAATCCACATGCAACCTGTCCAACACTGTGGCCTTCCAGTGCTGTCACGCGTTCCGGCAGTTTCTTGTTTGCTGTAGTACCCAAACCTAGTCGACCATAATCACCATTCCCAAATGTAAACAATTTCCCATCAGCTGTTACCACTGCACTGTGCTTGAAACCACATGCAACCTGTCAGAGAAAATTAATTTTACCATATTTTTCCTTTGATGCTACAGCCCCAATTTGGGCCTTGGCCTACCTCCATGAAACTCTGACTTCAGTTTTCTAGATCTAAGACATTCAGTATGGCTCCTTCAGCAGGAGATCAGCTCATCGCAAAGCCTCTACCTGCACACAAACATGGAAAAACGAAAAACACACACAAACACCAAACATTCATGTCCTGAGTGGCATTTGAACCCTTGATCCCAGCTTCACAGCGAGCAAAGACAGTGCACGCCTTAGACCGCTCAGCTACTGCGACTGGCCAATTTTAACATTAATCTTTCGGTTTCTCCATGTGAAGTTTTAAACAAGGCAGGTCCCAAAAAGCAGTACAGAAGGAAATTAGTTGAGAATGGGCTGTGATTATACTCTACCTAGGTGTGAAAACTGAATTAATTTTGCCACATAATTTTCACACCCCTTTCCCATTAAAATATGTAAGTTATGAAGTCACTTGCAAAGACAAATTTGGTACTGCAATTCTGTCATTTTTAAAAACAGTAACAATATACTTTAATAACGACTAAAGGATTACCTATGATGTTACAGACACAAAAGTATGAGAATATGTTTCATGTTCAATATCTGGATTCCAAGAATATTTTCGATTGCTTTTTGCATAATCTGTAATTAAGCATACAGTAATTTCTAATTAACATACCTATGACATTATTGTATCAATATTAACATAAATTCCACTGCCAGAATTATTCACACAAGTCAAAATGTTGGCTGATTTTCCTATCATAACTTAAGTCTTCTGTGTGAAACCCATCCCTTCCAAAAAGTTCCTCACATGATTTACACAGAGAAATTTTGAAGTTTAAGAAGTGCTGAAAAAATAAAAAGAAATCACACTGTCCAGGGACAATACAAATACTCTTTCTCCTTCATTCAGAAGGCAAGGTTAAACCCATGGAAACTCAAGATCCCTATATATGTATAAGCAAAGGAATATACTAAGGGATGTGACTCTGAATATACAATTCTTAATCACCTGCACCACTTCTTCACTTTGTAATGCTTCTATCTGTCGAGGTCGTCGCTGTCTATCACTATTCCCATGACCCAATTTGCCATAATCACCATCTCCCCACGAGAATACTTCACCACTTTCTGCTAAGGCCAGGCTATGACCATCAGAGCCGCAAGATGTTGCCAGAGCCGTGATCACAAATCCTGAAATACAGAGTTAATATCTACATACAAATTTTCCCCACATAATTCTGAAATCAGAATTTAAATTCAAACATCTACAGTAACAAGATCAGTTAGTTAATGGATTATGTAAACATCTGGCTCAGAGACATGTATTTGCATTGCTACACTATAAGATAGAATGTTGAAGAGTACCATCTTCTGAAACGTAACACTATGTAGTTTGGTGCTACATCCCAGAGGGTAGTATTCTTTACAGTCACCAGGGAAACCTCAAATCTGACATAAAAATTCTAACTCTTCTTGTTCTGTATCATATTATTATTGTACTTCTAATAACTGCTATGAATGGGGAATTTTTAAAAGCTTCACGATAACACCTCATAAATCTGAAATTACAGTGATTAACATAGCTGGAATTTAGATTTATATTCATCAATATCAATAATGTGATGACTGAAAAGTCTATGCCTTCATGGAAAACAAAGATTACTAAATAAAAATTATATTCACCATCTGTAATAATAGGATTCATTGTAAATCACATTCCAAATAATACAGTGTGACTGACCTACCTTGGAGAGAAGATATGATGCTAAGTGAATGTAGATCATCAGAATTTCCCTGACCAAGACGCCCATAACTGCCTTCCCCACAGGCTAGTACAGTGCCATTGGCCTGGATCACAAACGTGCAGTTCTGACCACACACAATCTGTTGTGCCCCTGAGAAGGATTCTGTCTCAACTGGCATTAATGCACTCCGGCCTGCAAGAACAGGATGCTATATATACAAACTCTCTTAATGAATTAACATCAACACTCTATCGCCATAGAGTTGATTGGTCTTCAGAAGTGAAAATATTGACTATAAGAATTGATTAAAACAAGAAAAGGCTTAAATTAAATGATTAATAATGAATATAATTGTATCGCATACAAATTAAATCCTAGATTTCAATTTACTGAAGATCCTAAGCCTATTAGATTCTAAAGGTCATTGGATTTTTCAATCTACCTACTCCTTCCAGCCGCACTATGGCCCTGGGGTCGACTCAGCCTCTAACAGAGATGAGTACCAGAAATCTTCCTGGGGGGTAAAAAGCAGCTGGCACATAAGGCTGACAACCTTTCCATCTATGAGTTGATTGTCTAGAAAATGTGGAAACCTTGGCGTCTCACAACCCTATGGGCCTCCACGGCCTGTTAAAGGGATACCTTTACTTACTTACCTGCTTCTCCAAGCTGGCCATGCCTACCACTGCCCCACAGAAAAGCATGGCACTTCCCACCTATCTGCCAGTCATGAGGCTGCTGGGTGGACCAACTCATTATTTGTTCATCTGCTTTGAGGCTCCACCTTGAGTTATTGGTGGCAATTAAGCTTTCATCTTCCTCTTCTAGAATAATAATAATAATAATAATAATAATAATAATAAACATGACACATGCAGCACATTAAAATGTGTATAAAACAAATTTGTAATGAACAAATGTTTTAGTCCCTTATATAAATATACTAAATTTCTTCATAAAGTTTTAATACAAGTAAATGCTGATTAAATTACTGAAAAATTATGTTAAACTTAATTCAATAAAATGTTCAGTTCACATATCAATATTAAAATTTGTAATACAGTGAAATCTAATCAATTTTTCCCTCTCAAATTTCACATTATGGAGCGTCATTTATTATTTCATGCTTCACAGAATTCAAAATGGTGAATATTATAAAGAAACAAAGTAAAGAAACATATATAATGTTAGAAAGATATTCAAAGTAAGTATTAGAAAAAAGAAAACTTAAAAGTTCAGGATCTACCGTAATTCACTGCAATGGTATTTCACTGTATTCAATTCCTAGGATTTTAGTTCCCGTGTATTAGAGCAAAATCTGTTGAGATGCGAAAAGCAAATGCCCACCCTTAGTTCCTTCTTGTACAAGTGTACAGAACTCCTGTGGTAGCTTCGTTCTGTTTACAAGGGCTTCTGCTGTATGCACACCAACACTGAAAACTTGCAACCACTGCCATTCTGGAACTTAAATCAAACAATAACCTCAGCACAAAGTAGTATGCACTTCTAACACTTAAAATTAACAGAAATGTAATTTTTATGTGTATCACCCAGAGGTCCAGGTTCCATTCCAGGCGCTACCAGATTTTCTGAGAAGTAGTGGGTCTGGAACAGGGTCCACTCAGTCTCGTGAGGATAACTGAGGAGCTATTTCAAGAAAATAGTGGCTCTGGTCTAGAAAACCGAAATTAACAGCCATGTGGATTCGTTGTGCTGACCACGTGACACCCTATATCTGCTAACGTTAGCACTAACTTGGCCAACAAGCGGCAGTTCGTCGGTGGGTATAGTTCGCTTGCAGACTAAAACCATGGAGTTTGTTTTGTATCACCATTCAGTCAAATCATAGTCCAGTTTTAAAGAATGCAGGAGACTGACAATATACAATCCTGAAGCTTACCAACAGAGAAGTACTCATCATGGTTGGGTGGCACAGGCTGATAGCAGAGCACCTTGTCTAATCGCAGCAACAGAACCAGAGCTGCCAAGCATTTGAGATGACAACTGTGTAACAGCTGCTCCCCACTCACAACCAATGGCTTCTCATACTGATACTGTTCTTGTAGAAGGGTGGGTAGTGCCTGCAACAGTGCTCGCAGACAGGGGGCACTCTGCAGGCCTGTTACACCTTGACGGAGAAGCGAGGCATTTGCTCCTGCTAATACACGGATTTGGGTCATCTCTCTCATGCCATAATGCAATATACGAACATCCTGTAAAATAATGGAAGAAATAAGCTAACGTGTTATAAGAATGGTTCCTTACATTCAAACATCCCTCTCCTATGACTACTAAGTCTTGCATTTCCACAGGCCACAAGTCAAGGTTTCCTTACTTTATAGTTACATTCATATTTTAAAACATGAGCACTTTCCTATTAAGAAAAGACAGAACTTGATTTCATTTAAATATAATGTATCCTCTGCCTGTTTTCATGCAATATAAGAGATTATAAAATTATCACTGTTTTGATAATGATTTTCTTCTTATTCTTAGTTTGATACAGATTTTGTATACATTCATAACTGTTAAAACCTTGTTTTCTCATTCTTTAAGCTGTCTGTACCCACAAAAAATGAAGCAAAGATTCTGTTACATAAGCAACACGACATTCATTGGTAGTATCTCAGTAGAACAGCCACATCCTCTGATCAGTGATAAATGAAATTTAATTCCAATTCCTCATTACAGTAATTTTAAAAATCATCAGCTAGATAATGTACAACAGAAGTAATAAGGTGTTACCTTAGATCTGCGAAAGCAGACAGCCAAACCAGTTTCCCCCAGCCAGGTTAATGAATGTACACCCCCTGTTCCCGTATTAGTTTGCAAGAGGCTACCATCTTGAAGAGACCAGATGTTCACAACACCACTGGGACCTTTGATGCTGCCTGCAAATTGAATACAACCAGCTCTTATTAAGTGATTAAAATTAGTCAGAAAAAATTAATGTACTGGAACTGTAAACAAAGGCTGGGTCTTAAATATAGTACGTGGATACTAAGAACAAATCTCTGGCCGCGCCATAGCTCAATCGGTTAGTCGCTGGCTTCCCACCGTGGCGGCCCAGGTTCGATCCCGGGTCTGGTCAAGTGGGATTTGTGGTGGACAAAGTGGTGCTGGGGCGGGTTTCCTCCGAGTACTTCTGTTTCCCCTGCCAATCTTCATTCCACAAACTGCTCCACAATCACCCTCACCTATTATCTGGGGCTGGTACAATAGGCGAGAAGTGGCTGCAGTACAAGGGACTTAGTCCCACCCCACTAGCAATAAAAAAGAATCTCAATATAGTAGCTAATAACATTTCATTTGATGAAGATGATGGTTTAACAGTATTAAACAGGTCAGGGTCATTTTGTGAACTAATGCTTTAATTATTTTCATAATACAAAAGGGCAGAATTTTGTAATTTAAATTAATAAACATTTCCAAAACTGAATTACTGTATTATAATTCCATAAGAGGCTCATATTTTAGTAACATAAAATTCACGAATAACAGCCCAGACTCCATTTGAAACTATTAAAGGGCTTACATAACTTATACTTAATGTTCCCTCTTTGTAGTACTGTGACATAAAGGTGGAAAACCTATTTCCAGCACATAAACCTACCTATTAACTCTCTTCAGTCGTAACATACTGGTAAAGGAAATTCCTACCTCTCTCAACTTCCCCCATTCTTGTTAATATGTATGCATTATCCTTGGTGCAGTTCAATATTCACATCCTAACAAATCTCACTATGGACACCAAAAACTTCTAGATTTCTACAGTGATAAACTGACCTGATGCTAGTAGCAGACCATCCCTGTGGACTGATAACGATGTGACAGGATGATATAAGTGACCCTGAAGTTGCATAACAAGTTGGGGTTCCATCCTATGGTGATGCTCTTCGACATGGGCATCAGGCAGCGCCCACACACTCACTCTTCCTTGTACAGTTCCCACACACAACAGAAGAGGAGTACATCCTTTACCTTCAAGGAAACAGAAGACGATTTAATATCACCTACTGGTGCCTATATGCTCAAAACGAAATTGTCATCAAGATCAATGTTTCCATCTTGCTGCCCATCACTTCATTCAGTAACTGGCATAAAAGGCCAGCGCCATAGCTCAAGCAGTTAGTCGCTGGCTTCCCACCGTGGCGGCCTGGATTTTCTCTGAGTACTTCAGTTTCCCCTGCCAATCTTCATTCCAACAAATTCTCCATCATCATAATCATGCGGGGCAGCCTACAATAGGCCAATCAGTGGCTGCCATGCCAAGTGGACCCAGTTGGACTCCACCCCCCCCCCAATAAGCAAATTAAAAAAAAGAAAAACTGGCATAAATGTGACACTAATTAAATATTTTTGTGAAATTTGGTATGAACAATGTGTGAATAAGGGCCACTTCATCTTAATACTTTACAATGCCCTCTCATCAACAATACCAGCATGATGGCCAAGTGCATATGTTAATAAATCAGTAAAACAGTTCTACAATATACCTTATTTTTCAGTTATAATTTACTTACCTACAATAGGTGACCATGCAAGAGACACGGGTTCATGTGGTGGAACAAGTGTATAAACAGAGATCCAGACACTTTCCATCTCTTTCCAAATGTGACACACTCCATCCACTCCACAGGTTGCCAAGAGTTGGCCTCGTGGGTCCCACTTTATACTAGACAAGCCCCCCTACGACCAAGATTTAAATACTGATTAATATTACCACATTCCAAATTTGAGAGAATTTTAGTCTTCAAAACTTTGTGCAGATGGCCAGCAATGATACTCTTTTATGTACAAGGATTCAGCAAGTTAAGAGAAAAACATTCATTGTACTTCATAACATATAAGTTGTCCCTGAGCCTAAGCACCATATCATAAGGAGACAGGGAACAGGGGAGGAATAGTTTTATGCATTTCTATACCTACAAGTAGGTACACGTGACAGGTCAGCTTTATGCTCTGGCCACTTTACCCTGCAGAATGAGCCCCCATTGTATTGGAGCTTGTATGGACATGGTGGCAAAGAGAACAGCCATGGATGAAAACCAGGTTATCCAGCATAAAACAGTCACTTCAGTGACTGAGATATCCAGCACATCTAATAAAATATTATTGTACAATTGCCTGCCCCCTTCCCAGAAAAATCTTCACCTCAACAACACATTTAAAATTTGTTTTTTAAGAATTTGCTATGTTTATTGTTCTCTGCACTCTGCTTTGAAAAAACATAATTCCATAGGAACCATCCTACAGTAACAAACTTCCAACTAACCTGATGTGCAGATACTGATACGGGCTGGAAGTTTGGATTCTTACGCCCTAACTTCACCACGCCATCTGTGAATGCGATGGCAAACTCCTTTTCCTCATCAAACCACTCAATGTGAGTAACTGAGGCTGGCAAAAAGAAAGAATGAGAAAAGTAACACCACAATATTCAGACTGTTACACATGATCACACGAAACATTTCTAAAAACCAATAATGTGTTCATTAGGTTCAATGCAGGGGCTTATTTAACAAATTCCAAAGCTTCAACTTTTCATCAAACATAGAAGTACATGTGCATTACACAGACTTAACAGCCAATATACAAGCCTACGCAAATCACCAATAAACTTAGAATAAGAAATTATGTTGATCAGTTTAATCTATATACAACAGTGCTATTTACTGGCAACTGCAACTCTGAAGAAATGTCACCAATTTCAAGCAAGAAACTAGTTTTCAGATTAGCATGTGCATACTGAGAAAACTTTTGTTTGATCAGTTGCTCACATTATCTCAAGTGGGTGAATTTGTCTAACTTAATATAGATGCACTTCTTTTCTGCAATGTCAGATAATAATATTGATCCTGCCATAATTTGGTGGTGGCTGAGATGGCATGAGAAGAAAGTAACTGGGAAAAGAAATAATTGGGTGCATCCCACCCCTTATAAATTCATTCAAAAAAATACATGCACTGATAATGAGATAACATTTTATGATCCTGCATGTATTTTGGGCAGAACACTGTTTTCATTATATAGAGATCAGCTCATAATCTAACTACTGCAATGCTACTGTTATATGTGGTATTTAATGGCATTGTCTTATTTATGACCACTTTCCCTTATGCAGTTCACAGTTAACTACAAAATAAGTAAAAGAAGTAAAAAAGTAAAGCTATCCCTGTAACAGTCCGTGAAGGCCCATAGGGTTGTGAGACACTGAGGGTCCCACATTATCTAGACAATCGGCTCAAAGATGGTGGTAAGGATGTCAGCCTTACGCGCCAGCCGCGCTTTACTCCCTACGAAAATTATTTAATTAATTCCTGGTACTCATTTCTGTTAGAGGCTGAGTAAGCCCCTGGGCCTAGTGCAGCTGGATGGATTAGGTCAACTGAAAAAAAAATCCAATGACCTCATTGGGATTTGAACCCACGACCTTCCGGCTTGTTGAGTTGCTTTTACTATCCACATATAACTGGGCAGGCCTTTACTCTATTATGAGCATCCTCCAAGCTAGTCAATTTATATAATTTTCTTTTACCAGGCTTTTCTCAAATGAAAAAAATATCATGAAAACAATTCATAATAGGCTGCAGAGATGAAATTCAGTCTAACAACAAATAAACAACATGTATACAACATATAGTAAAATTGGATGGTTAACAGAAGACAAGCACTTACCAAAGGAAAGAACCATGGTAGAAATAATAAAAAGATACTGCCAATTTTTTGCCCACACAAGTCAACCTTTTCATCAACAGTAAATGATATAAATGTGTAATAAACAAGTAATGAAGATGGAGGAAAATTATTTCCCACTTACCATACTGTTGTGAACAATGGACTAATTCTTCACGTTGCTTGTTTCTTGGGAAGATGGTCAGCAGGACAACTGAGCCATTGATTGTCCCTACCAAGAGATGTTCTGGTTCATCCTGGCTTGTCACTTGTGGCCATGCCATAGAAGTTACCCAAGCAGATTGTGTATCAATGTGAAAATCCTCCCCTGTCACAGCAACATCTGGACCTCCTGTAAGATTTTCAGAAATTATGATTTTAAAACTAACATTTCTTACTCTCTAAACATCACTCCCAATTTGTGTTCTGCATATTTCTTTATGCTTAACAGCCTATAAATAACTTTAGACTAAAACCATAAATACAAGAATTTTTTGTATCCTCAAGTGATCACTAACATGAAATATACAGCTGTTGCTTGGCACCTTAATCATATCTTAGTACTCTACTCCAGCTCTCAAAATACTGCCAGATACTGAGAATTCCTCAGCTACTCAGGAATTCTCATCTTTAGGGAACATGAATGTTCTTACTGTGTTCACAAGTGCACATCACTGGAACCTATCCTGAGCTGGTTGAATCCGGTTCACATTCATACATCTCATTATTTCAGTACCATTTTAACACTGCTTCCATAGACAGATAGACATACAAACTTATATCTTTTATTGGGATTTCCTCTTATTCTTTTGTGCATTTCTTATCTCATTCACACAAGTTGCAACAAATTTCAGCTAAGGATGGGATACTGATGCATGCACTGGAACCATGACACTGTAATGTCTCCTGAAATGTCACCTCATACATCACAATCTGTACAATTACAGTGTCATGATGCAGGTATCACTACTCATACCAATGTATATGGGGGTCCTTCAGTTGAAGGAACGAAAATATGTCTTGATACTTAATGTGTATATTCCAGCACCCATTTGAGGATGTGGTTTCTTCCATTTATCCAAAAATACATGGAGTGGTTATAAAATAAACAGACTGATTTTTTGCTGACTCCTTGTGGCCATGGCAACACTTAGCACAACTTCCAAGGCCATACAGCCAACAGTGTGGTAGCAGCCTTTGTTTGAAGTGGACCATGTATCTGAGCTCCGTCAGGATTATGTCAAGTGCTAAAAGTAGAGCAACGTGCCAATGTGAAATTCCTCACAAAACTTGGAAAATCTGCTAAAGAAACATACAGTTTGTTGATGGAAATTTATGGTGATGAATGTCTATCTCGTGCTCAAGTTTTCAAGTGGTTAAAAAGATTTAAAGAGGGAAGGAGAGCGATCAAAGATGATCCACACACCGGTCAGCCTTGCATGTCAAAAACATTGCAAAAGTCAGTGAAACTGATCAAAAAAATTGTTGCCTGAGCATTCGAGCAGTTGCTGAATTAGCTAACATTGATAAAGAAAGTGCTGGACAGATTTTACATGAACATTTTAGCATCAGAAAGGTGTGCTAGAAGATCATGCCGAGAATCCTCACTCCTGAGCAAAAGGAAACTTGAATGAACACTGTGCTGACATCCTTCAAAACATTGGAAATGATCCAAACTTTTTAAGAAATGTAATAACTTGTGATGGATCATGGTTTTCTCAGTATGACCAACAAACTAAGCGCCAATCCATGCACTGGAAAAGTCCCAGGTCACCAAAAAAAAAAAGCATAGAAGAGCAAGTCAAATTTTAAAGCAATGATGATCTTTTTTTGATATCTGAGGGACTGTTCACGTTGATTGGGTACCTGAAGGTCAGACCATTAACCAGGTCTACTATAAGGAGGTTCTGACAATCCTTCATGAACAGGTGAGAAGAAAAAAAGACCTGAAATTTGGAAGAAGGGTTCATGGATTCTTCACCATGACAACACACCAGACCACAACGCACAATCTGTAAAGATGTTTCTGGTGAAGCACAAGATCCACGTGTTGGAACATCCACCCTACTCACCTGACCTAGCCCCATGTGACTTTTTTTATTTCCAAAGATCAAGTCTGCATTAAAAGGAACCTGTTTCATGTCTGCAGTGAAGGCAAAGGCCACGGAGGTAATGAAGAAGCTATCAGAAAAGGACCTGTAGCAGTGCTTCCAACAATGCAAAATTTGCATGGAGCTGTGTAGGGGTCGGGGAGGGGACCACTTTGAAAGTGATAACATTTTCATTGTGTGATTAGATGCATCAGTAGTTATTTTATAGCTGTTCCACATAGGTACACTATAAATCCACTGTATAAATTAAGTTACAGTATGTCCAACACACCAAATGAGATGTTCTACATTTACCGACCTGGGAGGTGCCATACATTGACAGTATTGTCCATGGCTGCTGCCACAAATTTCCCTGAAGCAGACCAACCCAACTGTGAAATGAGTTCCCCACTCAACTCACTTCCATATACATTTTCTGACTGATGAAACACCAAAGTGTGTGCTAGAAATGCCTGGTTAGTATTGGCTGAGCACCATACTCGCACTGTTCCATCATAGCCACTGTAGAAAAAAAAGAATGCCTTGTTTATGCAGTAGATACAGCAATACAATATGATGACAGAGTAGGCAAGTCTCAAAGTAAGTGCTCAGAGTGTACAAATATGCTGCTTCACCAAAAGATGGATTACTACATTCACATTTACCCTACAGTGACCACTATCTGCTACTCCTTTCACTGAGACAGGCCATAAATTACATGTCTGGTGAATAAACGTATGGGGCAGCTTTGTGAACCTCTGATTTGTCAAGAGGTGATGTAAGGCAATAAGCATGGTCACTACACACAGCATCCTTCTTCTTGCCCTTAAAGCATCCAAGTATTGAGAAAACCAACATAAGCAGCCTCAGTGTAAGAGTACACCCATATTCCCAGGGCATACAATAATAATATATATACTATACAGTATACAGGTAATGCACATGAATGCCCCCCCTCCACAATCACTCGCTACTTCAACTATTCATTCATTCATCAGTAATCTGTCAGACGACAGGTCCACACTCTCTTCCAAAACAGTTCCTCCACTTAATGCGATCTTCTGTTTTTGGAAAGAGACTGTCCAGGAAAAGTGATAATGTGGTAGTTTTTCCATTTGCTTTCCACATCGCAGTACAACAGCCATTCAAACCACTCTGGTCATGCCTGTTGCTATACGAACTTGAACCATCTTGAGCATCATTTGCTCTGTGCTTCAAGTCGCTGCTGATGACGCTGCTTCCGGCATCAGTTTTTGGTGTCTTTCTTCGTCTGATGCCTACCCTTTGACCTGTCCAGCAAGGGAGGCCCTGCCAGTAGCTATGCTACCGCTGGTATAGCTCTCAGGGTCCTTAGCATACTCAAACCCCCTCACCACGATAAGGTGGAGACACCAACGAGGGTTTTTTTTTCCGGGACAGCGCGAACGCAGTCCCAACTACCAAAAATTACGCGCCCGAGTTACCCACATTTGGGGCAATTGCAGGGGTCAACCCAACTACAGTGCAATGGAAGGGTCTCAACCTGGGGGAACAGCCTTCAGGATCACTATATCATCTTATTAATAGTCTGTATACTGGTAGTTTTGTTTCTTAGTTTATTTAACACTTCTCAGTCCACTCTGCTAAATAAGGAACAAAAGGATGATAAGTTTGTTCATGAGTGGACTTAGGGTCATTTAAGATCTAAGGCTATGTGCACCTGTCTAAAATTTATATGTAAATCCACAGTTCAACATATAAGAAAAATATATGGATGTCACAACTGAAATGACATGAGAGTAAACTCGCAAGTAGAACTATCAGATAACTTTCAGATCAGTCATATGTTAAATATGATAAAACGGTACTGAAATGTACATGGGGCTGTCATTAAAATCCTAATAATGGTGACGATTACCTATCAGAACACCGATATCTCTGCAGCATGAAAAATCCTAGGTATCAAGCTTCTACTCAGCAGCTTCCTTAGTGGCAGCCTGTCAGGTAAGTACGATCAGGTATCTATCAAGAATGATAAGTAGGGAAGGATATGTTTGGAAATTACTGCAGCCTATTTTAAGGCATTACACAGTTATTTTCTTGGTGGCACTGGGAGAAAAACCAGGAACTTTGAAACAGTAACACTCAAATATGCAGCAAGAGTGCTAATCATTACACTATTATGTTTGGATCACAGAATGAGCAACTATATGTGTGATCTAATGCTCAAAGTACCAGGTGGCAAGCATGCCTCTGTCTTCATGCCAGGTTGTAAAACTGGTGCGATTGTCATGACCCTTCAGCTCCATCATAGAACATGGTGGCATCACTCCTGACAGATCAGCGAAGTTCAGGCTATCAAGGTTCTGGGGTGACAGAACTGATATCTTTGCTGCAATGCACTTCACCTGTAACACGGGGTATACAGAATTACTAATTAAAAACAAAACACCATAAAAAGACAAGCAATACAACTGTACCTCTATATACGCAGTTGTATCTGATAATATTATGACATGAGGGCTCAAACCCAGAATTCTGGAGCAAGAAGAAATATCCACTGCTATGTTATAACAAGGTAAACACATGATGGGACTACTAAGTTGGTGTTCATTGTTAAGCAATGGTTGGCAAACATCACGTGACTACAGCAACAGTTACACACAACAGAGGATCTACTGTAGGTGAAATTTTCTATGCGGTGTAGGTCAAGGCTGTACATATAAGTTGGCCAGCTGGACAAGCCAGAACAGTCTGCAGGCAATCTTCAGTCAGTGAGTTCTGAGACACAAGAGTGCTGAGTTGGAAGTATCAGCCACCAATAGTAAGTGGTAGCCAGTGAAGGCCAGTGAAGCTGCAGATGGATCATTTAATTTGTCAGAATTATTATTATTTGTACAATTAATTGGATATGTGTATTCTATCCTTAAAAAGGAGCTGTTTGTTCAAATCCTTTTCAGAGGGTGAGATGCTGTTCAAATACTTTAAAACTGCTTACATCAAAACAAATGATACTGAACTTCAAATGAATGACATTTTACAGTATTACAAATAATGAGAATTGTCTAACTATTTTTCTGTTTGCCACCCACTATCAAGTACATATAGAAATTATTAAATTGTTTCATACCAATTGCTGAGATGCCCACTGACGATGACTAGAGGCCAACCTTGTAGACAGAATACAGGCTGCTAAGGCGTCTGGGAGCTGTAATGGGCTTATGACTGGTGCATCTGTCACTGGACTGCTTACCAATTTATCATCATTGTCTTCTGTTTAAGGGAAAAGTAACAAAATTCATAATAAAGCCTATATACAACTTGGTTGGAACTTTAGAACAGTGGGTCTCAACCTCTGTGAGATCATGACCCAATAAATTCTTTTTTTATGAGACAAGGGCCCAGTATAATTGATGCCAGGGCCCTGAACTGGGCTGTGGCCCAGCAGTTAAGAAACACTGCTTTAGAGAGAGAATTTTATGGATGATATAAATATGTTAATGAATAAACAATTAAATTCCCTTGCTTGCTATTCAAGTCAATATATCTGTATTATGTTTATATTCATACAGTACCAAGAGAAACTGTTGTCTTGTCTGGATTGAACATGAATTTCCTGTTGTCTGAGCACAATTTTGACAGTGATCAAAAAAAGATCTCCTAGATTTATATAAATTAAATAACAGTATTAAACGGAAGCATAAGTGTAGTATATAGACCTATTCAAAATTGGCACCTTCTCTGCAGTCACTAATTCAATAACGAATAATTTAATTCCATTTCAAGGCTTGTTGTCTGCAATCAATACAAAGAAGCTAGTATTATCATGGTGAAAAGATGAACAATATAAAACTGTTTTCTGAACAGTCTAATTCAATGGCTCAAGTGTTTAAAAGAAACCCATTGCTTTCTTGTAATAAGAAATGGTAGAAAGAAATTAAACCCTTGATGACAGGAGACCTCCACAGAAACTGTATAAAGCCTAAGCACAAAATGGATCAGTGGAGAGTGAAGTTGAGTGTCTTGAACTTAGATCATGTCAATCTGTCATTCATCTCAGAGTTGTGAACAGAATGCCACCTCTGACTTCACTAAGTGAAATTCAATTGAATATGTTATATACAAAATTTACATTTTAACTCACTTTCTCTTCACCTGTTATTTGTGTCACAGCTGAGATAGTGCTTTGATACATTTGTAATTGTTTTCTTATAACTGAAATGTTTAAAGTAAAGAGTAAAGGTATCCCTGTAACAGGCCATGGAGGCCCATAGGAGATGTTGAGGTTCCCACATTTTCTAGACAATCGGCTCATAGATGGTGGTAAGGTTGTCAGCCTTAAGCGCCAGCTGCCCTTTACCCCCAAGAATATTCCTGGTACTCATTTCTGTTAGAGGCTGAGTCGACCCCAGGGCCATAGTGCGGCTGGAAGGATTAGTTAAATCCACCTCATTGGGATTCAATCCCACGATCTTTTGGCTTGTAGCATAATGCCTCAACCAACAACGCTACCGCCTGCCCCTTAACTGAAATATTTACTTTCTTTATGTTGCAAACAATGTACTGTATACGAATGGCTTCATCAGTAAAGTAAAACAATGAGATGCAAGAACAGAATGTCACATTTTGAGGTCAATGATGTCCAAAATTTTCATTTCACTATACATGGCGAAAACTTTGATTCAGTTAAACTGAATTTCATAAAAATATACTTAAATAACATTTATCTGACAGAGAATTAAACAGAAAATGAAAAAAAAATTGAAAAAATTCAAGTTTCTTAATTTCAACGTTCACTTTAAAGGCAATCTCTTGGAATACATTTCTTGTACTTTTCCATACAGAAATGATTTGGAAGTTTTCTGTGGGGAGTACCTTTAACAGTGCTGGTAAGCGAAGTACCACCATGAGAGGCCAACAGGCTAACTAGTGCCTGAGTAACAGCAAATCCATGGGTAACATCAGGTGCTCCAATTCTGCTGCCAGAGGACTGATTTACTGCACCCATAGCAGCTGCTAACAGCTCCTATAATATTAAATGCTGGATGCACTAATGAAATACAGCCAATAAACAGAAAATTTGTGATTACTTCTGGAGTGTTTTTTAAGCAGTGTCATAAATGCCTTGGGGAAACTGTATTCCTCTCTTTGTCTGTTCAAAATAAAATCATCAGAGTAAATATTCAGTGTCTATTAACTACTCATTTCAGATTGTTTGAATCAAACGGGTGACATGTCTAATTTCAATATTAAAGCACCACTTAAAAAAGATATTTGTACACTAAGGAGAAATTATTAATATAAAATGAAACTCTTATCTCATAACTAATACAAACTATTGACTAAAAATCCTGGATTCACTGAACATTCAAACCAGTACAATCTTCAATGCCTATAATCCTCACAACTAGCTTACGGCTGTAACCTGTCAACATAAATGGTTCAGATTTTTAGTAACAAAATGTCAGTTAGAAGGAGATCCACAATTGCATTATTGTTTCATTATAAAAACATCCTTACTCACATCCTGCAAACACTGTCTTAACTTCTACCTAGGTCTGAATGCCTCACATCTTTTCAAAGCATTGGAAAAATATGTAAGGAGAAACCTCAGAATAATCTCGTCTTGTAACCTTGTGCTTCAAAACAAGTTTCTTAAATATATTACAAATATCCGAAGGAAACATATCTCAATATTACATCTTTCTTCTAAGCCCTTTGGCTTCTATTGCTCTCTTTGCTACAAACTCATAATCTGCCAGATTGATGTTAGTATTACACTCTAAAATCTGTAACAAGTAAATTTTTACAGAATATATTTATAAAAGAAAACATTACTCTAACATATGTATTTTATCTGTCTCTTCAAAAGACAAACAATAATGAATTTCTAAAGTTCAAATTAACTGTACTTTCTTTTGAATGAAGTCACAAAATGAAATATTCATAAAGCCTTCTCTCCAACATACTTGTCCTGAAGATGGGACACATAACTGAGAGATTAGGGCTGGAACTTCGTACATTTACGCATACTGCAAATTTCAACACTACTTTTCAAGAACAATTGTAACTTCAGAAAAGAACTCATGTGAATTTATAATTTTAATTAGTGTCCATTGTTTATCTTCCATCAAAATTGCAACACTTTTTACATTCTACATTTCAACACTACATGTTTCGGCCCCAAACGGCCATCTTCAGGCATTTTTATGTTACAGATATTATACTAAAACTGTGTTAAAAACTGCTACACTGTTTTAATTTGTGTTAAAATCACATGCTGTAGTCTTCTTTTTAAGTAAAACAAGATAAAATCCTTTAAAATTTAGTTTTAGTAAAATATCTGTAACATAAAACACCTGAAGATGGTCGTTTAAGGCTGAAACATGTAGTGTTGAATGTAAAAGCGTTGCAATTTTGAAGGAAGATAAACAATGGACGCTAATTTGAAAAATTGCAATGGGATGCTGAAATACAGAATTATAATTTTAAGTTTCATTTAACTGAACTTTTATACCCCCTGAATCCTGTGCTTAAATTGCTATTGTCTGTTCATGTGCATCCGCTCCTGTGTCACCTTCTAGACAGATAATTCAGTAACTTCACCCTTGACTCAGCTCTGTGACAGACATTTGACAATTATATAAATATTTAACAATGTTCATTATATTTAATTCCTTATTCTTTACCTTAGTGCACATCTGTAACACTAACTCTGAAGCCTCCTTATCTGTCTGTGCCAAAGCAGCAATTGCACAACTAAGGTAGCTGAGACAGGTAGCAGTTGCTGGAGGCAGATGACTTGTGAGATGGCCCAACTGTAAAGAGGAGGCTCCTGCACCAGGCCTGGGCCCCCCTTCAGTAAGGGGTTGCTGCATATCAGAAGCCAATTCAACCCGACCCCCAGCAGTTAGACTCATGAGACGCACTACCTTGCGGATGTCAGATAAACCAATGGCAGCCAGTCCAGCAGGCAGACTACATGATGTTCCACTGCATAACAGAAGATCAATCATTTCCTTCTTTGTATTTTCCAGTCGTAAATATCATGAAATCCAAGTATAGTGTACCCCTGCAGACTCGAAACAGTACATATATACGAAGGGGGACCCAAAAATAACCGGAAATGACCTGTTGCACGCGCATGCTTTGTAGTTACGAGTTGTGCTGCTAGGTGGTGTTAGCTGGAGGTCTCCCGCGACTGTTAGTGAGCTGGCGTCAGTCTGAGTTAAGTGGTTTGTCTGTGGTGCTCTGTTGTGTGCGTTCCTGTTTCAACCCTTTGGCGATTAGTGAGATGGCCGACCAGAAGGAACAAAGAGTGTGCGTGAAATTTTGCTTTCTGTTAGGGAAAACTGCACTTCACTCTTCAAGTCGCGGCAAACATTCACGCGGTTTTCTCTTTGGTCATCTCCGAGCAAGCGAGGAACAAATTTTGCAGACACCCGTCTCATGTGCAAACCTTCGGTTAAAATTCGCTGGACCGTGCTCCATGAGATGTTCGTTTCCTCAGAAAGTTGGTCAATGGTCTTTCGACGATCTTCATAAATTTCACGCACACTCTTTGTTCCTTCTGGTCGGCCATCTCACTAATTGTCAAAGGATTGAAACAGGAACGCACACAACAGAGCACCACAGACAAACCACTTAACTCAGACTGACGCCAGCTCACTAACAGTCGCAGGAGACCCCCCAGCTAACACCACCTAGCAGCACAACTCGTAACTACAAAGCATGCACGCGCAACAGGTCGGTTCCGGTTATTTTTGGGTCCCCCTTCGTACATTGTATAAAACCACATCACCAATGAACAATCAAATAATACTACATATTCTTCCTATAATTATTATTTGTAAATTTTCTGTATTTATAATTCTCGTAACTAGAGAAGAACATTCAAGTGTGAGCATGCTGGAGTGCTGTATACTGCTATAGGTTATTAATGAAACTTAGAGAAGAAATTCAGCAGAACAAGAACAGTTACAGATTCGGTGTTATTTTATCGTAAAGTAAGTCTGAAAGTATAATTACCTAACAGACAGTAAGGAAAGAGCACTCATCACCACTGAACGGGCTACTAGGATCTGTGCAGCTGCTGTGATCCTCTGCAGAGCCATAATGCGATCCTGCGAGGATGTGAGGAGTGACGCCTGCTCACCGAGAGATTTGTGTTTGCCATCTCCTTTAGCAGCTCCAGGCTTCAGTTGTCCTGCCAAACAAATTTGTATAGGCAAACCCAGTGGTTCACACAATTTGTTTGAATATCTGAATACTTTTTTAGGCCCGTTACGATTTAAATATTGGGGTGCTGAAGTTTACACTCTCAATCAATACTATACATGCTTGTGTAAGTGATACAGATGCTGGTCAACAGCAGGCATGTAGTCCAGATCAAATGGGCCTGATATTCTACTCATGTTCATAAAGTTACATAACAGATTTCTTAGACATGATGGATGAACTAAGCTAGTTGGTTCAACCAGTAATGTTTCTGACCTGTTTTCAAGATGGGCCTGGTTAAAATATCAGTTGGGACACCAACTATCTGAATGAGGTGTTCTGTGATTATCCTTGGTCCCTCCAGGTAAATGCTAAGATAGTGCTTTATATCAGGCCATGACCACTTCCTGTTACACACTTCTCAATCCAGTATTCACCATCACCCAATCATTTTACACTATATATTATGAGTTACTAACAGCATCATTGTATAAACTAACAACAGATAAATAGAACTGGGATAGTGCAGCCAGTATAGCAATTGGTTACAGGCTCAATGACTAAGGGGTTGGAATACTAGTCCCAGTAAGGTCAAAAATTATCTCTTCTCCACATCTAGACCAGCTCTGGGGCACACCCAGCCTCCTATCCAATGGCTACTGAAGACTCTTTCCCCTGGGGGCATGACACTGACCACCCAACTCCAACTATTGCTGAGATCAAGAAAACCTGGATCTATACATCCATTCCTCCATATAACTTCATGGCACAATGCTTAATTAGTTAAGCACAGGGAAAACTTTACCAATACCAACAAATAAATTTTGGCTGGTTTCAAAATGAAGACTTTGGCTTGCAAGACCACAACACCACCAGTCCGTTACTTCACAGAACATTAACCTTTAACGGCCGAATGTTATAATTATTCACCTCAAGTAGCAAGCCGAGCTGGCCGAATGTTATAATTTTTAGGGGCAAGCCACGTGCTTCCTTTGTGAGTGCTGGCAGTTTGACCTTGGGTTTGAAACCCAAACAAACTCATGAACGTTCATGTCAGACATTTATTTGTTAGCTCTGAACAATGAAATCGTTTATCAGGGTACTGGTTTCGAAACTATTTACGTTTAGATATGACTGTTTATAACCTGGTGAGCCAATAGAGGTCAGCTTTGTTTTGAGAAGTTAGAGGAGGAAATATTCGTAAGCACTTTCATAGCAGTGCTACCAGAGCTTTCAAGGAAGTGTGGCTCATTCAGGGATTGGTTTGCAGTGTTGAATTCTCAGTTAGGACGTCAGTGGCGGATTTTCTATATTTTGTTAAAAGTTAGGAAGTCAGTGTCAGACTCCTGTATTTCTTTTATATCATTTTTATTGTGTATCTCGGAAGTGGTATAAATACACTGAGCCAGTGTTACTTTGTGCGTAAAGACATCTTCGTCACCGTGACTTTCGGTATCAGTGGCGGACTGGCACTTTTCGACTGCTTTTGCAATTACTTTGCATCACAATTTTGCGAGTATTCTTCCACCTAATAGACATGTCTATTCTCAATGAATATCTGTTACACAAGTCATGTGATGGAAAAATGACGCACAAAAATTTCCGCGAAATTTTGGTGCGTGATTTGATTCTTCAATCACGTGAGGCGAATATCACGGTCAGTAGTGTTTTTTGGGGGAGACCAAGTTCATCTGGGGCCCAACTGAGTCGACTGGAGGTGAAACATTCAAAACACTGACCAGCTAAAGGGAAACAAAGACGTTTGTTCTATAAACAAGAAAAGCGGGAGCACGCTTTACCGCTGTAGAGTGTGATGTCACGCTGTGTGATGGACTGCTTCGAGAGTGGGATGCGCGTAAGAGTGTAAACTGTGAAGCGATGCAGTCCAAACCGTGTACAGTCCGAACCAAATATTATTGTATATAGAGTCGTCATATTTACATCACCACCACAATTCAAGGTTGAAAAAAAACAACAGGTAAGTCCTTTGGAATTTCATAACGTATATAATAATGATTATATTTTGCACTTCATGACAAAATACTCACAGTTGATTTTCATTTGTAAAACTTGCCCTTTTGTATATATGTAGAAAATTTTATTGTCTTTCAGGTTCTTTTTAGTTCATATTCCGATGTTGCATAGAATGGAAAATATGCATTTTTTTCTGAAAGTTTGCAATGTTAAAGACTTAGGGCCATTTAAATTCCGGCCGTAGGGAGCTGCCGGCAATTTAAAAGTCCGTACGTTAAAGGTTAATGTCACCACATGAACTCCAGCCACTGTTTAGGACCAACTGAGATGAAAAGATTATTACACTTAGTGAACTACAAAGAACATGGCTGTAGTTTATTTCAAGGTATTTATACCTCTTCAAGACAGCTGGTATTCCAGCTGGGATTTAAAATACACATCTCAGGCAAGCACAGATTCTGATTGGATGAAAGGAATATTAGTGAACATCTTAACACTAAAAATGATATGTGGATGGACAAGAATCTGCGGGCTTCAAAGACTTAATGTCCTTGAAAGTTTTCAGAATTGTGTTTAATAACTGATTAGATATTTGTTGGGGAGACTTTTCAACCCCCCTCCCATTTCGTGCATCCTGTTGTGTCTATTATACACAATTCTTTATTGGAGTTCGTCATAACACAACAACATAACAGTCAAGGTATTTAAAAGTTGAAAAATATAGCTAATTTAATGTTGACCTTGACTGTTGTGTTGTTGTGTTATGACGGATTCCAATAAAGAATTGTATTTTCAAAGTTTGATTCTTCCTACATGCATACCCTAAACCTCTCAAAGCTACTCTGTTTACCTAGTTGGCCAGAAGAAATGTTTTCAAGTGTGAAACTTGGCACAGTGCTTGCTCCAAGTGGGTCTGCTTCTTTCAGCAGAAGAGGTTCTGGTGCAGTCCTTCTTTCTCCCAATCCAAGGTAGGGTGCTAGTTTAGAGAAGCTGTCGGACAATAGAGTTGATCGCTCATCCGTCTGCACACACAGTATATCAACTTCTGCAAACACAACCAAGTAATGATCCCATACTATATTTCCACAAAAATTTATATGGATTAATGTGCATTAATTATTACTAATTAAACATTTTAAAATTTAAACAAGCCTGAAAGGTACAATTTAAAATATAATTTCAAATTATATCTTTTTTTTTGCATATGCTATGACAAAAACTGTCATACAGTAACAAGATCAATATATGAATTAAAGAATGACAGATGATTACCCTAAATAGTTTCATACATGACACTAAATCAGACCTGAGTGACACAAATATTATAAATACATAACATGACTGAATTATAGTCTCCATATATCAATAATCACTGGAAAATCAGGAAACATGCAAATATAAATAAAAATAACTATGATGGAAACAATGGGGGCACGCAGTAGCGTAGTTGGTTGAGGCACTATGCTACAAGCCGGAAGGTCCTGGGTCCAAGTCCTAATTCTTCCAGCCGCACTATGGCCCTGGGGTTGACTCAGCTTCTAACAGAAATGGGTACCAGAAATATTCTTGGGTGTAAAGGGCGGCTGGTGCATAAGGCTAACAACTTTCCACCATCTATAAGCGGATTGTATAGAAGATGTGAGAACTTCAACATCTCACAACCCTATGGGCCTCCACGGCCTGTTACAGGGATAGCTTTACTTTTACTTACTTACTTTTATGATGGAAACAATGACTGATAATATTAGTATGGTTATGAAGTGTTAATCTAATATGATTTTAATAAAATATTTTTGGAAAGCAGTTACAAAAAATGTTATGGTAATATCTCAACATCTGAATGGAAAATGTGAACACAAACAAAATAATTAAAAACAGTGCATCCTGCATGCAGTGCCACAGTGACCTCTGGAAACAAAGAAGTACAACTAACATGATAACTTAGGATGATCAGATATTACTATTCCTGTCTCTTTCATATAACTGACCCTGCAAATTAAAAAGAGCATCTAAATTATCGCATACTTTAAAATGAATCCCAACCTGGCTAATTTCTTCTCAAGGAAAAAAATTACACTAAAGAATGTCAAATAAATTCCTTCCAGCAGATGCATGTGTTATGCACATCAATAGTTTTAAACTGAAATACCTTGTACTAGATGAGCAATTACTGTATCAAAAAGTGATAATACAAATGTTTGGGACTAACTGGCTGCCCCGTCAGCATAGTCTTATTGTTACTTTTAAACTACAACAATGAATGGAAACGGAAAATAGTCTCTGTACCATGTTGAACAGAAAACTATTATTAGTTACTATAGGATTCTGGCGATGGTGTATAACACGCAGAGATATTGGGTTTTTGGACTTTATCCATCGTCCTGCTTTTAAGATAACTAAGAAAAAACACAACGTTTCAGAAACTGGATCTGTTTCCATCTTCAGGTGAGGGACCAGTGACCAGTGATTGAGGCTAGCTCTTTCTAAGGGACCCAACAGAATAGGTGTTTTCCCTCACCTGAGGATGGAAAGAGATCCAGTTTCCGAAACACTGTGCTTTTTCTTAGTTATCTTAAAACCAGGACGATGGATCAAGTCCAAAAAACCAATATCTCTGTGAGAAAATTATTATATATAATAGGGTAAGTGAACAACATCAGGCAAGGTGGCCTCAATCAACAATCAATGATTGTCCTGTTTTTCCACTTTCAAATTCTAGTCACCCTTTCCTAACATGAGAAATGTGAAGCTCAATAAGAATCAGAACCTTCATCATGCACAGAGCTGCTGCCCAAGAGATCAGGTGCCAACAGCTGGGCCAGATTGCTGGGAAATACATTGCCACTCACACTGCCCATGACAGCATTACTGCCACCACCAGTATGAGCAGGTAACTTCGGAAAACACTGAAACTGCAAGCTATATTTATCTTGGCATTCATTGCACATCAGGTAATTTGTTCCTGTAACACAAAAATAAAACATAATTTTTACTCTTCACTTAATATATATGGTGGTGGTGGCGATGGCGGTGGCGGTGGCGGTGGCGGTCTGATGGCTGCATGACATTTTTAGATCTGACTTTATTCTAGATGAGGTTATTTCCGATGAGTACACATGTTGTCTTCAGAAATGGCAAATAAGTAATACTGAGAAAGGGGAATTATCTAACAATGAGTGAACAGCTGATATGATATGTTGCTTCTATGGAATAGTAGTGATTCCCTTTCTATAAAAGTGAAAACTCACACTGGAGATTCCACAAGATCATGAAGAACTAACCAAGAATGTTACCACAGTAGCCTGCACCCCAAAGCAAGCCACAGCCTGGGTGTGCTGACAGCATATGACCTGCTAAGTGTGATGATACTTGGTGACAGATTCCACATACAAGAGGCAGTCCGTAATCCATCTGTGCTGCAGCCGTTGGAAACTAACAGATAGAAACAAATAAACAAAAGGCTAATCAAACATAACACTGCAACCTCCTTAAACTCAAATCTCCAAAGTTATGTGGTAGAGATCTCCACAACCCTGTCACACAACACAATATTTCAAGGGACACAGAACCTTACATAAAGGCTATGTCATTGTTATTCTTACAAAAATGAGAACCTCAATATTTTTTACAAAGATAAAACTGAATATCTTATTGATATAATTTTATGCTGAAATAATTATCACTCATACTTTCAAAAAATAAAACTCCTTAAATGTGGACTGGAACATTCTACCACATTTCCTCCACACCAAGCCCAGATTACGAACTCATGCACTCTGTTTAAACACATACTGTAAATACACACTCCATCCCCACACTCACATAACGTGCACACAATGAAACACGGCTGTCAACTACATACTCTGACACAAACATACTGCAACGCCTACTAACTGAGCTACCCTGGCTCCCTGTCAGGCAGGATGGTGTGAAAACATTTTGCAGCCTGTACTAACATATTAACATGATACAGTGAAACTGTGGTAGATCAAGTATGATTTATAATAAGAACTTCATTATAGTGACAAAAACCATTGGATATTGTTGTATATATGGAAAGCCTTCTCATAAAACAAGGGCTCTTTTCCAGCACAACTGTCTTAATAAATGATTCCTAACTAGCCATCACTGTTTCTCTGTAACTTTTAGACCACCTACACTTGCAGTTTTGCTTCCGACTTATGGCTAGCATCCCAAACCCTATCTGTCCTATACTTGCCTGGGAGAAAGTTTGAATTCCAGTACCCCCCTCCAAGTTTTAATCTCTGAGAAATGTGCATCATGTGATGTCCACTGCACCATGCAGTATCTTCCACTCCTTATCACACAGGTTTCCTCTTCCCCTTAGCTTCCTCTAGCCTAGGCCTGATGATGTCACAGAACACAACTATGCAGGCACTTGTGCAAGGTTCTGTCACATTAAACATCTAGTGTGTTTCAGTTCGTACAAACTGTCATAATTATGGCAACAAAATGGAAGCGCTTAGACTTGAGTATAATTGGTCTCTGAAGAGTTATGGAGAAATATGAGAAATGAGACAATTCTAACAAATGGGAATTGCATGAGGGTTACAGTACTAACCACTCCAGAGCTGCTTCCCATATCAGACATCCGTACGCTGTCTGCTCCTTGAGGCAAAGAGACAACAGGTTCTGCATCTTGCAAGAGCCCGTATAAAGGTTGAGCCTCTCCTCGTACATGCTGCCTTTCCCGGTCCTGGGCTATAACACAAGAAACTTAATTCAAGAAAGAAAAATCAAATGATCTCATAACAGTCCTAAAATAAAATCACCTCGGTTATTGAGTTTCATTTTTGTGGAAAAATGTTAAGAAAAATGCCATACATGGCTGATAAACCAAGATAAGATCGGGCTGAATGCTTCATATTCACTTATAAAGCACAGCTCAAACATTAAGAGTCTGTAAGCTTTCACACATAATGACCAGCAGGAAATCACTGTGCTCTGTACTAGTTCCTCTAAATTATATGACATCATTGTGCTTGAACCAGTGTATTCAGATTTCTTGATATCTCAATAAATTTATAGAAACAGCCAGACAACATGGAGGACTGTTCCAGCTTCAGCATTTTTGGAGTTTACAACAAAATATATTATTAAGTTTTCAAATTAAAATAATCACTCTTCACACTGAAATGTCAATGCCAACTTTAATGTTTATGTTGTATCTATTCCCATTCTCTGAAATCCTATTTGTGCTTCTTTCATCAAGGTTACCTGCTCTCTCAGCCATGTAAGTGCGATAATCAGAACATCCTCTTCTTCTTGGTCCAAGTCCTGTGCGACAACCAGCTCCTAAGTCAAGGTCTGGAGAACAATGGCTGACATCCACAGTCTAAATAAAATATATGCATAATTTTATATAATAGGTTCTACATGTTATCAGCTGAAAGTATCTCACAGTGACTTCCAAAAACAGACTTAATTTTAGCAATGCAATGCAATTATAATCTCATGACTGTGGTTGACAAATTTCCATACATGGCACAGTGAGCCATGTCAAATGGGTCCCTTGTCACAATGATAGGGCACATCCTTAGGTTACAGATGGAGGATACAGCCTCAATATATTGAGGGTAGTAATGACCTCATGACAAAGCAATCACATCCCCTAATTTTTTACCATAATTTTCTTTGGAAGAAAGTGGGAGAGGCATTTTATAAAATGTGGTCAATACTGACAAATCAGTCACCTGTGCCCTGCTGAGCAGAATTTCGGACCCTGATGAGTGTCCTGAATCATCTTCCCTTCCTTCCAGGACCTCTGAGTCAATGCATGGATGTTCTATCATCCACGTGGCCAGCTGATTAATAGTGTGAGCTGACATGTCACCAGTACTACCTACAATATAAATAAGCCAGGAAGGGAATTGTAGCATAACAATTCTGGCACTTTTGCTCTGTTATTTCCTCTAGATTTTCAATTCATGAATACTAACTTCTGACACTCACTTATACACAGCAAGGAACAAGCATGGTGGATGAACAGGGGCTTTCAATATAAAATATGATTAAAACTAGTCTATTCTCAAGTCATAATATGACTGTATAACATCTTTTTGGTTTAATTACTCGTATCTCAAGAACTGTAGCTCAGACATTACGCTCAAGATGCATGCAGAAACACATAGGCCATCATGTAAAGCGTTTATTATTGTTGCCCGATTCTAGCCATAAATTAGAATGTCTCAATCAGTTTTAGCAGAACTCCCGAATATCCAGTTTCATGAAAATTAATTCAGCAGTTTTTGTCTTGTTATATGTGGACAGCAGATATGGTGATGCTGACAGGTGAATTCTGGTAACTTTTCATTCTGAATGTGCCAAACAAGTGTCAATTCTGTCTTCATACTAGCAGAATATGCAGTGTGTGTAAGATCTCTCTGTAATAAAATAAAATGAACTGATTCCTTTTGCTGTGAAAATTGACTCTGTTGGAAATGCCATCATAGTAAACTAAGAAGAATAACAATTACGAATTTACCAAATCAAAAAAAAAAAAAGTTTTAACATTAGCTCTACTAACAATTTTAACTTTCATTTCACATTCCATATTTTACCCATCAAACATAAGTGACAATTTAAATAATACTGCACCAACTTATGTAATATCACACACAGAACAAAGAACTTGAAGATGATTACATGATAGTCAAAACATGTTGTTCTGCTAATTTCATGTTTGGCAGAATGATCAAGTAACATAATTAACACTTTGCGGACCAGCAATTTCACTTTTATTGTCTGTGGCTACACTTGTTTGTTGACCCCTGTCACTGCCACTGTCTCAGTTTCACTATACCTCTCACAAGGCACATCAAATAGCTCAGGGGAGAACGAGCAAAATATTTCTTTTTCTCCGAGATATCGCTTCGTCGTCAACTGCTTCTGTTCTTGATTCATATTGCACTAACATCCTGCCTGGTACATAACAGCTTGAAGGGTCAAAGATTATTTTCCTTTGGAGGGGGAACAAAAACAGCGAGGTCAAGTTACTACCCACTAGGCAAACATTCCGGAGTAATATTATGCAGTACTCATTTATTTGGGTGGCGCCAGAGAGATGTATAGTGTGCTGCAACTTATCGTGTTCTAAAAGCCAGTTAACAGGCGAATGGTCCGCCATGTTTAAAAGCGAAAAACCATTTAAAGGGTGCGCGGTCTGCAAAGTGTTAAGAGACTATTACATTCATGTGTTACATTATAAGTGACCATTAACTGTATTCTACTTTATTATTCAGAATCATCCAACAGAATACAAAGAAGCTTGAACATGTTTAAAATGTTAATATCTGCATATCTCTACTTTTAACACTTACCTGTGACATTGATGGCTTTCTGAACATGCTTAAGGGAGAATCCCATCTCCATAAGAGGCGCAGCAATGGGTGGTGGTGGAGGTGAAGGAGTGCGCAAGCGATGAACCCTTAAGAGTGGGGCTGACTGAGGAGTTGGCTTGTTTGATAGTGATGGTGAAGTCAGCTGTGGTGAAGAAAATTCAGAGAAGCTGCAGAGTGCTGCTGCTAAAGGTAAGAATGAAGGTGGAACTAGTGGTGGAATGCGGCGGACAAGGCGAGACAGAGATGAGGATGATGGAGCATGAGGCACTGGTGTGCTCATGGAGTTGTGTGGTGAATGTGGTCCCGTTGAAGTATCCTGCAATAAAAAACAGAAACGCATCAAATTGGGAACTCTAGTATCATATATAATTGTTATAACATTGCTTCATGTAAGACCTAGTTTGTACATGGTCCCTTCAATTTATTACTCACAGTCAACCCCATATACTGCATAGCATAAACTGCAGATAATCATATTTTACGTTCAACAGTGTTTACAACCAACAGTTTCATTCTGAACTACCACTGTACAATGGTACCACAGAGATTATTTGATGAGAGTCCTAACTAGATGCATATCACCACAAAGAAACTGCCGCCATTATTTTATAATTTCATACAAAATTTTCAAAAGAAGGTGGAGAAATATGTTCTAATGCTGAGGATACTAATTTGATTTTAATTATTTTCAGTAAGGCAGATTTTTTAATAAATGAACGTAATTACAAAAATCACCTGTACTGCTTTCATTTTAGGATGCTAAAGAGTAGAAATAATTGTTTTTATACTGGCAACTTTCATATAATTTCAAGACAGATCAGTCTAGGTTCATTATTATTTACACATTACCAAACATAAAGCAATTCGATTCAATATTCCCTTCTTTCCTTCCAAGATCAATGTGTTCAATAAATATGGGAAAATGTGAAAAATTATAACTGTAAGGTAATTTTCTGCGATATTGGTTTGCACTAAATAAATTCTCTAACCACAGAATAAATACAAAAGCACAGAGAATATAAAAGTTGATACATCACCTGAGCATTATCCTGCTGACCAGAATTCACATCATGGACATTGGTCAAGCTCCGTATTTTGGTTTCCGTTTCTTGTATGTGGAAGCCTTCCTCTGCCTTGGCTTGTACATACATAGAATGCAGTACTGTATTGACACGTTCTAGCTCACCCAGACACACAAGTGAACGCAACTTGCACTGCTCAACACTCTTGCTTACCATAAATCTAACATAAAACATTACAAATCAGTACTCTGAAGAAAAAAAATATTAATTTTAAATGAAATTACTATTCACATTTCACTCAGAAACTATAAAAATATGCATCAGAGCATACAATCACTAATGCCTTGCCACTGGTTCTAAAGTTTACAGAAAACATATATCTGGTGCTGTTTTCTGCCATTCACATCACTTTGGAATCTTAATACTTTAAGGGCTTATTCTTCTTTACTGTCCTATTTAAAAATGTGTATCTTAAATTGCTTTTCCATGAATAATCAATCAATTTTCATCAAAATGTATCTGAACATATTACAAACACAGAACACAAATATTGCACTCCCATCATTAAAGGTCTCATTTCTCAAGCACAGGCTAATTCTGGTGCCTTGTCATTATGAGAACTTTAAACTCAGCTAATTTCATGCATAAGATATGTTTCCCCCACTAATTCTCCCTAACACTCTTATAACTAATATAACAAGGAATATTTAAGAGAGACTACATAATTTTGAAGTAGAGGACAGGATTAAGCAAACTGGAACTAGGAATATACCCTACTTTTAGACAGAACAAATTTATTTTAACCTGTTGCAATAATTCCTAGTTGTATCCATTCTTCATCTTTTGCTGCAGATACTATGGAGGCAGTATTAAACACTGGAGAAGAATGTAGCTATGTATTTATCCCGAGGAACTGCGAGCAAATTCAAAGAACTAACAACTACCCCTCTCAGTTACAACACAGTGTTGTCAATCATTGTATGTTCACTGTACAGTGGCTCCTCCTTAGAAATGTAGTGGTAGTAAGCAAAAACCTTGCCTCATAATACGTGTCAGAGCATCACGGAGCTCCGCTTCTTCCAGCAGAAGACAGCTACTGTCCTTAAAAGTGTCATCAGTGCTCCCTTGTTCCTCCCCAGATGCCATTTCTGGTTTCTGTTGCTTCAATTCCCCATCATTAACATTATCCTGCAACAATACAAACAACTGGTATTCATAGTAGACATTGTTTCGATATTGTATCTGAGTTTTCATGTTCAATAAGGCAAGTTTTAACTTTCAGCTTGTTCCTGAAGTGTGCATAATCTATAGTATTTAAAACTGAAATAAAACATTTTGACAAATATATGATATAGTTTTTACAGTTTAACAGCATCCCCCCACCTCCCCACATCCTTCTAAAATTATTACATCCCCCCCCCCTCCAAGGTATTTCCTTACATTCCTTTCCAGTTGCACACCAGTTCTGTTCACATTAATGTTCTCTGTGATAACCACATGATAACTTTTGATAGAGACAAGTATTTTGTGCTGGATGGCATAGGACAGAGGGCAGTTGGAGGAGAATACAACAGTAGACACAGAGGGGAAAGACACGAGCACCACTAGTTTCTTTAAATGGCCTCTGTATAGTTGTGCCTTCTGTCAAAAAATCTTTGATCCCTTACTGTGGCAAGTATTTCTTCACTTTTCAACCATCAAATTTTCAAAAATCCTAACAGTGTGTTTCCTTGTCACCAGGTACCGTTCTATCCTTATACAACTTCCTTCCAAAATCACAGTCCCAGTCTCATCACAATCTACACTTTCCAAAAACATGTCTACCAGCTGAACATATCAGTGATTTTTTGTTTCCTATACCTGTGCACTACTGTGACTGAAGAAGTACACTCAGTGTGTATTTATATGTGCTCTTATATCTGAATGATCCAAAACAACTCCATCCACATACAGCAATAATTATTACTCCTTTACAAGCTTTACATATGCATAAAGGCCCAACTTCTTATATCAACTGGGCCATTTCTCTTCTTGGTCCACTTTCAGTCATCATGAGCTAGTCATTTCTATAAGCCTTCCAATGAACATTTAAGCCCTCTTATTCAAAACAATAATCACAAAATCACAACATTTTTTTTTATTTTGAGCTCTAATATAATACAAATTCGCTTCAAAAGGTGGTACAGCACTTACCAACATAAGCTTCAAATATAAGTACACATTTATATTACATTCCTAATGATGAAGACATCTACTGAACTTCATATTATATCTCTTTATTGAAAGAGAGTTAAAATAACATAAAACCATATAATTTATAAGTGAAGATACCTTTACATTGACGCCAGTAACTTATAAAGGTGGTTTTTACTTATGAATAAAAATCATGTTCCTCGAAGGGGAACAATGCTCAATTATCATTAACTGGTCTGAGACTAATACTCTATGACTACATAAAAGTTACCTTATCTTTGTCAATTCCATCACTTGACTTTTGAGGTACTGCACATGGCACCAACAGAAGTTCTGAATAATGTCCACAACTCAGAAGTGTTGCCAGACACTTCAAAGCTGCCAGTTTAAGAAATGCCAACTGAAGACACACTATCTCACATTCTAATAACTTATGATTGGCAACCCTGGAAAAATATTCACAAAGGGTTAGAATAGCTGCTACAAAAAAAAAATATTAAAAATAGCTTCACTAAAAATAATAAATTTCCAAAATGTGTCCTATAAAAGCAAATCTATAACATTTATTCAAATATTTTTCCACTGAGGATGTCTTATCTTGTTCATTAAGGATGTTTGAGTTTGAGGTATATTATATGGCAGGCATTTGCTATGAAGCTTACATTCAACAATGCATGAAACATTACTTGTCTGCACCAAACACTAAATTTCAGTAAAAACAACTGAGATATATGCATCATCCAAAGTTGTCTCTGACATAGGCCTATTATTGAAGACCTAACCTCTAAGCACAGTGAATGAACAGACAGAACTAAACAAAAAATCCGTGGATTTAGTCCACAAGTGAATTATACCGACCAAGCGACCACCGCTTGTTGGCGAAGTTGGGGCGAACTTAGCAGACAGAGGGTGTCGCGTGGTCAGCACAACAGATCCCCATGGCCATTAATCTCAGTTTTCTAGACCGAACTAACACAACTTTTAACTTGCTAACCTTCCCGGGTAGTCACATTTCTGTCACTTTATGTACAGTTACTGTGTGACTGAGCTCGGAAGATGGATGGTGGTGAAGAGTGGCAAGGAACTAAACTCATAGTAGGTAAAGTATCCCCCCCCCCCATCAGTACTCAGCCAGAGAATAGTGTGCCCTTTAGAGAACACAAGGGCTCATTTTCACAAAATACTATACATTACCTTGATGCAATGGTATCTTTACTGGCAGTGTTTCCAGCATTTTCTCCCTCGACTCTAGCATCTGAACCAGATTGTACCAGTCTCTCTGTACTTCCTCGTCTTTGTGTTACTTCACCAATGATACTTGAGACCATCTCATTGGTGAGGGACTCCACTGTCCTGGCAGCCACATGTTTGCAGGAATCAGCAAGCAACTGTGATTCATGATGTGTTGATGAGCGCCAACTATCTGTTGCAACAGACGAGTGACGACGTCTGAGATCTTGTGGAACTGGTTCTTGATTCACCAGTTCTATTTCTGCAGATGTTAGGTCACACTGTGGAAAATGGAGCTATAACAATGCAGAGTGCAAAGGTTATTAACACAAAATCTGAAATAGGAAGAAGTTCTTACCAGAGTATAAGTCTCTGCCCCCACTGACAGAAGATAATATGTCAAATTGGACACACATAGAAAAGAAGACTAAGCCAGATATTTCTAGCACACTGCAAAATTTCTTTTTTTTTTTTTTTTAATGTTTTACAGAGCAAGGTGATGATTGCAAAAATGTCTTATATGGAGATGATGTGTGTCTATGATAAAGTATCAGGACATTCTCAGTAAATTAATGATTAATTTATACTGAAAATATTTCAATAAAATAAAAACAATCATATTTTCTACCACTCAATCTAACATTATTTTAAAACTGGATAATTTTAAGTCAAATGTGAAAATAAGAAAATGTTTTAACCATAGTACACTTTAATGACAGAAATACAGAGTTTTTTTAACTTTGTTGACTGCTTCATGACTCTGCTCTTCGCGGCAACTGGTGGATCGCTTGCTGCGAGACAAATGTGAATTTTGCCAATGACTCAGCATGCCTAATGGCCGATAACATTTGGAATGAAGGGACCGCTTGACAGCATTATGTTTCACAGTGAGCAGTGATATTCATACATGGGAGTTTATGATTTGTCAGCAGCAGGTAGCAGTTATCAGTTACATTAGCCATTTGTTCTCAGTTACGGTTAGTGAGCAGCGTGGTGAGTCATGGTGCAGTATACGTTAGAGCAACATGTATTTCTGTATGACACCTATGTGAAATATGATCTGCTGCAAAGTATCAGCAAACATTTTAACATAAATTTCATGATGAAAGAGTTCCCCAGCTGACAAGCGATTCACAATTTTGTCAATAAACTTAGAACAAGACTCTTAATAGACAAGAAACAAAAACACAAGCACCGAATGCTTACTGAGGAGAAGTTAGATGACATAGGGGCCAAACTTCAACATACACCTAGAAAATCACTGAAACGTCTAGGTCAAGAGACTGGAGTGTCAAAGTCTAGTGCAAAAATAGCAACATAATTTCTGGAGCTTAGACCCTTTAAAACAACAGTAATCCATGCCTTGCAGCTGTGTGATCCAGCTAGCAGGGTTCATTTTTGCAGTTGGTTCCTACAGTCTGTCGATGAAGAAGAGATCAATCCACAATTGACATTTCTTTTCTGATGAAGTGTGGTTTCAATTGCAGGAATACATAAATACACAAAATAATCACTACTGGAGTCCACAGAACTCACATCCAACCCAAGAAGTCCCACTCCATCCAGTGGAAGTTGGTGTCTGGTGCTGTAAGTACAAGGAGGATTGCTGGACCTGCATTTTTTAATGAAACAATTAATTGCGAAAGATATGTACAGGTCAATCTGGGCCAATTCTTTCCACAGTTAACACAAGGAAAAATACTCTACGCCTGCTTTCAGCAAGATTCAGCTACTGCCCACACTGCATGCAGACTTTGTCCGACATCTTCAGGGACAGAATTATCAGCAGTGTTTGTCCTGCATATTCACCTGATCTTAAATTTCTTTCCTGGGGCTGTTTGAAGGACAAAGTTTACAACAGTAACCCCCAAATACAAAAATACAAATTTAAAAAGACTTTGAAAACATTTCTACTTGAACATTGTTTTTATAGTATAGACGAATTCTTCTTGTTTGGGGATAAATCCTAGTTAACATCAATATTACCAGATAATTCAAGAATAAGTGACTTGTTGAGCTTATACCAGCATGCTATGAATGTATACTGCGCAGTTCTCTTCTGCTTAAAGGAATCAAGACACCATGATGGATGTGATAGAAAGGACATCATGAGATGGAGGGACGTCTACGTAGGCCGCTTAGAGAGAGATTGAGAATACCAGGCCATCAAGAAGGGCACCAATCTGCTGAGAACATTACATTAGCTATCAATATCATTATTCTAAGGCCACGCCATAGCTTAAGCGATTAGTCGCTGGCTTCCCACCACTGTGATCTGAGCAAGTGGGATTTGTGATGGACAAAATGGCGCTGGAGCAGGTTTCCTCCGAGTACTTCGGTTTCCCCTGCCAAGGTTCATTCCATCAAATTCTCCACAAATAAGAATGTAAAAAATTGTAACTATTGTAATTTTAATCTACTTATATATCAAATTGTTAATATTCAGAATTAACCTGACTTGTCATATATCATGTACAATGATCTACAGTGACGAAATAAATCAATCAAACAATCAATCAATCAACCAAATAGAAGAAGAACTGAAAGAAAATGGTCCTAGGCTAACTGCAAATATTCCTGCAGAAAACTTCAGAGAGTAAATCAGAACCTCTTCCACCAGTGCAAGGAGTGTCTACTTGTACAGAGACAGCATTTTTAACACCCTGTGATCTGTGAACAAAGGTAAAAATTTTGCTTCGTTCTGAACATTATCGCACATCAGGTGTGCTGATTTTTCGGCAAAACATTCGTGCCATGCCAGTAATCTGTGAATCAGCCGCCATAAAACGCAGAGCAATGGAACTGGTCATCAAAGTAAAAATCCTCCCTGTATTTTATATATACACAATTGTTTTACATGATGACCTTATTTTAATAAATTTTATTACATGTACTTCATTTTTTTTCATACAACTACCATGGTAACATCTAGCCATGAATGCAAGAAAATCATAGATCATTGTTTATTAATTTTCCAGGGGATGTTAATAAAATTTTCGTTTGGTGACAGGAAAAGTGTTATTTATGGTTAGCAGAGAATTATGAATACATGTAATCCATCCTTCTTTTATCTAATTAAATACTACTCAAATCAAAGAATGTATGTTTACTGACAACATCAACCATTTCACAATTTCAGGCCATCAGCTACAAATGCAGCACAATACATTAACAGATAGTTCTAATATTGTATTTCAGCATCCTGCTAAATTAATGTATTTATATACACACACATACACACACAGATATATATACATATTTGTGTGTGTGTAAAAAATAGTTCTGAGATCACTGAATTAAAGACTCACCTCATCTGTAAGGCCACTAAGCCTAATTATCTGCAGGAATACATCTGGAGTAATGTCTTTCATCTTAGTCGCAATGAAGGGGGGTGGATCACATGGCTCAAGCGTGCTTAGTAAAGCATCACTATTCAAAACACAATACACAAGCTGATTTATCATATTTCAGTATTAAACACATAAAAAATTCAAAACAGGTAATGTAAAATATTAATAGACATAGGCATCTATTGAGTGGAACACACCACACAACATAAAACATAGTTATTGCACATCTGCTTTAGATCTTTTTCTTATACTGATCACTGAAGGAAACAAATGAGAATAAAATAAAATTGTAATCAATATTAAGCAAGGTACATTGAAGTTAAATATAATATTTCTTTCTTCATTATCTAGCAGCAAATCAGAATATCTTACAGAACACCTAATTTTGCAGTTGTCTTAAACATTTGTCACGTGACCACTTCTCACAAAGCCTTTTATTTTTTACACCTTCAATCCCTCCAGGCTATACACTGATGAAGTTCTTAAAACTGGTTACAATATTTAGCTAAATCTCTCTAACATCCATAATCATGTTACCATTTATCATTTGACATTATATAATATTTGAAACAGAAACATTTATTAAATTAGTTAAGAAATTTAATGTAAATCATACTGTAGACAATGTGGGTGATGTTTTGAAGTTCAAAGTGCTGAAAAAACTCAGTTCTTAAATACACTTGATTCAGGTTGAATGAACAAACACTACTAAATTAAGATTCCCTGGTTAATTATATTTTTTATCATGGCTAAACCCTTGACCACAATTTTCATCTGTAAGTAGATCTTTTGAATGCATTTATATTAATTTTCACTTCAAAACATAATCAGTTAACCAATCAACAACAATAGAGCTTACAATGTTCAACACAGTTCACATGTGTAGATCCCTACCAAAAATAAACATAGGGAAACCTCAATAAAGGCAATGACCCATATTTTTGGGTTTTAATATATGGGAGTTCTTCTACGGACAGAAGAGTCTATGGTGTAAGTGTATTATGTTATGTTTCGTTATGACTATAATTTCTTTGTTACATTACAAAGGGATCTGTTAAGCAGTGACCACAGTGTACCAGTATGATGGTTTACTGCAGTAAATATAAAATGTTGCAATATTTTCCTGTCCTCTCATATGTATATTACATAATAATCTTCAGGATATAAAGAAAATGGAAGCATAATATGGAACAAAGAAGCACTCACCTAACACTTGCTTCAGCATCATCCCACTGTACCTTGACAGAAGCTAATCCCTGTTTCAAGGTACCTAACACAACTGCCTTTCGTCCTGAGGGTTTGTGGATGCACTGGCCACCAACATGTAATCCACGGTCTACTCCACCAATCACAGCAAGGGCAGGCCAAACCTAAATAAATATTCCAGTAATGTAGATATGATCAGACCATGCAGAGGAAACAGTGTACTCACATAACAGAATTTCACTGTATCTTTATTGTTAAGTTATCTGGTCTACATGGTCCATTTCTGAAAAAAATTACAGGCATACAAAACCCCCTGATTAAGCACTGAGCCAACAATGACTACCAATCCATTCATGAGCAGGTGCATTAGATTCTGCAACAAGTATTATACATCACATTATCCACAGAATTACTGGGGTTTTGGACTTTTTCCATCATCCGGACTTCTAGATAACAGAGGACACTACGTTTCGGTAACTGGATCTGTTTCCGAAACGTCGTGTCCTCTATTACCTAGAATTCCGGAAGATGGAAAAAGTCCAAAACCCCAGTAATTCTGTGTCATCCATCATCGTCAGAACCCTTTAGAATCTACATCATATTATATTATAAACATATATACCTCTTTACACAGCTGTTCTAAGTTCACTTCCTTTAACCAATCTCCTTCATTCTTTTCTTGATCTCTTGCCAGTTGTCCACCAGTATGCTCATCATTCTTTCCTTGTTCCTTTATGTGGTCTTGTTTACCTTCATGATTTACTGATTCTAAATTTAAAGATGGGGATAAATAAATTATAATGATGTACGACCAAAATACTTTGCTCACTTAAAAATAATCTAACAGTTACTACAAATCTTATGGATATGATGAAATATCCACTAAAGTATTAAAAATGAGTTATTTTTTCATTAGCCCTCCCTTAACTCACATATGCAACAATTCATTATCACAAGGAATTTTCCCAGATTGTTTAAAATACTCAGAAATAAGACTGCTGTTTAGAAAAGGTGATAAATCAAATATTTCCAACTATAGGCCTGTATCACTTTTAACTTTGTTCTCTAAGGTATTAGGAAAAGCTATGAGCATTCAATTGATTGAGTACTTAAATAACAATAACATTTTAGTGAAAGAACAATTTGGTTTTGGAACAAAATCTTCAACAGATGAGGCTATATACAAGTCAGTGAATGAAATCTGTAAGACCTTAAACAGCAAAAGAGGCATTTTTTGTGACCTCCAAAAGGCCATCAATTGTGTTAATCATGACGTTCTGTTGTCAAAATTGGAGTTCTATGGGATAAAAGGTAAAGCTAAACTATGGCTTGAATCGTATTTCAGAAATAGATAACAAAGGCTTTTAATTACAAATATAAATCTTTAATCTCAATGAATTCTCAACATGGCGAAAAATTAGACATGGTATCCCACAAAGTTCAATTCTGGGTCCACTGTTATTTCTCATTTATATAAACGATTTACCCAAAACTATAAACGATAAAACTGTACCTATATTATTTGCAGATGATACTAGTTTGTTAGTTAAAATTCAAACTATGATGATCTCTGTGTAAATATAAACAATGCTTTCCATAGTATAAATGAATGGTTCAAAGTAAACCAACTTTCTATAAATTTTAACAAAACCCACTACATTCAATTTACAGCTAGAAATAATAATCCTAAATCTGAAATAAAAATTGTATATGATAACAAAAAATTACATCTATATCCAATATTAAATTTCTTGTAATATTCAGTGATGACACAATGAGCTGGAAATACCACACTGAGTATATTAGTTCAAAACTAAGTGCAGTCTGCTACATAATAAGATCGCTTAAACCATACACATCCATAAATACCTTAAAAATGGTTTATCACCCTTATTTTAATTCTATTATAAATTATGGTTTACCCTGTTGGGGTAACTCACCCCAAAGTATAAAAATTTTTAGAATGCAAAAGAATATAATTAGAATTGTGTTGGGACGCAGAAGGAGGGATTCGTGCAGGAACTTATTTAGAGAATTGGAAATCTTACCTCTGGCATCTCAGTACATACTATCTCTTATGCTCTTTGTGATAAAAAACAAAATCAAATTCATAGTAAATTCAGAAATTCGTGGAATAAATACCAGACAGCAAAATACTCTACATCAGCCTCTTGTAAATTTGAGTAAATACCAAAAGGGAGTTTACTGTTTAGGAACAAAGGTCTACAATAATCTACCACAACATATTAAGGACATATCAAGTGACACTAAGAGTTCTGAGGTACAATTAAAACAATTTTTATATTTACATTGTTTTTATTCTTTACAGGAATATTTTGGTTATAAATCTTTTTAAGATGCGAGTAGCTGTCTTGCTTTACAATTAAAAGAAGACAAGATTGTCAGTCTGTGTTGCGGTTTTTAGTTGCTTATTTTACATATACACAATCTTTATATCACTGTATACTAGTCTTTATTTCAATTTATTATACTATTAATCTATTAATGACATTGTATTTTAACTATTGAATTTTTAATTAATAGTCTTGTATAAAACTGTACAAACTGTATAAAGTTTGCCGTTACTTTTATTACTAAAATTAACTTATTTATTATATTGCATATGTTTATCAGTATTTATTACAAATGTGTATACTATTGGATGACAACTGTAATTCTTAGTTGTGACTGTAACTAGGACAATCTCCACATCCGCATGAGAATATATTCTTGACAGGATTTATGGAAGGTGAATAAATGAAATGAAAGCTACCCACATATTACAACGCAGGAATGTGATTGATATAATCAATTAACCTATCATAGTGTTTGGCAGAATACATACTTTGAAGATGGATGCTTGGAGATCCTATATGGGCAGCTGGTTCAGGCAGAGTACCTGAGATTTCACTCTTCTCAGGACTATCTGGCAAAAGTTCTTTTATCTGATTCAGTCTCTCCAGCAGACAGTCACTAACCTGCAAAAAGCTCTTATATATTCACATGATTCAATTACATATGTGATAAATGAACCAACATTCTCCCTTCATTCAGGATAATGTGCACACATCAGATCTGTGCCTTGTTTTGTCTGAGTTTAGTGCAATTTATGAGACTGCCATTGACAGTACACACGAAGACACTCACTTTGGCTTCAATGATTTCTGTTACATTTAACATTAGCAATCAGTAAATTTACTGACCAACTTCAGTTTGGAAAACTAAAACAACAAACAACTTTAAGCCCCAAAAAATGATAACTTCTTATTAGATATTAATAAAATTTAATGCGACCGACTACACACAGCCGAGTCTTCACAAGAAACTAACAATTCTCGGCTTTATGGGATCCGAAAAATCATTACCTTTAGCATGACATGATACCATATAGCATGGTTATGGTTTATTGACATTCTGGAGCAATTACACCTTCCCTATTTAGGGCTGAAGAATCAGCCAAGCAAGCTGCAACTTCCTCCAAAAAGTTGGTAAACTTCTACCAGACTACATGGTGACACATCTTAGAAGTTGGTACTTTTCTTCATTGTCACCCCCATGACAGCCTCCAATCTTACATTCATTAACATGTGCAGAAAACCCCACTTTTATAATGTATCTATTTAATAAAATCTAAGACAGAATTACATTCTTGGACCATTCTAGTTATTCATCACTGCCACTCTATTTGATAGAAAAGCTAATTTTTAAGAATATCAGATTAAAACATCTCACTAAGGAAAAACATTTCAGGAAAAAGAAAAAGATTTCTTAACTGGTGATTAATGTAATGAATGTAATTAAAGGGCCCTAAGCTTGACACCCAGTTTTCATGACATAAATTAAAAAAAAGAGAAGCGTATTGTATCAATTGTATTATCAACAGAATAACTTAAGAAAGTCATGAATATTGCAAAATACTGTCACGTGTTGGGTATGTCACGTGACAAATAACTTCACGCCTTTCAGGGATGTAGCGAATATTTACTCTCCTTCACTTTTACACTTATACAATTCACAGTTATACAATATTAGTCTTATACAATCCAGTATCTCAATTGCTGTTCAACTATCTCTTGGCAAATGCTGGGCTCCCACTCTCTTCAACGGCGACTGTCTCAAGACTTCAACTTATACTGAATACTCATACTCAATATTAGTAACCCTCTCTCTAGTAACTGGCTGTCTCTGGTTCAAAATTGACGAATACTCGTTATGTAGCTTCTGCACTGACCACACAGAAAACAGTTACATGATAGCTACCACTGTTGCGTGACGTTGTGTTTACCGATTGCCTAGCAATAGTCGCTGCATGGACTCGCCTGCTGCGTGACGTCACAGCCTAGCGTGGAGAGGTGTTTACCGGGCATTGCATAGTTAAGGGATGAGTGGGGTATGTGACGTCACTCGCACTTCCTGTTGCACAATCCAAGCGTTCACAGAGTTGTCGCCTAGCAACGTGCTGATACAATCCACAACTCTCACGTTGTGCGCGTGCCCCGAGGCTTTTGTGGCTCAACAGTTCCTGCATAGGGACAATACGCCACATTATCTTAAGTCAATGGGTTAAATACAATCTGTATGGTACAAAACCATCTACCTGTCTACTCCAGGTGTCAGTGATGATGAGTTTTCTCAACAGAGATATGTAAGCTTCAGCAAGAACTGCTGGTAATGGGGCACAGTGTGGATCACCAGACAACATATCCCGAGGTGTTCCTCGAACCTGCATGTCCGTCATCTTAACCTGCAATACCACCACCAACCATAATTCAGTACTGTATATTTATTCATATATATTTCCATCTTAAATGCAGACACCAGACAATTAACAACACAACTACTCTGGCAGCATGGAAGAGCCTATAGCCAAAGATAACAAAACTGATAACAACATTACTTCAACAACCTTATGAACTGTACAAATCCCACACATAATACCCATGATGAAAAGGGAATGCTTCACAATAATTACTGGGCTGTTAATTAATTTTAATTCAATTTAAGGTCAATTTATTTTAATTAGGAAACATCGTGTTCACATGCAATACATAAATTTGACACAGTGAAACAATTTTAACAAGAAAGAAGAAAACCTGAAGACTGCCGTATACAGCAGAAGAAGGATGACTTGAGAATACATTGCGTTTAAGATGGAAATATATGTGAAATAAATGATATATTAATGCAACAGGATGCTTAAGTATAATATCAGCATTACAAATTTAAAGCAAAGCAAAATGGTTTACTTTTAGTGGAACACATACTGTAAATTGATCTGTGAGTACAGCCAAGATACAAATATGCTGTGACAATGCACAAGTCTGATGAATATACTGCACACATACGTCATAACACTGCAGAATTGTATAGTTTATAAAAAAAACCTCATTATATTCATTGTTAATATCACTCACCTTCCCCCACCCCACCACAAGAATGAGATAACTGGTACTGAGAGCAAAATAAAACGCAATATTAAAAGCAATCACATGTTTCATTTTCCTCATCCTTCTTCATTACAGTAGTATTTACCATATGTCTATAATCAATTAATTTTATAAAGTTCATAAGCAGATCTTCTTGCCAGAAATATAAAAATCAAACACAATACATATTCTACAAAATAACAAAATCTGGTATGTTGGTATATCAGGAAAGTGATGTCTCGACATACCTTCTCACCAGGATTGGTACTGTAGAACATGACACACGGATACAGATCAGTAGCATCTACATCTTCAAAAGCAAGCCGTGGTTCATCTCCATTCTTGCCAAAGCTAACTGTCCGAGCATCTAGATCTAGTACGACTGTAATATAGTCTCCCTGAGTGAAACTAGGTAGGCACAATGGTAGTTCTCCATTATGGTATAAGTTACCACTGTAAAAGGAAACAGAATGAATACATTGTCCATCAACATTAAATATCTAAGCATACAAAAATGTTGTCAGAAAGCCTCAAGGGAAGAGTTCATATGGAAGACTTTAATTATTAAGATGGGTGGGTCATACAAAAATAGAAGACAAAGATGTAAACCAGATTCAAATAGCACAGGATATCCAGTGTGAATTTTTAAGAACAAGATTATTAACATTCAGATTCCATATAGGCAGACCATTTTCTGGCCAGTTTAGTAACTCTCAATTTGTGACAGAAGATCTTGCGCTATGGAATCAGTAAATCGACATTATGTACATGGTAAAAAAATATGGTCACCTAGTCATGAATGGTAACAAAATCATTTCTGCTGATGACTAATTTCTCACTCACCATTTTAGAATTGACTACTGGAGCTAGGTGAAACAGCACCACAGGAAGAAATTAATCTTGTGCACCAATTGGTGGTGAGAACCAGAGCAAGGCACCAGAAAATAGTTATCACATTTTTTTACAACCACAATATCTTTCTGGTTACGATATTTTCAAAAATCTGTCTAACCCTGATTATATGCATACAAAAGTAAAGTGCTTTAAATATCCATTTACAAGTTAATTTGACTGCTCCTTGTTGGAACTATTAGGTGACTTATGCTGCCTTTCTGTTTACACTAGTATATCTTGTTTCATTTAAAACAAAAGACTCTAATCTTAGTTCAATACCAATCTTGACTTCCCAGCATGAGTCAAGATCATTCTATTTCAAGATGCAAATAAACCATGACTAGCCTATTTATCTGGAGGTAGTGTCAGCCTACGTTATTATCATACCTATATGCTCTGTAAAGCCACATATCAGTTGTTGTACGATGGCTGTAGTCCTTTATAGGAAAGCGTGCAACACCCACACAAGTACCCTCATTGCCCTTGTTTTCTTTCACAATGAGAAACTTCCACTGGTAGCAACCTGAGTACAAAAGCAAAGCATGATAACACATGAAAAGCATTACTTAAAATCTTGAATACCATGACACCAGTATATTTCAAGCATTTTAGTAACCTGAAGTTATTCCTGTGTTTCCCAGTCCATAACCTCTGCCCCCTGGTCCATGCACAAGGGTTTGGCTACCTTCCACAGTACAACACAGACACTTTTCAGGATCAAACCCCATCTCCTGCACTGGAATGTTCTCTTCACACTGCTCACTATCTAGCCATATGTCACCTGCCAACATAAAAACAATAAAATTCTCTATATGTTGTACTATACATCTTTTTTGGTCAAAAATGTTTCTTTCAGCTTTGTTTAACATTCTGTATGTCAAGCAGATTTATAAGCCACTATAAGATATGACAAAAAACTTACATGGATCTGAATTCACAGTTGTGAAATCCAAGCTTCAGTTTGAGCATGTGGTTGATTCACCATTTTCTTTTATATATACAGAATAATGCCTTATACGTTAAAGTGGCAATTAATGTACCCTACTTAAATGATCTTACACCAGTATGCAAAACCTAACCACTGAGAACCAATGCCATTACTGAACCAACTGCAAATAATAAAAGCAATGTGATATCTCTCAGATGATATCCTCTTTTGTAAACCTCATGCAAGTTAAAGATTTTCGGTACTGTACATGGACTGTTCAGGTGGTACAATTTCTTTTGCAGCTCCCTCTGTTTGATGAGTGCTTGGCGCTCAGCCACTGCTTGAGGAACACTCCACATATTGGCTGCCAGTTGACAGAACAATTCCCGAACAACCTGTAGTTCAAAGAAATTAGCAGCAGAATTCTAGTCATATATCCAGAAATCCAAATTTTGATCATGACTGATTTTGTCACCTCTCCCAAATTATACTATAAACATAATACATTCAAATTTTGTAGTGATAAAGAAATTAATGCATGGATGCATGTGTGAGCATGTGCACATGCACATACACGCACACAAGACAGAAGAATAACATATGGCAGCAGTTTTAATAGTGACTTTTTTTTGTTTATTTTTTTATTGCTAGTGGGGTGGGACTAAGTCCCTCGTGCTGCAGCCACTTCTGGCCTATTATACCAGCCCCAGATGATAGATAAGGGTGATTGTGGAGCAATTGGTAGAATGAAGATTGGCAGGAGAAACCGAAGTACTCGGAGGAAACCTGCCCCAGTGCCACTTTGTCCACCACAAATGCCACTTGACCAGACCCCTGATCAAACCCACTGACCTTACTTTGAGTTTATGTTTACTCTTTTAAAATTCTCTTATTAATGAACCTAACTATACTTTGTTTATTTGTCGGTTTTTTCCTTCTCTCTTTGTGGCCTCTAACTGTCTGGTATGGGTGAAAAAATCAATTTATAATGTGGGGTTCAATATACTTCTGCTAACAGGATGACAATCTAGTCAATGACCAAAAGAACCTACAGGCAAACACAAATTTTGTTGGGGACATGATATTCACCACATTGACACACTTTTTACTTTGTCAGTGGTGTGCAAAAGGAAAACAGAATATTAAAATATATGCAGAAACAAATATCACAATTATGGACTTTTGCATGAGCATATTGCAGTCATAAATGTTGAATAAAAACATTTCTGATGAAAACAAGTTTCCAGGTCCTAAGCCAGTTCATATCTTTATAAGTTCACATCAGAATCACTTTAACACGCTTTCTTCTCAATTCCATCTGACAAAAAGTTACACTTTGTCTCCATGAGACAACAAAATTTACTTCTTGTTTTCGCACATCTGTTTTGTATACAATCTGAAAATGAATTATTGTGTTACTTTCCAAGAACTCTAATTACTTAGTTCCTTAGACCACAGTCCTTACCTGTTCCCTGTGCTCTGTACTAGTGGTGGGGTCCAGACTTGGAAGTACAGACGCTAACAACTGAAGAGCAAGAAGTCTTGGCCTTAAAGCCTGAATTCTGGGTAAAGAAGTGTCATCCCCTGCAAGCTGCTGCCCTAAGATAGTTAGCAGTGTATCTGTCCATTCTCGCCCAGCCAACAATTTCCTTAATATACGGCTTGACGCAATGCGCCTCACAAATACAAGGAAGTCTCCAAGACTACGTTCTGCTGCTCGCAGTTCTCGTTTGCTGATGCAACTATTACTGCCACCAACTCCAACACTTTCACCCACATCACTTTTGGTATCAGCTGATATGCATGACACATATGTTGACATCAATATACGTTCCAATTGTGAATGAATCAATGATACAACACTTTCAATCACAGCAACATCTAAATGATGAGCATACATCCTGAAACAGTCATGTAATTTTCCTCACAGATTAAGAAGACAAAAAGTTATGCAGGATTCTACAGAAAATATGGTAAAAACTTTTGCACAAAAAAATGCACAAGATCCATCCTCTTTCAAAGCACTACACTCTTGTTCATATGGAAGGTATAAAACAGTGCAACCACTATCAGCAATTAACTATGCATTCAAAAGAATGTGAGCTATTGATTTCTCTTAATTTTAATTGTAAAATAAACTACATGTGTGAACACTCACTCACTCACACAATCAATTTTCACATGTTACACTATTTCCAATATCTGAACTTCACATTTTTCAGTATCATGATTTTGTTCCATATCCTAATGATGAGACATGAACACATACTTAAGCTCTCTCCATACTTACTTCTAGTTACTACTGCCTAAAGCTTTCTGTGGTTTTCTTGCTGTTATTTACATTTCCACCTATTAAACTAACATCATCAGCATAAGCCAACAACGGACATGTTCCAATCAATTTATAAATTCATATCCAGCCCAAAAAGAAAATATATGATATCTTTACCAAACAGACAAGTTAAACCTACTTACCCACATGACATAGCAAGAATATGTAGCAGTCGCATGCTAGCCAGGGTAAGCACGGGTGTCCGTCCTTGCAGTTCACAAGGTGAGGTCAGGTAAACAGGACTTGAACACATATTTGCCAGTATTGGCAACAGTTTGCATGACACAGCGAGTGTAATGTCAGCTGGCTGGTAGCGAACACTAAGAGCAAATACCGTTAAAATTTGCAGTTGTTGTGTGCTTCCTGAAATATTGATACAGAAAGTATAATTCTACTACCCTCATACTTTCTGGCTAAGGCACTTCAATTTACCACAATTTCCTGTTTTCAGAGAGATCTGGTGTAAAAACCATGTCATCCAGCATGCTGAATATCATTATACATATTTCATGCCTACTTGGATGATGCATAGAAAGTCAGTCCAAATATGAAAAGATTAAGCTTCTGTTTAGGAAAATAAGATCCTGACAGAGCGCTTAGTAATGAACGCTACCTAACAATTTTAAAATTAAGAAATTTGTCACACAAAATCCTACATTTAGTCAGAGTTAACACTGAACACAAAGAGGGAACAAAAAATATCCCTATAACAGGCCATATAGGTCCGTAGGGTTGTGAGACATCAAGGCTCCCACATTTTCTAGACAATTGGCTAATAGATGACGGTGGGGTTGTCAGCCTTACACGCCGGCTGCCCTTTAGCCCCAAGAAGTTTCCTGGTACTCATTTCTGTTAGAGGCAAAGTCAATCCAAGGGCCATAGTGCGGCTGGAAGGATTAGGTCAATTGAAAAATCCAATGACCTAATCAGGATCCAAACTCACAACCTTCTGGCTAACACATAGCACCTCAACCAACTACACTACTGTGTGCCCCTATAAAGTTGGAATAAAACACAATACATAATGAAATCACACCACAAAACATACGAATAATCTTCAGTACAGTAAAACACATTTTCAATCACCTTATAATTGACAAAATTTAAATGGAGGGTTATTGTCCTAAGTTCAATAGAGTCTTCCTAATGATTAAACAATTGGACCAAAGTAAGTTCTTGGATGGCACTTCTTTTATAACAGGCTCTGCTTGGAACATTCACAATCCAATTTGCACATTTCCAAATATGAGCTGTGTCCAACATGCAGATAAACATAGTTTCCAATCAGATCTCTCCTCTTTCGCTTATTTTATATCAATAGACTGTCTCACCAGTATGAGTGTGCATTTCACTCTGGCCCCTAGCCAGTGAGGAGATGAGTAATGAGTATATACGATGCACAGAAGAGCAAATGTGTGATTGAAGTGACTGTGGTGCAGCTCTCACTGCATCCAAGTAATGGTACAACTGTGTGCATGGGCCTTCTGCTAATGTGCCCAAACCAAAACATCCAGCCAGCAACTGCTGATGCACCTAAATCAAGGAAAATATTAGAAAGAAATCATGGCTTTCCAAACTACAATTCATAAGTGTATTACATGAGCTTCATGCATATTTGAGCTAATAAAATCACTTCTAAATCTACAGCATCTCCAACACGTCCCCATTTTAAGATTTAATCCCTGATATATATATATAAAAAACAAAATTATGTGTCCTTGCTAAAAGGGGTGTGATAGCCCAGTCAGTGTCTGGCTATGGGCTGAAAGACTGTGGGTGAAATCCCCATGGAGGAACTGGAATTTTCTTTATGTAACCATGTAATCGAAGAAAGTCTGAGACCAAACCAGCTTCCTTTTTAATGGTTATTTACGTGTCTTTTCCATGAGTATATAGCTGAAGTGTAAGACTGATTAGGTCCAATATCTTCTACTTTTCCTTGCCAAACTGACTTATCTTGTACCAGGTAACATCCATCATACATAAATTACACTTATGTAATTTACATAAATTACCGAAATACAGGTATTTACCCCGAGTATAAAATATGTAACAAGAATTAATTATGTACCTCAACTGAAGCACACATATCTTCATTCTCTATATAAGAAGTTGTCATATCACAAATTTGTTTATGTTTGATTTTGAAGAAAGTTTCTAAATAACTGAATGTCAGTTTTGTTTATTATTATTATTTTTTGGAAGAAAATTGTTATGTGGCCACAGATGCATGTATAACCCACAGAATAACATAAAGAAATTAAGAATTCATTATATCAAGTAACAATTACCTAGTGAAGAAATAGAAGATGCACATAAAAATAACAAACTTACACAATTCAGCAACAATGTGTTGGGTGCCACTTTCTCTGTTGACTCCTTTTCTGCCTCATCTTTGGAATCTTTCTCAGAACCTGACAGCAATTCTAAGACCTGATTGAGTGCTGACAATCTATGCTGTAAAGATATTCAAATACTACCTATAACTGGTTCTGTAACAGCGAGTTGTAAAAACGTGATAATTTTAGGATGACCATCTTTTGGGATATAACATCATGTAATTTAATATAAAACCATCAACATCTTGGAGGATGCACTGCCTCCATCTTCAAGGTTGAACAATAAGCTCAGCAAGAAGCAAGGAGAGCAAAAACTCTGCACAAAATTCAGGATGTAATACATGCCAACGGGGCATTTAAAGACAGCCAATGGGAGATGACACCTTGAAGATGGAGGCAGTATGTTTCTTCAAAATTGTGGTGAATGTCTATTGAATTACACAGCATTATATACCAGCAGATAACAATCTTCATAGCCACTGTTTGGGAACCTCAAACCTGAGACAACTTTACAAAAAAAAACAGAATAATTAAAAAATTCCAGAGTTCAAAATTCAAGAAAGAAGGGAATGGTGGGTCATCCTATATTCACCTGGGCATGACACATTCAAAATTTCAAAGAAGGATAAAGGACAGAAATTTAAACTGTAACTGACATGAAATTAAACTGTTGTGAATATAATTACTGAAGCTGAGAACTTAAATGTTTCTTTTCATTTCTGTTCTTACGTTGATAAGATTTCATATATTCATTAATATGAAACAACAATACTCCATTTTGGAAATTTTCAATTATAACTGCAGGTCTATTATGCTAATAATGAATATCAGTACCCTCACTGTCATGTATACCTCTGCTCGAATATGTTGGTGAGTCATGGCTGCACAAAGTCTAGTTGGATCACTATTCCAGCCATTCTCTGACTCCGTGCCACAAGGCAGAACTTGTCTCTCTCCTGGTTCAGCACAGACAAACAGCAGAATTGAGCGGCACAGGCGTCGCAAGGAAACAAAGCCACCGTCTTCATCAAGCAGTCTAGAATTAAAAATGACTGAACATATAAAATGGAATACACAAAGAACAAAACACACAAATAAAACAGAAATTCCTTGGAAGAAATTATGATACTTACTTTCTTTAATATGCTCCAATTTATTTACTGAAGCTACAAAAAATTACAAAGTAATAATCACACACCTTAATTTCCACTAGTAAAAATTCTATGTTACACATGTCTGAAGGAACCTTAACATTTTGCATTGTCATTAACTTTATAACTGTTAAGATGTAAAAATGTTTTACAGTGAATTTGCTGGTATGTCTGAGCTATTTCCATATAAAATTTTACATGTCTAGCAACACTGATTCATTTATCACAAAAAAAGAAAAGCCAGAAGGAGGAATCTTCATAGCTACCAAACTATATTTTACAGAAAAGACAGTCCTAACAAAAGCTGCATAATAATCAAAGATCCTGCATTCGAAGGGGTGGCCTCTAATAATATGATATTCATAAAAGTATGGAAAAACATCCATCATAATACCAACAGCCTGTCTTTTCCTAATACAGAAAGCAGGCTTACAAAACAAAGCTCTGTCTATACACATATTTCTTATAAAATTTTGTCACATCTACCTATAGCAGTCTTCAGTTTTGACTGATATCTTATCTGTCTCATCATCAGATCCTTGTTCATCTTCATGCCATGGCTTGTCTGGTCCCTTTACAGCTGCCAGGAGAAAAATGCAGCGATGCAGTACAATATGACACAGATCCTCATAATTATCTATCCCTGCTCTCTGAGATGTACCACCACATTCACTCTGCGTTTCATCTGTAATAAGAGCAAAATGTTATTCAATGGCAACATACAGATACATAAATTAGGTGGATGGTATGGAATACACTTACATGAGCAACAAACGACTGTACCTTTCATCCACAATGACTGTTTCAATGACAAAATTAAAGTATGTTACCAGACTGAAAGTCATTCCGCCTCTTCAGTGAATAAGCTATGTGAATGAATTACCTGGCAGCATCTATCATGAAATTTCTGACATATTCTTCTCCAAATGCTGTTATGGTAATAAAACGAAAGAGGATATAATAGACATGAAAGGGGGGGAAAAAATATCTATAGAGAACTGTGATCATCTGGCAGTACTGAAGTTTAGGATACACACAAAACAACAATTCTGTCAGTTGTCTTGTGTGGGAGCAAGAAACAATCTCATACGTCAAGCAAAGAAATTAAATCACATATGTCTGAAAACAAAATTCTCAGGAAAGAATAAGCTAAAGAAGGAGTGAGTAAGTCAACACAATCATGAACTTCATGATGTATTATACAGAACACATCATATGGTTAGAATGGTGAAATGTATGAAGCTATGAAAGACTGATCACGTGGTTACGATTGACAAGACACAGAATACATACAGAGTTTAACGTGGAAATCCATTGGAAAATGTTCACTCTGAAGTCCAAGAACAAGGGAGGATAATATTAAATTGGATTTTGGAGACTGGTTGTCAGGGTGAGACGTGAGTGAGATTCACTGAGGGCCTTGCTCAATGGTGACATTGGTACATTAAGGTGAGTTGTTTGGTTCTGCTACTGAAGAGTTACAGTTAGTTAGGTAGTAAGTTGGTCAGTCAGATGTAGCAAATTGTTATTGTTCACTGAGTGAAGCAACTTCAGATACTTTTTTACAAGAATCACAATTAGTTAGCCTTCCATTAATGAGCCTGTGGGTTCTTGTTCCAGTAAATGCTTCTCCATTTCTTACCAATTTATAAAAATAAAATGACACTTCATTCACCAAGAAACACAAGTAATGTACAAAGACATTCTGTTCCACAATAATACAGTCCATAAGACCACATTACATCAAATTTCTTTTAGAAGCACAAAGCTTAGAGGCAAATCTGTGATTTGAAAGGAAGCTGGTTAATACTGACACATTACAGAAAGACATGTCGCAGTGGGATCCTATACCAGCAATTTCCAGGCCTGTAAACAATATTCTAATACCTGCATCTTCCACGTGGTCATCTCCTCTGCTACTCTCTTCGTCTCTTTCTCGGCTATGACTCTGGCCATGCAAGAGGACAGAATCATTTATCTCTTCATCAGGAGATGTCTCATGATGACTCCTTGTAGAAAGAATTTTGCGGCGAAGTTGGAATACCATAAAGTAGATTTCCCAGATAGCTGGATGAACACCATTTCTACAAAATAAATATAACATGAGACACATTACATCTTGGAAAATATTTCACTCTGAATAAGGTATCCTGGTTATGAAATTTAATATAATATGCACTATCTTTCTTTCTTCTCTGTAGTATTTCCTAAAATACAAACAGGGAAGATATCTAAACCATACCATCAGCAATCAAAATAGAGTGCTGCCTGTTTCCTAACCATGATTAAGCACTGTGTGGCAATTACTGACATGTTACATTTTGCTATTCTGAAAAAACTGCAAGATCTACAAATTTTAAGCTCAAATTTGGACTGAATACAAACAAAGTTTGCAAATATGAAGATTATATGGATGAAAACTGTGATTGCAAAAGTGTTATCAAAATACTGTATCACATTATTTTTGTACAGTCTGCTGGCACCATTGAGTGTGTGTGTTGCTTTGTTCACCGCTGTAATCCTTAAATAAATGATGCATAAAATTATGACACTCTTCAAATCATGAATAAAGACTACAGATGCAATCTGAAATTTATTTCTTGAGCACAAAAGAGGTAAAACCAGCCAAAGTTTGAGGCAGCATGTTTGTTCAGTATGACAAAGTATACAGTAATAAATGACAATTATATATGTAGAAAAATAAATTTAAAAAGTATTACAAAGAATGTTGAAGATTCCTTGCATCTGGCCAAGCTTATCATACCACAAATTCAGGGAACATTGCAGCTGTGGGTTAACATGTGCCAGAGAATCAGTGTGTTTATAACCAAATAGATAGCTAAGCAATAAGTATCAGTGATGTTTCTGCATATAACACTGTTCATGTACAGTTTGACTATCAAAACATGAGTACCCCCCACTAAGCGAACCCTAAATTTCATGTATCAAAAAGTGAATGTGAATGGAATACATAAAACAATAATTTTTTTTAAATAGCTCAAGAAAATGGAGTGCATATACATACTTGGAATTATACCCTGGTAGAAGTCCAGTGTGTTTAAGTAGAGCAGCTAGGACTACTCTCGTCACACACTCCAGCAGTGGTTCATCTTCCACCTCACATGTGTCCCAATCCTGTGACTGAGCATGTTCAATCATATCTCTGTAGTAACAGAAGTGTTTCCGTGTCTCATCTGTCACTATGTCACTGTCAGTTACACATACTGGTAAGTGTCCTTGGTAGCTAGAATCTTCACCACTGTCTTGCAAAGTTGTTCCTTGCATATTCTCCATTTCTTCCCTAAGATCACCATCTTCCCTGTACACAGGGCTTTGAGCAGCATCAAAAGATTCATGGACCAATGTTGTTCCTTTCTGATGCAAGTTCTGTCTCCATTCATTTCCTGTAGGTTCTGCAACTTCCCATAACTGAGCAGGCAACAGAGCCATTCTAAGATAAATTCTTACATCAGGTATTTCAAGCTTTGCAATTATGCTTTCCAGACGTCGGGAACTGTCACCGTTACAGGTATGTGCTCCAAATGTCAATTCTCTAACCAGTATTACTGCATTAAAAAAGAAAAGTAAATTATTAAAGCACAAGATACAAAAAAAAAACATAGTATTTATGTGCTTACCATTGCATTATGGTTTGAATTATAAAAAATAAAAGATATCTACAACGTCTTTAGGGGAAAGAATATTTGTTTTTTGAAGTTTCAAACACTGTACATAATCAAATATACAAAGAAAACTAAAAACTGTTTAAAATTTAAAATGTAGGCATATCCTACAGATATTAAACCAGCTATATTACCTGGATCATTACTATGTTTCTCCAGACCATGTGAAAACAATGTGCTGCTTAACCAATGTCTGGTTTCCCTCTCTTCTTCTGACAGTGGGGATCCAATCAACATGCCCCCAAGGCATTTACCAACCAATAAACTGCAGGTCCTCTCTACATCCACTAGCCACAGCCAAGAATGTTCTGCCATGTCATTAGGTGTCGGTGTATTTGCTTCTAAGAGAACACATAAAGCAGTCCTGTGACAGTGTTGCAGAACATGAAATGGACATGTTTTCAGATGAACCAGACGCAGTAACTGATTCAATGATTCAGTTACATAGGTACTTAAAGACATTAATGCTAGTCATATACTGTTGTTCCCTTTATGTAGGAAAATAATGAAATCAATGTAGCTAATTCACCGCATCTGATCTGCTTAAAAAATTTCAAAGCACAGCCCATATAGGTTCTGATGATTTAACTCTTGAAAACAAGTGTAATTCTTTTGATTTGTCTCATTCTGGTCCGTCACACTGTAAGTTATCTATTTTGTAATTCTTTCATATGTTCAAAACACACAGTTCCAAAATAATTCTATCTCTACCAAATCTTTGAAAAAAAAAAAGACATAATATATACAGTATAGTTATACAGGGAGATCGAGAAGTTGCACACACTAAGCAATTATATTTTGATGGTTTAATGCAAAAACTACAAGACATACAGCACTTACTATTAATGTTTATAACCTTATATTTTAGAAATGCAAAATCAAATCATGTCTTTACAACATATGCTCAATATGGCTTCCCCATTCAGCAATACATGCGCAAGCTCTTTTTACCATGTCTGAGGCCACTTTGTGGAGCACCTGTAAACTGATGCTGTGAATCACCATCGTAATGTTCCTCTTGAGGTCATCCAGTGTATGCAGATTGTTTTTAAAGACAATTCATTTGAGGTACCCCCAAAGGAAAAAATCTCCAGGTGACAAATCGGGCGAGCGTGGGGTCCACAATCCTTTCGAAATGAGACGGTCACCGAAATACTTGCGCAAGAACTGTATGGTTTCATTAGATGTGTGACATGTGGCACCATCTTGCTGCAACCAACACTCACATTCATCAACTTCAAGAAGCGCAATAAACTGTGTAATGATGTCTTGGTACACTGGACTGTTCACTGTTGTTTCACACAAAATTGGGCCCACTATTCGATGACATGATACAGCACACCACACTCCAATTTTCTAACAGCGCAAGGGATTTTCATGTAACACATGTGAATTTTCAGATGACCAAATCATATTGATTTGACTGTTTACATAGCCACTAAGGTGAAACCAAGCTTCATCACTGAAGAACGACTGACGAAATAATGTTCCACAATGAAAACTCGTTCTTTGGAAAATGACATGTCTGTCATGCAATAAACAAAGTTATACTGCAGACGTTGTATGACCGATAACGACAGATGGCATTTCTACTCATTAGCACTCCTACAGTACCATCTAGTGGTAGGAGATATAATTATATTAACTGCAATACAATTTATGACAACTTTCAGTTTGATGTGCACAACATTTTGATCTCCCTGTACAAATACAATCTTAAGAATTAATGAGTGTAACGACCACCCTGTGTTCTATACTCCAATGCTACAAAAATGGGAGAGAGAGAAAGTGAAGGAAATGAAATTATTGACAGGTCTAAATATTAACACAGCTCTTTAGTTAAAAAAAGTTAAAGTTGTCCCTGTGCTTAACTAATGAAACACTATGCCATGAAGGCATAGGGGGGAGTGGATCTATACAGTTCTGTAGTACTATGAGTTAAAATACTTATGCTCATAATAAAATAAGTTTTCTTAGGTTAATAATGAAAAGAAAAAATTCTGCTTAAATAATATGCTGGTAAATCCCCTGAAATATTTGGTCTATCCCGAGACGTCTGTCCATATCCCCACATCTGTACTTAAAAGCAGATGAATACATGGACTTCAACAGGGAAATGCGAGTATCTAGCAGATTTATACAACAACAACAAGTTATATACGAGTAGATATCACAATGAACACCTACCTGAGGAAGAGTCACTTTCTTGTTCACAGTGCACACCTTCCGGCAGAAGCCTGTTAAGACAGTCCAGTGGTGCCAGGATACCCAACAAATGAAACAGGAGAGGCTGCACACAAGTAACAGGCAGAAGAAGCAGTGAGTGCAGTACCTTGGATAACATGGCCCCTGACAAAGACTGATGCAAGATACCTGCAAGAGCAGCAAGAAGAGGTTTGTTATGTATTATATAAAAATTTACATGGTTATCACTCTACTGATTTCTATCCTTGAGACACAGTTTCAGTATCTACTATGATGTATTCTTTGCATACATGCACACAGATACCATACAGCAATTTATCCATCCAGATGTTTCAACTCAAGAACCAACGACCAGATTTTGAAAAAAGCTTATGTAAATATTATGCCACCACACGTAACCACTAACTTAAATTTCTTACTTTCTCACAATTCATAATAATAATACAGCAGCTACAGAAACTTGTGAGGTGGAAGTGACACCAAGTATTTGACTGGTCAAGAAATTTTCTGAAGTTTAGTCCTTATGATCACAAAAGCCTATCACTGGACCCTATCCTGAACTACTTCAATACAGTTCTGCTACATTATCATCTCATCTAGGCCTCCTAGATCACAAAGTTCTCTCTTCTCTTGAGATTACAAACCAAAATTTCCAAAATGATGATCACAGATTGTCCAAAGAATTATATTCAGTGGAATATGGTCAGATAAATAAAAAGGCTGACTCCATTTCTAAGAATTTTATTCACCTTGTTTCTGATGACAGAACAGTTGTGCATACCATCTTAAGCTACACCTGTAGTATTCAAAATAAATCTTTTCCCTTTATTACTCACTTCTACCAGCAATTAAATGGGCTGTCAATTCTAGCCTCTTAAGAACTAATGTCTCACATAGCTATTTTTCATATCATCAATAAAACAGTGTCCATAAAGTCCACTGTTCAGTGCTAGAAACAGAGGGAGGTCAGACAAAAGAATACCAGAAAGTTTGTACATACAATAATCAACATGTCTTCAAATTAAATGCCCTGTTTTCTGCATCATGGAATCTAGCACTGATATCTTACAAAGAGAGCTGTGACTTTTGAGACCAACATTTCAAATAAAAATCTTCAGATATAATTCACTATATTTCAGCATCAACATTAGTATGTTGCTACCTGCTGCACAAACATGACATTATACCAGGAGACAATCACCATGTATTTCAATTAGATAAGAGAAATAACAGCAGTTAACAAATCACTGATGAACACATCTGCCAGCATTGGTAATGAGCAGAGGTCTCTTGAATATTAATGAGGAGTAACTACAAAACCATTTTAATGATATCATCTCGTGTGACCAATATAGGAACTCACCATAAAGCTGATTGAGACAATTTGGAAAGTTCTGAACAATATGAGCTGCCTTCTTGAGTATATCACATGCCAAAGGTAACAAAATGCTGAGGTGATTCTGTAGTAGTGTAATGCTCAATGCCAGCTGCAACAGAGATAAAATAGTCATCAAGTTCAATTTTATATAACAAACCCTTATTTAATCAAAGTACATTTATAGTTAAATCAAATACAGTGTAATTGGTCATCCTACAACCAGCAATTTTACACCAGAAACCCAGTAATACGAGAAGCAACTGAACATTCACTCAACTGTATGGGAGGTAAACCATAAAAGGTAAAGCTGCCCTGTGCTCAACTAATTAAGCACTATGCCATGAAGGCATATGGAGGACTGGATGTATAGATCCACATTTTCTTGACCTCAACACTAGTTGGTGAGTGGTCAGCTTCATGCCGATGCTGCTTTATCCCTGGGGAAAGAGCCACCGGTACCCATTGGATAGAAGGCTGGTTAGGCCCCAGAACCGGTTTGGACTACATGGAGGGAAGAAAATTCTTGACCCCACCAGGACTCAAACTCCAACCTCTTGGTCGTCCAGCTCATAGCCAGGCACTATACTAACTACACTACCCTGGCTCATACTGTATGTCAGGACACATGTAAATATTCCTCTCTGAATGAACAACCAGCACTTCTATCTCTTTCACATGACCACTACCTATATCCCTCACATAACAGATTCGTTCACTTTGGTAAATCCAAGAATGGATATATGGTTCATTCAGTGTAGCATGTGCAACTATAATGGAGTGTCAGACATACTCACCAGAGGTGAGTCATATGTATTGATACTGCAATAAGCCAACAAATGTGTCTGCAGTGATGACAGCAAGTCATGTAGGTGAGTCACTTGATTGGTTGAATCAGCCAATTCAGCCTGTCCTTTATCAAGATTCTTTTCCAGTTCATTCAAACACTCCTCCTACATTGCAAACAAAAGACTAGGCACAATAACATAAGTGATGCATTATGGTACTTATTGTAAAACCAATAATTAACCATCCGTTTACTACATATGTGTGGCTTCATTTTGGCTTTCGCACCATTTCACTCGGAAGAGCACTGAAATCAGACACAGAATTTTTACAAAAGTTTGAAATTTTTAAGACTATAGTAGCAGTTTGCAGTAGTTAATTCAGGCACAAGATGGGAATATAAAAAAGTATTGTGCAGTTTGCTCCAACAAAGACCTGAAAGGAGGCAGACGAAAAGCATTATTTTGTTGTAACAAGTATCCAAGGATGCCAGGACTCCACCGCAATAAGGGTTTTGCCATATATCATACAGTAAAGAAGTACCATTTGGTATGTAGCTAACAGAAATATATTATATCTGATAAAGTTACTGAAAAAAATATCCCATATTTCCAGTAGAAAATTCTATTTTTTATTACTTTTATGCATAAAGCAATCCGTCACTGACACATGCCTGTTCAATCATATTCTTATCACACATTCTTTATATGTAGTGACTTCATTATTTATTCTTCTGACCTCAGTCTTGAACTTACAAATACCAACAGTTTGCATGGAAACATAGCTTGGAGATAATTACAGCAAATGCTTATACCCCATTTATGTGCACATAATATGAGATGTTTAGAAGTGGCCAAACTCATATTCACTTGTTTTGTTCTCCACCAAATGACAGTAAACAGAATGGCACTATTCACAACATGTGTGGTAACAGCAGTGGTACAGTACATACAAAATATTTCACAGTCAGTATTCAGATAGTAGAATCTCTGCTCCTTTCAGACCATATTTTCATCACGTTCAGCAACGTTTTTTCTTTTTTTCATTTTATGGAAATTATAAAGAAAAACAAACCAGTTCACAATAGTAGTTGCAAATAAACAGTTCAGTGATACAGTATTTAAATGAGACCAGCAGAGAAGAGCAGTGGTACTTAAACTGGACCACAAAGGGTTAGCATGCTGGGTACTACTGACCCACATCTGAAAATGCCATCATCTGCTGCCAGTGCTGGCTTGTTCAAATGTTTTAAACAACGCTATGAATTCTACAGTCTTTAAATGGTGATAGTTTCCAATACACAAACTCAGAACCATCAAATTCTGCATTGGCCAATGCCAACTTGATCTTGCTCCTGTGTCTTCTCCCTGATCACCAACTCCTGGATCATGAGTAATTTTTTATAAAATGCAAAATAAACAATACTTATATTAATAAAAAAAACTGAAAGTAAGCAATTACTTTTAAATTTTTAGTTCACTTTTTTTTTTATTCTTACATGCGTTCCCCACTATACCATAATAAAATTAATTCACTTTCTGTGATTTTGTTTTTATGTGGTGATTTCCTGGAATGCATTATTTGTGGATAATGAGGGATGCCTATATTTCATGTGTAATGCATGCACTTCTCAATTTATTCTTTTAAGACTGTATGATAAAATTCCTTTCTGTAACTAATCAAATTATGCCTAATTTACAAAAGATGAATCCAGATATAAGACCTAAACTAAGAATGTGAAAACATGTTTCTAACAATGCATTTTCTTACATGGAAAGGTGTAGGGTACCTTGCTGTTTATAAACTGAGTGCTGTTTAGAATTATACTTTTCTCTAAAACAAAATCTCAGTCTAAAGGAGTTTTCTTAAAACAGAACTCATAAAAAACTAATAAATAAGTACTGTAACATATACCATCACAGTACAACAGATAGATGCATACCGTGTGGAAACTGAGATTCCGTAACAGGGTCTTCATGAGAGCCTCAGCAAGATGTAGGTCTTGGCTTCCCAACCGATCCTCTGACACTGCAGAGTAACTATAGCCAAGCAATGATGACACATGACTGTGATCCTCAAGGCTTGTTAATATGATACCAAGTAACATTTTCTGCAATAGAAAGCACAGTATTTATGAAGACATGAAAATGCAGTTTAACATTTGTATGTGAATTACCTCTGCCATGCCCTGTATTGTGTTTTTTCTGTCTAGACAGAGTACATTTATTTAATGATTTATTTACAGTTCATTCAATGGCAGTATCAGCTGCTAAAACTTACAATGTCAAGTTATAGGATGATCAGTGAATACTGAACTAAAAAGATGTGCAAGTGGACATGGCCTAATTTTATGTACTGTCATAGCATCTGCCTAGAGACAATGAGGAAAACCATTAAAAAAATTCTTCTGTCAGGATAGCAAGTTTCCAGAACAAACTTCAAACCTAAGATGCCTCAAAATTACTAAACAGTGCTGACCACTTGACTGTGATATTTGGTATCTCACCTGGCCATTGGAGAGGTCAGGTCCTTGTGGAAGTAGTGAATGAAGCAATTCCATCCGCTCCCTCAAGGGAGGAAGCAACATTGGAGCTCCGATAGCAAGTGTTTCACTTACAACAGTTTTCACATTAGAAGGAGTTGGAATATCAACCAACCTAAAGGCAAAGTTTTAACAACTGAGCTCAAAGCAAATACAATACTGTACTATAAATATATACAATTTCCAAAAGAACTGTTTTTCAGCTCAATATTTGTGTGTGCAATATTCTGAATTGTTCACACTGTAACAGTTACAGTTTCAAATCCATAGTATCTTCTGCTCCACAAGCTTCTACTGGTTCAACAATAACAGAATAGCTTGGTACAATAAATTAACTTAACATTTTCATTGCCTCATTTTAAATTGCTTCAGACTATGGATCAAAGTAAGCTGGCATTTTTACATTTATCACAGATTTATCACTGATCTAAAAAACATATTCTGATGGTTGACCACACATATATATGACTACAAAATATTCAGGGATGGTAATGAAAATCAAGTAATGGTTATTGTTTAGCATAATTCTGGTATATATAGAGTCCACTTCCATTACAAACTATCAAACAATCTTGTTTTATAAATTTGGTCACCAATATGTTTGGAAAGACACTCTACAGGTCCAGTCCAGAAGCTTAAAAAGATATTTTAAATTAAACATATGTAAAACGGTGCTTTAAGACCAGATGTACATGAAGACAAATGGGAATTGCAGCTCACCTACAACTATCGCCATTTTTCAGTGCAAAACCAGCTGCTTCCTGAATGTGTGTGTACATCAAGTACAATGTTGCTCTATCAGTTGCTCCGTAGTTCCGCATAGGAAAGAGTGTCTATTCTGAAACTCTCTCTCACAATATGTGACACAACCTAATGTTGATCCGGTGGTTATCTGAGATTGGGTCAAGAAAAGGAAAAAGAATAACCAGAGGAGGAGGTACTGGATTCACCCCTTTTGTACTAAAAACAGTCTTCATGGAAGTAAGAGTCGTTTCAAAGGAACTGAATCAATACCCAAGCCTGTTCAAGTTCTCCTTTACTGACTGATCTAAAAGGACCACTTATTAGGAGTAAAGATATATACTTCTGTGAGGCTGTGCCAATAGAAGACAGACAACTTTTAGGCACAAAAAATGCAGTAAACATAAATAGATACGATAACTGAAAATGAACATATTAGTCCTCAGAAAAAAGAAAGTGAATACAAAAATATTAGAATTGTTGAAAAAGTGACGATTTGAAAATGTTTGAAAGACTCCCATAACTGGGTTTCTTGCTGACTCCATAATCCACAAAGACAGAACTGAGAGCAAGTCGAAAGTAGACATTGAGAGAGGTGAAGTACTCACTGAAAATGCAATGTCTGAAAAGCCAGTGAATAAGGAAGATGCTGCTGAAGGTTCATCTTGTGCTGGTTCTCATATGTTATCAATCGCTGCATAATGCAAATCTTGAATTTTCTTTTCTGCTGGCTTGTCCTGCATCTTACAACAGGTGAGAGACCTGCATCTGGAGTTTTGGAATCAATTTTGTCCACATAAAAGCAGCCAAAGGGTCAGTTGTGATAAGATTTCCTATCCTACAAATACACTACACCATACGATTGCGTGTATTTGTTCAGATATGGTGGAATGGAAATGGAGATGAAGCTGATTTGCAGTTTCCATTTGCCTTCGTGAACACATGACTGAAGTTATATGATATATTTCCTTATGAATTACAAAGTTTACTGAGTTTATTTCCAGTTATGAGATTGACAAAATTTTGTGTCATAAAAAAAGCACTGAAACAAAAACTATATGTGGTCTATCCAAAAAATTTCGAAACTTTTGAAATAGCACACCAACTTGACATCTTAGAAAATGCTGGGTAAGTTGTGCTGCTTACTGGCGTGCTTCCTAATTATCATCTTTTATGTCGCATCATCCTGCTGTCATTACTCATTGCCCTAGAGTTATTTGTTCACATGTGTGTAGAGTGTCTTGCAATATTCAAAATGGCTGATATTCATGAGCAGCGTATTAATATTAAATTTTCCTTCAAACTAGGGAAAACGTTTATGGTGATCAATGCATGAGCCATACACGTTGTTATGAATGGTTTATGTGATTTAAGGACGGTAGGCAGTCAACACATGATGAGCCACGTTTGGAATGGCCCTCAAGGTCATGTGATGACGCTCATGTTGTGCAAGTTCATGAAATCACAAATTCTAATCACTGTTTGCCAGTGTGGGAAACAGCAGAAGAGTGCAATATATTGATAGGATCATGACATTCTTGCGAAAAAATCAGAAATGCATCGAGTTGTTTCAAAGCTTTCCCCACTTCTGACAGGATCAGAGAGACAATCACGGTACCTTCTGTCAAAAACTTTTAGATTACACTAGCGAAGATAAAAACTTTCTGAAAAGAATTATAACTGGTGGTGAAACAGGGATTTATGGACATGATGCAGAAACAAAAATGCTGTCTTCACAATGGGTTGAAAAAAGGAGCGGCAGGTCAGGTCAAAGATGAAAGTCATGTTGATGGTTTTTTTTGGCATAGAGGGTGTTGTGCATCATGAATTCTTACATCAGGGGTTAACAGTAAATCGCTGGTTTTATCCTTAAGTGCTGAAACGTTTAGGAGAAAATATTTAGAGAAAAAAACCTGGTTCCTCCATCATGACAATGCACTGGGTCATGCATTGCCACTGATTCGTGACATTTTGGCCAAAACAAAAACAAATGTGCTCCCTCAGACACCCTACTCACCAAACCTAGTTCAGGCAGACTTTTTCTTATTTCCCAAAGTGAAATTCACTTTGAACAGATGACAACTTCAGACGATTCAAGAGATCTTGGAAAATTCACATACAGAGCTACATGCAATCCTGAAAAAGGTGTACCAGGACTGTTTCCGGAAGTGGCAACGGCATTTGGAGTGGTGCATCAATGCAGAAGGGGAATACTTTGAAGATGATAAGGCTCACTCAGTTGCAGGCATGTCAAAAAAAATTGTAAAAAAAAAATAGTTTTGGAACTTTTTGGAACAGACCACATATAATACTATAAGCAAAAACAAAATCAAAAACTTGTCAGCATATAGAGAGTGAAGAAAAAACACTATACATTTACAGAAGCAGATAGCAGACTAACAAGCAAATGGAACATATTAATTATTAATTCTCAATATTAGCACTACTTCAGTAAAACGTTTTAGTCTATGTAATACTAACTGCACTGCAATAAAAAAGCCTCATGTTTGTGAAATACTTACTTCACAATATTTACTTCAGAGTGTCATATATAGTATTTCAAAACACTGTTTTGAGAAATCAATCCCTGTCTTCTTAAGTCAACATATTAAAAATTGATACCAATGTCATGACTTACAACAAAGAAACATGTCAAAAGAGAAATGTTACAAATGACTGAATATGAAAGCATTTATTTGTAAAAGCAGTGACTTGCTGACCTGAAAAGTAAATGACGAAGTGGTCTGGCCTGGCTACCCAGAACAGATGTGGCAAGGCCTCCAGTGAGTGCCAGTGACAAATGTGCACACAATAACTTCAGACACAGAAGGACAAATTGGTGATGCTCCCTAAAATCATTGAAATAAGAAATACTGATACTTTAACAGTACGTTTAAAATTAATTTTTTTATATTAACAAGAAGTCCTGGGTAGAACTCATAAAGCCTATTTTTCTACTGCATGGACTCCCAGTCCTACATCTCGTGTAGTTAACACTACATATGAGCATCAGCAAAGTAAATTTATAATCCCACATGTAATACAATTTAGTTCACACAGATCTGATGCAACTGTCATTCAGTTTTATTACTTTCTACAAAATTATTACCTTAACAAAATGTACATATTTTTCAAATACCTATAACTATACTACGCTTCAGGACAATGGATTAAATACTGCTAGCCTTCTTCCCATCTTTCGAGTCTGTATGTCTGCCATGATGGTTTTACTAATTGTAGATTACAAACAAAGAAGTTGTGCTAGAATCCAATGACATAACATTTGCATACATTTTTGCAAAAAATTAATCAATTACTTCAAAAGCAAAGAAGGCTAAAAAAGAAAAGTCATATTATAAATGTTAAAATCATACTAATTATTTAACTATTTAAATGGAAAAGTCTAGNCACAGCACTACACTATACACTACGTGTCGGACACAGCCGACCACAAGGTAAGGCCAGCATCAAACATCATTTAATATTCAACGTTAAATATACGATAATAGATATAACCTAACTTAATGCAATATCTTTGCAGCCCACGGAACCCCGTGCTGACGCCTCCCCCATTGGGACTATCCACTAAAAGGAACCTGAATATTTTACTTGGACGGTTTTAAATTTAATTTTAATTAACGACTCGCTTTGCTGGGTGATTTTTTAAAAGCTATTGGGACACCTGCACGCAGGATACTGGATGTTGTTGTGTTTTACGCTCTGATATGTGTAACATCTTCCACAAAAAACTGTATATTGTGATTGCTGAGCAGTGCAAGTGGTTTTATGTTTTTGTGGTGGGTGCCTCTGATGATGGCTCTTTGTGAGCCGAAACATGTAAGGCAAATGTAAAAAATAGTGACAAGAATATACTTTGTTACACTCGACGGAGGTTATATTGATAAGTGGTGAAACTTAGCTATAACCAGCAAGTTTCCCACAGTATGGATAACAGCTCTGTTTTACATAACGTAAACATTAACTTCTAGTTCTGCAAGCAAAGCATCTGACTTGATATGTCTTCTCCACATATCTCACTGGTCCATTCTTGGTGTATAGCCTCACTCTGAATTCTAAGATTATTGTTTAAAGGAAAAAACAAATATTTCCAATTATCCTACAAGTATTCAGATATGAACAATATTACTCATAATTACCCAAATGTTGGAAAAGGTGGTGGACATGAATCCTGATTGAAACCACTGCAATATTTTTCAAGAAAGGAACGTAACAAACAGAATGTGCCTTCTTGGAGGTCCACACAGAAAGGACGATGCCAGGTTACAACTTGTCTGAAAAACAGTAAAATGAATAAGTGTCATTACACATCTGTGTTTCCCAGAATATACATTCACAGTTCTGCTGTAACTGACAAGATCTTGTTGCAATGACTAACCTGTCAGAAGGTAAAGCAGTCCAGAAGACACTGTGTGATGTACCAGCTGATATCTGATTCACAGGCACTCCCTCAAGTCCTAGTACTCTGAGTGGTCGAGTGATAGGACTGGTTGAATGACCCTGGCCACACTGCCCCATGGAATTATTTCCCCAAGCAAATACTTCACTATCATGTGTCAAAGCTAGAACGTGGGAATCTCCTATCGCTACATCAATAATCCTTACTGCTGCCAGGTCTTCTACCAACTGTGGTAACAGAGATGTTGTCTCACCTGCAGAAATGCCCAAGCATGCTCCAAAACCCCACGTATATAACTGCAATGAAAACCACGCAAAATCTGTTAACTTTATCCAAGTCCATACTGTGATCTTCTCAGTTATGATGCCATGCAGTCCAATATATGGGTACCATTTCAATAGAATATAGCCTTAGTGGCCTCCTACTATGTCATATCCCAGAAGATCACAGTAGGCATCTTCACAGCCACGAATTCCAGAATCTCATATTATCTACATCTTATAAACAAATTCACAATATTACATCCACATTCCATTCCACGCCACTCCTTTATACTATACATATTTCATTTCATAAGGTTTTCTCCTTAAATAATGAGACTTAATTTTTTAACCCTCTCCCATATATCAGGATCAGGCATCATGACTAAAATCTCAATTTAACTAATGTGCCACAACTTCTTCTTCAATCTGAAAATCTACATCATCTTTGAAGTATCTCTACCATTCAAGATACTGGAGTACTGCAGTGCAAGAGCAGTTCTATCTTCTGAGATATAATGGCATTCAGAAAGAATGTACCACCTCCATCTGTTCAGCTTGCTGCCTGCTTCATGCTGGCTTCTTGCTCAGCTAACTCCTTGACCAGGAAGATGGACGAGACACATTTCTCCAAAATGTCTGTTTACTTTCATTGGACTAAAGGACATTATGGCCCAGAAGGCAGAACATTTCACCACCAGTGCGGTATGAATCTCCAAGCCAACAAAATTCTGCGCACTTCATTATCAGCCAGACCAATCTAACTGTATTCACATTCTCCCAAACGATTTTGAAATACAGTATATATGTTAGTATTATTATTATTTGCATGTGCAATAAAACGATAAACTGAATTATTATTATCCTCTGAAAATCTATACTTTTCATTTCTTAATTAAATATTTATATGTTTCATTTCTCACTTCTTAATAACACTTAGATTTATGTTAATGAAATTATTATTATTGCTATTATTATCATTTGTTTGTTTACTTTTCTACATTATTGTGTTTTCCCCAGCGCTTGTCTGTAATTCGTCTTTGACTTTATAATGTGTTTGTCTATAATGTAATTACTTTTATCTACACTGTGCTCTGTCTGTAATTGGCCTTGCGGCTGTTGACTCAGCACATAAATAATAAAGAATTGAACTGAATTACATTAAGAAATTATCCCACCTCACTTACTTATAAAACACAAAGTCTACCATCAAAAAACTCAATTAAATGAAACCATCAATGGAATTTAAGTCTCACCTGTCCATTAGTTGTAAGAGCTAAGGAAAACTGGCTGCCCGCTGCCACTTTTCTTATATAAAGGCCCTGCAATGCTTCTATTACTTTTGGCCGTGAAGTTTTCTGTGTGTCACCGTGGCCAAGCTTGCCATTGTCTGCTGAACCAAATGACCACACAGTCTTGCCATCTGCAGATAGTGCTATTGTATGTGCACTTCCACACGCTACTGCACCAACACCACTCAGATCTCGAACTAATGTAGGCATGTTACGCCCATTATAATCTCCATGACCTTAAACAGGAATTGAATTTTGTCAATGTGTAATGTACATCTTAAATCTTAAAAATGAGACTGACTAATGGACACAGTGAAAGATCAAAGAGCTACCTCACAAATTTGTCTCAACATTTCCCCAGTAATTCTCCTCTTTATATATTTCAAAAGGATTCAAAGGCCAGGAAGTATGCTACTTAAAGAAGGTTTCAAGAGGATAATGTCATGTAAAATTGTCAGCATCTTGCATATTTAGTTCAAAACTATTCCACAAGGTGGATATAGGTTTGTACAGTAATAGAACGCACTACGCGGTGAAGTACAAAACTTCTTCAAAGAAATCAAATGAAATACAAATAACATGGGAAGTTCACAGTGGGACAACGAATATACGAAATGATAGCAAGAAACTTCCTCTTTAATTTCATACCAAAGAATTACTTTACATGAAAAACAACAGTTCAAAACAAGAGCTGTAACATAGCACTACACTAAGCGTACAGTGCACCAACCCCGGCGGCATTTGACAGAAACTGCTGGCGTACAGTGCACCAAGGCCGGCACTGAAGGGTTAAGCTATACAGTCATGTTATATTATATTTAATTATTTCTTATGTTAGTGTTACAGCAACTTAATTCAAACATTAACTACCTGACTACCCCAGAAAGTTAATACAACTACGTTCATAAGTGCAAGACCAGAAATTTGTAATGGCACACAAGTAGTAAAACCTACTTTTACACCTTAAGCATGTCTCTGGGATTTCTGTTGCTGAAGACTAGCTATATGGCAATTGACTTCAAATATGGCAACTGTAGAGCCTGTCAAATAGTGTGGAGCTTGATGAGCTGATAACAGAGCCAGAAGTTTACGAATATTACAGTTGTTACCTACAGAGAGCATCATACTATATTACCTAATCGTCCATGGTCCCCTTCACCCCATGTGTACAGTTCACCCTCCTCAGTGATGGCAGCACTGTGTCTGTAGCCAGCATGGATAAACTTCACCACCTTCCCAGATAACGCTCCTCCCACCAGTCGAGGCTGTTTCTGAGTGGTGCAATTTCCATGGCCCAATTTACCATAGTCCCCTACAATGTGGAAATATATTCACTTGGGCATATTAAACAACAGAAAAAATAATTTAAACATAATAATAATAATTATTATTTTATTTAACATTCATCACAGTTACAAATTGTAACTCTCGAACAAGTCACATACATATACAACTTTTCCAGTCTAATTGGCCTCCTGCCCAGTCGATTAAACATCAACATATATCACATAACATAACATTCAATTACAATTAAAATCACACTCTTGGAATAATTAAAACATATTAGGTACAATCAAATTTAGGACTACCTTCAATTACAAAAAACAAGGTCATCTTACTATATATATCTTAATTACCACCATCATATTCTTAAACTTAAAACCTATTATATCAAAATAATCCACAAAAGATAAAATTCAACTTAGATAATGATTAAATAATTTGGAGTGCAATCTCTTTTAAGACTTCCATTTCCTTTATAGGCTGAATCATATTAAAAATCTTCACACATAACAGAAATATATATTGTCACGTGTTGAGTGTATAACACAACAAATAACTTCATGCCGTATCGGATATAGCGAATTTACTGAACACTCGCGCTTACACTTATACAATTCACAGTTTCACAGTTACTGCCATCTGAAGTATCACAATTACTTCTCCTGCTTCCATTCACTCTGGCGAATGCTAGACTGCAACTGACTGGTTACTCTGGTAATTCTCCTGTTATGTAGCTTCCGCACTGACAACACAGAAAACAGTTATGTGACAGCTACCACTGTTGCATAACGTCGTGTTTACAGGCATTGCTGTGGAACGCTTCCAAGAGTTGTTTATTACTGCGTAGTAACCACGGTGTTCCCTGTTATGTCACCGCAGGAGGTGACAGAGTGTTTACTGACCTGTTACCATAGCAGTGGCAGTTGCTCTGATGCTGTTACATCACCGCGGAAGGGGGTGTTTACCAAATGTTGCGCCGTCCACGTCACAATATTAATATCCATTATATACTGTTTTATTTAAAAGGATAATCTCTGCAAAATTACTTATGTAAAACTTGTCAAAAGCAAGAGAAAAAGAGACAAAAATTTAATGCACATAGGTCGAAATTATTGGCAATGAAAGTAACCTATAATTTTCTTCCATGCAGCAGAACCACTCAAGTCTTCTAGGCTAATAAATATCATTGAAACTTAATTACAAAAGTGTAGGCCTACATGCCCATTTTTTAAAAAAGTAGATCCGACTTTAATTAATGTGAAAACAAAAGATGACAAAATACTGAACTAAAGTTGCTTGTACAATACCATCTATCTCTACCTCTGTATTCACATTGTAAATTAAAATCTCGTCATTTCTGGAAGTTAAAAATGTTCATAATATTTTTCTGAAGATACACCACAACATAATAAATCAATCATTAATGTTTTATAATACATACTGTAAAATGTGAAATATCTAACAGAAGATCTCAGAAGTGAAAAAAAGAAAAATAAAAAGAGAAATTATGAATTCCAAGCAAAAATGTTGCCATTTGAACCACATGTGAAAGCCATCCAGCTCATCACATAAAATTCATAACAGAATGATTACCATCACCCCAGCTGAAGACCTTGCCATCATCTGTGAGCGCCAGTGTATGGCCATCACTGCCTTTGGATGAAGACACTTTCTTCACGGTGCCATCAATGACCACTCGCTTGGGCTGTGGCTGGTTGTTAGAGTCTCCCAACCCAAGACGTCCATAGCTTCCTTTACCACACGCACTAAGAGTCCCATTTGTGTGGATAATGAAGGAACAGTATTGGCCAGCTTCTACTTGCTGTGCCTGAGTGAATGCTCTCGCAAGACGTGGCACCAGGATCTTCTCTTGACTTTCTTCTGCAACCTGCAGAAATAGTTGATCTATTATTTATGAATCCAATATAACCTGCTTCTAAAAAACAATAACTTCAAGTCTGGCTCCCATAATAGCATCACTATATTTAATGTCACATTATGTCTCTCTATGATTTCTACTTCCCCTCTACATGGAGTAAGAAGATTAAACACTCAGAGATTTATGGGTTTTCCTTTATGTGCAGAAAAGCAAAAAATGTGTACTAAATGTTATATCTCTTTAAAAAAAGCACCAGCCCTGACTGTTCAAAGTAGTCCAAAATTATCAATTCAGGTTTCTATTTTAAAGAGAGCTGTCAGGAAACAGTTGCATCTAGCAGTACTAAAGCACAGGAGGATGTAAAGACAAAACTTCAAAGAGCAGTCTGCAGGACATTACTCAAAGTACTACAAAATAGCTCTGAATATCCATTCCTTTATCTTTATGTGCTGCACAGATACATTTCAATGAAAGATGTATGCTGCCTATAATTCATACTTCCATGATATATGTCCAAACTTGAAATATATCTTTCTTATTATTACAACATAAACCTGTGCAATCCTGATTCATCACTCAATTTTAAGCAGAGAGTTTTGCTGTAGCAAAAACACAGAATTCTTTCTCTGAGCTTCACAGCGTGATGAGATCTCATGTTCCTTGGGACATATGTGCCTGTAGCTGCCCTGCTGAATGTTGACATATTTCCAGAGTGACACAATCAATAGTAAAACCTACTTCAGCAGTTCAGATCTTTAATAATTCCCCATGTTATAGCACAGTTTTGTGTAAACAATTAACTTTCCCATGCAAAAGATGATATAGTATAAGGCACGTCAGCCTTGACAAGGATTAACATTAAAAACTCATGGCAAAAATCAATCCCTACATCAGCAATGGATATAACAAATAAAGTTAGACTAGTACCTTCATTTTCATTGAACTGCTGCTTTGAAAAAAACAGTGTTAGACAAGGGAAACATCTCTTTTTAACACACTACCACAGTCACTAAGTTCGTGGACTGGCAGCAAAGTGTCGTTGCAGTACATCATAGTGGAGAGGTTGAGGCACGATATGATGACCTGCCAGTTCATCTCTCGTCACAGCAAGAGGCAGTTGTGTGCAAACAGTGTAAGCAGAACTACTACCTCTATTGTGAACTGCAGTTAAATGCAAGTGGCGGAAATAGAAAATGTGGCTGTTTGAACAACAGGCAAACATCAAATTCTGCCAAAAACTGGGCAAATCCCCTAGCAAAACGGCTGTTGTCGCATGACAATGCCAATTCACATCACTCTGTTCTTGTCCAAGGGTAACTGGCAAGGCAACAGGTCACCGTTTTGCCACACCCTCCTTACTCACCTGATCTTGTACCATGCAATTTCTTTCTCTTTCACTGCTTGAGAGCAAAGCTACGTGGTCGTAGATTTCAGTCATCTGAGGAGGTCATCAATGCCACAAGAGATGCCATACAGGAATTTCCTGCCAATATGTTTCAGCAACGTTTTCGGCAACTATATCAATGTTGGCAGACTTGCATAGTGGCCAACAGCAACTATTTTGAGTGCCAATGTGGATCTGTGTAAGTGTATGTGAATACCTTGTAATATGATGCAATAAAACCACAGTCCACAAACTTAACAACTGTACTACATATATGCAGAAAAAAATTATTACTAAATAATTTAATGGTCACAATTGGCCACGCCATAGCTCAAGCGATTAGTCGCTGGCTTCCCACTGCGGCGGCCCAGGTTCAATCCCGAGTCTGGTCAAGCGGCATTTGTGGTGGACAAAGTGGCACTGGGGCAGGTTTTCTCTGAGTACTTCGGTTTCCCCTGCCAATCCCCATTTCGCCAGTTACTCCACAATCACCCTCACCTATCATCTGGGGCTGGTACAATAGGCCAGAAGTGGCCGCAGTACAAGGGACTTAGTCCCACCCCACTAGCAATAAAAAAAATAATAATTTAATGTCCTTTGTCTCCCTACAAGGAAAGCAAATTAACAGGAGGGACAGGAGCTCAAACCACACGACAATCCATATATACAGGGAATGGACAAATAATGGAAACACTATATATACTGTACACATTTCTTTATTACTATGATGTTGGACCACCTTTTGCCTTCAATACAACCACAAACCTTTTTGCAATGGACTTGTACAAGTTTTATATAGTCTCTAGCTGAATTTTATACCATTTTTCTTGAAGAATATCTTCAAGTTGCTTTAGAGATATTGAAGAGGGAAATCTGTTCCCCACTCCAGTCACAAAAACTGATCAGAGTGGTTCAATGATTTTCAGATCTGGTGATTGTACTGGCCAGAGAAGATACTGAAGTTCACTTTCATGCTGTTCAAAACTGTGACTGAATAGTTCCAACTGTGTGAATGGGGGACTGCTGCCTTGGAAAACTGCATTGTTATTTGGAAATAACGTCTGGATCATGGGATGCACCTGATTACCCAATCTGTCCATGTACTCCCTTGCAGTAATTCGGCTATGAAGAGTGATAATGGGAGCAAGAGCATTCCATGACATTGATGCCCAAACCATCAGAGAACCTCTCCCTTATTTCACTATTGGCACCAAGCAATCTGGATTGTAGGCTTGCTTGGGTGTTTTCCAAATGCAAATTCTTTGTGATGTAGGGATCAACGTGAAGGATGACCCATCTGACCATATAACGCGTGCATTTCCAGTTGTCTGACGTCCAGTTTTTATGGTTGTGACACCACTCTTTGCACATCTGAGCATTACTTTTAATAATCAGAGGTTTAGCAATTGCAGCCCTACCATGGATATTGGATTTGTGATGCTCACACTGGACAGTTTTTGTGGAAACAGGGTCTTCAAGATGAATATTCAGTTCTGCTGTCGCCCACGCTGCAGTAGTGTCAAAACAATTCTTCTCAGTGTACAGAGATCACTTCCTGTCAATACTGATTTTCACCCACTGTTCCTCTGCACTGATGTTGTGTTCCCATGTTCTGGTATGCTAACATTACCTTAGAAACTGTTGGTCTAGAAACACCTAATAATGTGGTAGTTTTTGTCACAGATGCTCAAGATAAGCACACAACAATGATCTGTTCTCTTTCAAAACCAGACAAGCTCCCATTTTAAAATTCTTTCACACAGACTGTCACTCAACATAATCAGTAATTCACTGACATGAGCACTACAGAGTTTAGACAAACAGAAGAATATTCAGTGTTGCCAACTGAAGTTATTTCAATGTAGCCAACACAAACAAATTCTGTCCCTCAATTTCTTAATGTTTTTATTATTTTGTCCACCCCCCATATGCCCTTCCTCTGTAAGAGACAAAGTGTGAGGTGGGAGAGAAAGCCCCCAACCTGCAAATGGTCTCACATACAAAATATGGTGTTGCTTCAGTAACTTGCACAAACATCTGATTTCAGTTGCATGCACAAAACTTCCAGTCACACAAGTGCTTTGCATTTGACAAGAGAACCAGCTAGAAAAATAATTAACTCTAAACAATACTGCTAACACAGTAAATTACTTTCTTACCTGATGTGAGGAATTGCTACCACACACATAGACATCACATTTATCTGCTGCAGTGCTGCTGCATGTTGATGTACCCTGGGATTCACGTCGCTCAGACCCCAGGCAAGATTGTGTGTAATCACATGCCAGGTTGACCAACTGTAAGTTCAACGCTAAAAGCATTTGTGGTCTATGAAATGGAAAGTTTCTATGGCAATTCAAGAAGACTCTATCAGGTCAATTCATGCATGGCTAATCATATTTTTAGATCTCATATCACACACACACAGCAGATATTTTTGAAAAAGTTCTCTTTGCTGTGTTACTTTACACTGTTCTTCCAACACTGTGGAGACATTTCTAATTAATTATGAATAGAGAGCAGTATGAATCAAAAACAGTTTGACTGTAAAGGGCTCAATATGTGTTGATAAAATAATCACATTCTGATGGGTATTAACTACATGGTGCTATTCAAAAGTTCCTGAAATATATTAATAAAAACTATTACGTCTTACTGGATCTTATTCTGCACCATCACCTTCAAAGTAGTCCCCTTGGGAGCGCATTCACCGATCCCAGTGTTTCTGCCACTTTTGAAATGTATCTTGGAAGTCTTTCTTTGTTAGGGTGTTTAGTTTCGTCTGTGCTTCCATTTGAATTTCCTCAACTGTATCAAATCTTCGCCCCTTCAACTTAATTTTCATCTTGGGGAAGAGAAAGAAGTCACATGGAGCTAAGCCTGGCGAGTACAGTGGGTGGGGAACAACTGCCATCTTGTTCTTAGCCAAAAACTCCTGCGCAATGTAAGCCGTTTGCAGTTTTGCGTTGTCATGGTGGAGTACCCAGTCATTCGTGCGCCACTTCTCTGGACATTTTCTCATGTCCTCCCTTAAACGCCTTAGAACATCACAACAGAACTCATTACTGACTGTCTAACCAGGAGGGATGAACTCCTTATGAACAATCCCGTCAATATCAACATGGACTTAAAGTTGCTCTTGACTTGTCAAGCTTACTTATTTGCTGCTAACTTTCAGGGTCGTAGCCATAAACCCAACTTTCGTCACCAGTGATAACCCTGGAAAGAAAGTTTGGATCCTCTTGAAGCTGTTGTTGAAGTTTCCTGAAGACTTCCAAGTGATGCTGCTTCTGTCGTGGCACAAACTTCGCCGCAGTCCTCTTCACGTTCAGTTCCTTTGACAAAATTCGCTGACATGTACCATAACTTATGCCCAAGGTGATACAGAGGTCTTGGATGGTCAGTCTACAATCTTGCAGAATCAGATCCCTAACTTTCACGACATTTTCTGGTGTGGTGCCAGCTGACAGCTGTCCCGAATGATCGTCATCATCAGTCAATCTTCGGCCATTTTTGAAACGCTTATACCAGTCATAAGTTTGTGTCTGGCCTAAACTGTTGTCACAAAAAGCTTGCTTCAACATTTGGTGCAATTCTGCAGCGGTTTTCCCAAGTTTAAAAAAAAACTTTATACAGACACACTGCTCTCTCAAGTCATCCATCGCAAAACCGCTAGCTCACGGAAACACAACAATGGAAATACTTTCACCAACAATAAACCCAACCACTCAACTTGACGCTGCTTGCAACACTGATTCAAGAAGGGTGTGTGGGGAGACACCTAGAGGTATTTCGATGTACTCATAACCATTCACATGCAAAATTCAAATTTGGGGAACTTTTTGATAGCACCATGTATTTCATATTCTTGGTCCAGTGTGTTGCTTTCAATAGGATAACTGTTAATACTAGAAAAGTTGACATCTACTTCTAAAAGTCCATTCTGACTGCTTTTTTTATCTATATATATAAATAACTTGAGTGTTCATTATCCACACTGGAAAGTCATATCGAAATTGCCTACATCCTTGAAGGATCAGGCACAATTTCATCACCTAACATTCTACAGCAATTACAAACTCTAATTTTTCCACTGATTTCATTTAAATATCTTGATCTAATGCTGAAAATAAATACCTCTTCCATCAGGCACATGGCAGCTTGATAGAGTAAGACCTTCCCAGAGTCGTCAGATACTAGGCTGTAACACAGCTTCCCCTCCAGTCCATCACCCCCAGCAGCTGCCCTCATTTTTGACATAGCTTTCAGGAAGACAGAAGATGTTATTTTGGCACCCGTTGTATTCTTGTCATCTCGCTTCCCACATGATGCACACAAAGCCATATCAATCCACTCTAACAAATAGATGAGTGATCCTCTCTGTAGTGCAAGCTCCAGTAGAAGTTCTGAAGCTAGCAGCTGGCCTGAAATTGTTTAAAACCTCCTAAGCTTGCTTCAAATATATGTGATAATGCAGAGCACAAAAATATCTGAACTGCATTTTGTTCAGCTTGGTTGCTGAAGCTGCAAGAAACGAGCCCTCACAGTATTTAACGGTGCTTGAACAAAAAAGTTTCACCACAGCCTACTAGCTCAGACAGGGTTACGCATTTGCGCATATAAAAAAGTGCTCCAGTATCAGGAGCTACCATACACTAGCCCTAGACACCACAATAAAACTTACGAACATTTTACCAAATGCTGCCAGTAGCAGACTAGGCATTACTCTTATGCTAAAGTCTGCAAGTTCCTCCAGCCTCGTGTAGTATGTTCTGCCAGCCAATTTCTGCTTAAGATGAATCATGTGTCTCAGTATACACAAGAATACTGAAAAGGAAGCTATGAAATAAAATGAACAAGGTGATAATAATCTTTAAAAGTATAAAATAAAATGAAAATGAAGTAGCAGGAGCAGTGGCAGAGACAGTGGTGGCTGAGGTGGTGGTGGCGGCAGACAAGGTGGCAGCAGCAGTAGTTGTTGTCAACGAAAATGTTACACTTTTGTCAAAATAAGGAAATTATGAAATCACTTCCATAACAGTCTTACGGAAGAACCATAAACTACATTACAAATCAGTGTGAGAAAACAGAAATGGATGCGATTTTGTATTAGTGGCACCAGCAGAAGTGGAAGTTCATAAGACAACACACACTATTTTAAATGACAGACAACAGACAGACAACACAGTTTCTCACAGATTCCACATAACAGTCATGTTCAGATTTTAAAATAAGTTACATTCTGGTGCTGATATGGTTTGTATACTTCAAACACAAAGTATACCTGCAGAATCGGCTCCAGAAGCAGGCAGTGCTGCATGCCTCAAGAACTGAGTGACCTCCTGCAAACTTTGTGCTCCTAGTGCTGTGATTTGGCTCTCGTTTGACAAGGACAATGGTGGAAGATTCCGCACCACCTCTGATGCTGTGCACAGTACTTCGTTGAACAGAACAGGACTACCTGCATACAACAAGAACAAAACATATATGTGATTTAAGTTCCAATCAAGTGTTAACTCATGAGATGATGCACTTATACCGTAACGCCACTGACTCCTGTTCTAAGGTCCTCTTCTTGTTCTTTCTCGTTTCCACTTCTACCAAACAAACTGAGCCAACTTGTTCTACACCGAAACAAATGTAAAAGTAAGTAAAGTAAAGTAAGTAAGTAAACGTATTCCTGTAACAGGACATGGAGGCCCATAGGGTTGTGAAACGTTGAGGTTCCCACATTTTCTAGACAATCAGCTCATAGATGGCGGCAAGGTTGTCAGCCCTACATGCCAGCCGCCCTTTACTCCCAAGAACATTCCTGGTACTCATTTCTGTTAGAGGCTGAGTCAACCCCAAGGCCAGAGTGCAGCTGGAAGGATTAGTTCAACTGAAAAAAATCTCATGTCCTCATCGGGACTTGAACCCATGACCTTCCGGCTTCTAGCATACTGCCTCAACCAACTATGAAAAAAATGTCAAGATATAATTACAAAATAAATAGTGATGCATAATAAAGCCTTGTTTACATATGGCCATAATTGCACTTTTATATGTTTCCCACAAATTGTTTCATAGATTGTTGAAATTCAGCATAGAAAACTTTCACAAAAACTGTCACGCAATTATGATTCTGACCTATATTTATATAAATGTATTTTTCCACACATCCACAAAACCTTCCACATATTTAATTGGAATTCAACATGTGAGATTTCCATTAATATACTACATTATGGAGTACATACTTCAGTTTTGTTACTTTCATGAAACTACAACAGAGAACTTTTTTTTTTCCCAATAATGGAAAACGACACTTTATTCCACATTAGTCCAGTAACAACCAATCTTCCATCTCCATGGAGTTCTGCTTCAGTTCACATACCACATTTGTGCTCTCAGAATCAGATTACTCAAATACCAAATTTCTTTCATTCTCATTGTTTAACTACCATGTACTTCAGGAAACAGACATGGATAACTACTATATAGTACTACTGCTGCAATCTATGTGGTTCTCCTGAACATGTACAAAAATATCACTTAGGCCACAAAAACTTGGTAAAAAATCCATGATCAAGGATGTGAACAACTTTATACAACATACTTTGTGTCAGAACCAGCAGGTTTTCTTTAGAGGAAAAGAAACATACTGGCACTCGACTTCTGATCCAAGTGCTAAATTTTCAAGCAATCTGGTGTGCATCCGTTATTGCATCAATATGTGGTTGTTTTTCAAGAATGTGGTTAACTTATTTTTAATAACCAAAAGTTTATTTTCACAATTGTGTCAGTAGTGCACACCATAATGTACCGCAAAAAGAATCCACTTTAAAAATAAATCTACATGCCAAGGAACAACCGACGAGAAGTTTAAGTCCCATTGCTTCCGATACAGAAATAAAAAAAAATAAACTGCAAAGTCTGAGTAACAACAAAACAGGTTACTATACCTGGCACAGTATTCTGTTGCCAACTTTGACGCAGCAATGCAAATAAAAGGCTAAGCCCTGTTTTTACTGCCATTTCTACAAGAGCTTGTGATGCTGAACATGTTTTCTCTGGACAACTATCAGAGGTCTCCTGCCTGCTCTCACTGGCATGTGCGCTGGTCTGTGATCTTGCCTGCAAAACCAGAAGCACAACACATATTATTTGCTGAGCATGTTACTGTAGCAGTAATACTCTATACATGCATTTTGGTGGTGTTCAGTTCAAATCCCAGCTGAGACACTGGCTATCTCCTGACTGAGATTTTTTTGGTTTTCCTCAGTCCCCACAGGCAAATGGTGGGATAGGATGGGAAAGTAACTTTATAATGTCACAACTATTTCCTTCCAAATCTTTCTCAATATCCATCAATCGGCCTAAACTTTGACACTATGTAGTCTAGGTACTTGCAATGCTTGAATTATAACCCATAATAAAATACAATGAATTCAAATATCAATACATATCAATGATATCTACTAATAACATCTAGCTTTATCCCATATTGTCGGTATAAAGGCAACTTTAAATAATACTTCTTACAATTTCCTAATACAACAAAATTTATCTTCTCCTTCCATATGAGCATGTAGGATCTTATCTGGCCAGAAGTAACATCACATAAATTTATTTAATAGGCAAACCAATCCCAAATATAATCTAGGACTCTACAGTACGAGATTTGCTTACATTCATTTTTATCTACTAGCAAACGCTTTGACAAAAATGAAACAGTTATAATTTAATTCTTTATTATATGAACCCCTCTTCATAGAACATAAATTCAAATCACACTGTCCTCCATCTGAATGTATCCCCACTCCTACAGGACTAAGTGAAGAAATAAGTACCCAAAGTTTCTCACAATATCACAATAAAAAAATATAAAAATTAATAATTTTGACATAGTTACACTGTTTACCAACAGACTGCTATAATGGTAAAAGCACCAGTAAAACAAACAAGAAGTTCTAAGGACTTATTGCCTACTTTCTTTTGATATGGCATGGCCCACATAGAAAATGAAAGAGTTTTGGGAAGATAACAGACAGCAACATAATCTCATAAGTCTCCTTTTATTTTTTTCAAAATGAGGAAAGTATGTTAAATCATAACCTTCACAGAGAAGAGCCCTTCTTGAGAAACTGACAGTTGCTCAGCTATCATATTTCCCACTTTATACAACCTGAGCTCACACCAGCCTGCCACTGGATCCTATCCTGATAAATGAAGTTAATGTCCTCAAAACTATTAGATCTATTTTATTCTCCCATCTATAACCTAGTGGTGTCTTCCCTTCACATTATACAATTAAGATTTTGTAAATACCATCTTACTGAATTTTAAATTCATAGCTAGATCCAAACACTAAAATTATATCTGCAAACACAATTAATTTACACTTAAAGTCTGCACTTGACTATGTATTCAAAAAGTGTCTAGAATATAAAGTTTACACAAACACTAATGTAGGGATGATAATATAGTAACGAAGAGTAACTGTTTGCCCAGTTGTCCTCATTTATCTCTTTGTTTCTAAGTGCATGGATGGAACTATACAAGGGGATGTACTGTATGACTCCTGGAGTCAGGAACACCATACACCAATTTCTAATCATGCCTGTGTTGACAGGTACTTAATGAACGTCTTTGTAATTTAACATTATAACTTAAAAATGATAACCTTTTACCTTTTCCTTATCATGGTATTTTGTTGATACTGCATGAAATATCCGCTGCAACACCAGCAACCTTTGATGCAAAACAGTTGTAAATGGAGATTCTGCACAAAACGTATGTGCCAATTCCAGCTGTGCTGACAAAAGTGCAGCCACATGATGATCAAGTTCAGCAGCTGATGGAGAATCACATTCAAAATCTGGGAGGGCAGGACCTTGATTCAATGGTGAATTTGTAGCTGGTACAACAATAACCTCCTTGTTTGCTACCAAATGATCATACAGCAATATAACCCCATCTCTCGTAGCAATGTTGTCACAATTTTCTCCTGCCCAAACACTATTCAAATGGTCCTGCCATTTTAATTTAAAGTTAGAAATTGATAACCCTGGCATGATAATCCCGTCACAACTTAAAATTCTCCAATAAATGCATTATACATAATCGGTGCTTAAGCACGTCAACTACTAACAAAATAACATACGTATCACACCCTATTCTTCTAATACTTCGTACCTCCAGAGATCTAAATATGTTCTTCTCAAATTTGTGTAAAAACAACAGTTATTTCGCAATACACAAAACTTACTTCCAGCAATAATTCCGTAACTCACGAAGTGGATCAATATGTGTACAATTTATAACAAGTATAAATAGAAATAACTTACATAAGCGTTACAACTTTCCTAATTACAAATTAAACTTATTTCTAATTATATTTAAATGATGTCCCTTTTATGACAACCTATATTTTCAAGACCAACAGTAATATATTTCGTTTTCATGTAGTGGTAGCATGTCAACCATTGAAAAGAAACGAGACGTCTATTCCCTGTAAAATTTCGAGAGTCCGATCCCTTCGCATTTTCTGCTTGTACCATACATGGCACAATTAAACTTTCAGAGAAACATTCATTTTCATATATATGACCGATGGAGTAATATGTGATATTACAATTCTTCTGTCTGTACGCAGTGATGTGAGTATTTATTGGTTTCCAATTACGAAATAAATTATTTTCACGAATTGTTTCGGACCGCGTTCAAACTTATTCGCTACATCTCTTTCACCGCCTAAAGAGCAACCAATGCTGGACTACACAATTACAAATGTAGATGGCAGTGAAATCCATTTGCCGAGTTTGTTAGGCTTACTCGAAGAACAAACAATGTAACCAACATTTGCGCGTTTTCAATCTACTTACATTTTTTTTTCTTTTGCCAAAATGTATCTTTTCAAACCGTTGTGGGCCAGTAACTGAGGGTATCCATGGTCACAGCTTCTGCTCCAGTTATTCAAGGTTCGTTTTCCATTTTTCCGAAAGATGATACATTTCGCTTCGTCCTACTATCTGTCAACGTTTCTAAGTTACCTTCTGCTTCAAAATATATTAGAATTTTCATTTAAGAGCATGCGCTAATGAGAGGCAACGAAAACGCCCCCTTGTCGGTTACAAATATTATCGTATGTGAGAAACGGTTTCTGTTAATATTCCCCCTCCATTTCCCACTAAAAAAAATGCCTTTCACTCAATATGTCTATTATTTAAACATGAACTAAATAGGTTTCTAAAAAGGAAAAAATTAGACATCAGAATGGATAGAGAATCGCTCTCATAAGCAAAATCTTTTCATTGCGATTCTTAACAGTAGCAATTTTCACTTAATACAAAACATGTTAAGGATATTCAAAATTGTTTTGTGACACCAAAAATCAATTTTCCTTTTCCGTCTTTCGTCGGTGGAACCATTCTGTCTTCAGCGAATACTGAATATATCAAACGTCACAACTAAAAGACACAGATATAAAAGGAAAAGGGAACAAGGAAGTTTCTATTGTTCGCAAAAGAAAAAGTAAAGTGATAAAATTAAAAAAAAAATTGTACCATATACGGTTTTGCTGAGTTAACTGTGTCTGCTTCTCTAACCTCAAATTCGCCTCCTGTCAAACCGGATTGTACGAAACTGTACTGTCATTGTAAAGGAAACACTCACCATATTATTATTTTCTTTAACAATCTATACCCTTCGTCTATGAGTAGACTACCGGAGAAATGAATACGTAAAATTTCAGTGAATTATGAATACATAAGCGATGTTAATTATACTGGCAAGTCGTTTTAGACTGTCTATTGGAAGGATTTGTCTCACATTTAAAATATTCCTCCTCCAATGGCAGGATAAGAGTAATCCAGAAACACAGGACATTTCTTCGGTGATTAATACTGAAAGATTTCCCCACAAATCCCCGAAAATGATCAAGCGTTGTAAAAATGCCCCCATGTTTTAGGATAGCTTTAGGCCTAAGCCTCGGAAGAAAGCTGGGGATAAGGCTAAATGCGTTGGAAGGAAGCAATCTCTCAGCTTTAGACTAAAGATTTTCATATGTCTCTAGTCGAACAATGACACTGTAACTGTTATCCTTTTTCATAATTTCCTCTATTCTCCAATTTATCCATCTAATGCCGGTCTAAATATCATTCTTCAAAACAAGTAAAATTTTTATGGTAAAATTCCCACTTATATAGCGACATAGAAAAGTATTACAACTATAAGTGTTGTATATTTTAGGCATGTTTCTTAAAGGTGACTTTCAAATACATTCGTTATAGGCCTATTTGTGTGGGTCATCTCTGGATTAATACGTAATAATGAAATGTAACATTTCGAACTCCTTTTAATAATGTTACTGAATACGATAGCTTTTATCACCCTGACAATATGGACCACCACTTGACACACATACCATACATAAATGCGGTAACGTGTTATATGTCGTCCATCGCAGAGCAACGAAACAATGGAGATTGTTGAGACCGTTGCGTAGGAATATCCGTAGCAACGAGTGTTCATTGCATAACAACGCTCAGTAAACACCCCTTCCCGCTAAGCTGTGACGTCACGCAACAGGAGATTCCGTGCAGCGACTATTGCTAGTCAATCGGTAAACACGGCGATTACGCAACAGGGAAGCGAGGTGCGTTTTCCACTGTTCGGCTGAGGGTTTATAAGAGAAACTGGAATGACTAAGGAGTTCAGTTGCAGTCTAGCATTCGCAGGAGTTAGTTGAGCATTAGCAGTCGATTTCCAACCTTCGAAGAGAAAAGCTGAGTTTTAGCAGTCAACGAGCAGATCATCAGACGCCTCAACGAGAACTGGGATAGTGCTGAAGATACGTCAAGAGGACGTGATAGGTGATAATAATAGTACTTGAATTATGACTACTGCGGCTAGGCCTACTTTCGAGCCTGCTCGTGGTGGACAGGGTCGTGGAGAGAATGATTTATCTGCGATATCGAGGCAGTACTCGAGTAGAGACTTGCCTTCTCATAACAAACTTAAGTACAGGGAACATGGGCAGGGGACTTCAGAAGAACTGCGCTCTCGAGATTTCCGAAAGGAGTTGGAAGATCGTGAGAAGGGGAAGAGTGGAGCCCGTGAGATGCGCATTCCAGAGACAGTGACACACAAGCGACCCAAATTGGACCAGGTGCCATCTGCCAGCCTGGATGCAGATGATCCAATTGAGGAGGAAAATTCTGATGACCCTGACAGTGATGAAGACATAGGACAGCTTCTGGCAGAGTTGCAACGCATTAAGAAGGAGCGCTCTGTGGAGCAAGCCAAGCATGAAACTGAGAAGCGGCAAGAAGAAGAAAGAATTCGAATGGCAAATATCCTTGGTGGGAATCCATTACTCAACTATGGTACCCAGGTTCAGAAAGGAGACCTAACGGTGAAGCGACGGTGGAATGAGGATGTCCCCTTCAAGAACTGTGCACGATCTGAGCCAGACAAGAAGAAGCAACAAGAATTCATCAATGATTTACTGCGCTCTGAGTTCCACCGCAAATTCATTAAAAAATATGTTAAGTGAGCACTTGCACTTCAAACCTAATAGGCAGATATGCAACGAATAATGGAAATGCTTAAAGAGATGAAGACCGATAGAAATGCCGACCAGGAAGAGGCGGAGGCCAATAGGAAGGCCGACAAAGAAGATTTCCTAGCAAGAATGGACGGCTGGCGAGAAAAGACGGCCAACACGCGACAATACATACATACATGGTACATACATTTACTTCACAGAATGTGGCGATTTTTAAATAAAGCCCATCACACCGTATACATAAGCGAACTTAATGAGCTTGCGTCTTTCAAACCCGCCCACTTGTAAATATGGTGTAATCTTGCTAATTCCACAAAATGTAACTTTAAAGTTAAAATAAAAACCATTTTATTGCCTAAATAATAATAATAACAACAACAAAGCAAAATGTTGTGAGCATTGTACTATAATGTAACGTTATCAGCAATTTATATTTTGCCTATCCTTGTAAATTCACTGTTACCGGTCAATCGGTCAGGAAGTGTTGAAAACCATTTCTTTGATACGTTCAACACATGCAGGCAGACATTGTGGTTACGTACCTACAAACAGACTCTCGTATCCTGTGCGCCAGACTGATGCGGCAACTTCTCCGACACTTCTGCAAGGAGTGTAGTGTACTCAGTCTCATAAGGCGTGATTCCGAAAACGTCATTTACTGGCGGAAATGGTAAGAGTGTGCAAACTGGAAATTATATTTTTTCTGTAAAGTTATTCATGAACACAGTTTCTAACGCTCTCGTTCTATTTATAAACATAATTTAAGTTATTTTCCAAATCGGCCTCTGTAATGCATGTCTTCCCCATTAAATGTGTACCTCTCCATATATGCTTTAAGAAGAAAATAATACTGTTTCCTGTTCACCGTAAGAAGATGAGTTCTTTGAGGTTCCTTCGGCGCTACATTTTAAATTCATACCATCAGTGATTTCAATATGGCGGTTTGAGAATCTTTAAAGATGGGTAATACCAGCGCCATTCAGCGTCAGAATTTCAAAATTGTACCAAAATATTACGTATCACCATCGTTGTCATTATCACCATCCCAACTACAATCATCATCATCATCATCATTATACAGTCTCGATATAATTTTCTAATTCATTAATCGCTTCCGGCACTGAAACTTGAAGCCGATTACTTTACTGTTTCATAAAGTTTTACATTACACTACAGTAAGAGTCATAAGGAGTTTTACTGAGTTATTCATACATGGGTGGGGGTTAATCAGAAATACATACAGAACCTTGGTCAGAAATCCTGAATATTAGATAGACTCGTGAAATCAAGTCGTTAAGAGGAATATAATATTAAAACAAATCTTAAACAAATCGTATGTGGAAGGATGTGCTGGATCCGGCTCACTGTACAGATATACGATGGGCACTTTTCTATAAAAATGTACATTCGGGTTCTATGAAAGTGGATATTATTTTGGCCAGTTGAGAGAATATCACTTTTTGAGGAAATAGTTTGTACGTATTTTACATGCAATCAGTTAAATAAGAATAACATAGCATAGAGAAGAACTGAATGTGGTCTAGTAACCAGAATCCATCGGGAGAGGCTTTAAAAACGAAACATAACCCCAACCCTGTCAGCAGCTCCGTTATAGTGTTCTGTGGCTCGATGAAATGCTCATGAATACATTATTATTGCTGGTGTTCGAAAAGGAAGTGACCGGCAACTGTGTTTTGTTATGTCCCTAAACTTAAAATAATACAGTGCTTGTCCAACCGGCTTTCAGTAAGTTTAATGTTATTAGATCTGATGCAAATTATTTGGCGAAATTAAACTTGTATTTATAATGCACTGTCACTTCGTACGAAGACCCACCTGCAGTTAGTTGTGATCATACCTCAGTAACTTATCCACACCAAGTCAAGAGTCTTTTTTTAGACATGAGTACCTACTAGTTAGTTAGTCATTGGAGAGGGTGGGTTTCCCCATGCACTTAGACCAGTATTGGTCCATTGTGCTTCCCTCTATGATATTCTACCAGTCTCTATACCCTACCGATATTGGTGCGTACCATCAGTCCCGACCGAGCCAGCGAGTTCGGCCTCTACTGGCTTGGCGGTATCTATAATGCTTCCCCCATCTATCAGAGGCGTTAGAGACTACTGTTGGGCGGGAAACGTCCTTGAATTTGGCTCAGTGACCTCCTTTGGTGATATGAGGTTCTTCTACGTGCCGTAAAGCTACGACACGGGACCCACGGCTTAAAGTCCCTCCCGGAGGACTTGTTCCATGAATTTTTCCGCCCTTAAAAATTCCACGACCTCCGCCGGGTTTGAACCCGGGTACCACGAGTCATGAGGTGGGAACGTTACCTCTAGGCTACGGAGGCCGCTTGAGTACCTACTAACTCAGCGAGGCAGCGTTCGCAGTGAGAAGCCAATAATCGCTCAGATAGTCAGGAAATTTTCTGCACTTAAGAAAACCCGAATGTTCAATTGTGTGCTTGCATGATCTCTGATAGTTCGAGGTCTCGTGTTACATTTCGTAATATTCTGTTTTATACAAGTAAAGAGTTCTTAGACACTTCCCAGTCTAGAGCACGGTCATTTATTGGCTACAGAGGATTACTTACTCAGACATTCACGGCTACCCTGAATAGCTGTGAACCAAGATACCTTAGTCGGTATAGCGGCTAAGCTAAAGTTGGGACGAAGATTTGGGTTCGAGTCCAGCAGGAGTAAAAGACTTCTCTCTTCTCCATTACGTGCAGACCGGCTCCGGCGTCCACACAGCCTCCTATACAATGGGTAAATGGAGCTGTTTCCTCAGGAGTAAAGAGGTAGGGGCGTGAATCTGACCACTCACTTCCATCTAGCCGAGGTTAAGAATGGTAGAGCTATATCTCCACTCCCCCGTACGTCTTCATGCCATGGTGTTTAATTAATTGAAGTCTGGGGACAACTTCAACTTACCTTTACTCTCCACAACTGAGATGCGACCTCTACGTTCACAACATGGGGATGCGCCACTCCAAGGAGACCAGACACCAGCTTAGCTCAGTCGTGATTCCACACAGACCCTATGTGCATTAAGGATTCCTAATTTTATAAGGAAATTCGGTTATAAGACTGCATCAGGGCCTCTAGGACACACAGAGCCTCCAATGGGTAATATGGCTCTGCCTTCGGAGATAAAGAAATTGTAATGAGGATCTGACCATTGTTTTCTACAGTGTTGAAGTCTATAATGCTGGGGGCTTCAACCGCCACGCACCTCCATAACACATTTGATCACAGAAGTTATACACATCTGTGTATTCTCAGTGAGTTCTTTCCCCGGGGATAAATGCGCTGTACTAGAGGTGCGAATCTGAGTACTCACGTCCATGTAGTGTGTTCATCTGCCGTGAACAAGAACCACCTTTATCGTGTAAGGTATATAGAGCTGCAGATTCTCTGGAGCTCTTTCCACGGAGGTGCAATGAGTACAGCGTGAAGCTGGCCACACACACTTCCATTTAGGAGTCTGCGATGCGTGGACCTTTACCTCTCCTCCCCCACGTTCAAAGCCTGCATGACGTCCTTAAACACAGAGGAAATACGGACGTAATGATAAATTTCTGTACTTACTGCTATGTAAAAGATAAAGCTGTCCCTGTGCTTAACTAAGCATTACGTCATGAAGACGTATGGGGGAGTGGATGTATAGGCCCACGTTTTCTTGACCTGGGCACTAGTTGCAGCTGAGTGGTCAGCTTCACGCCCAGACTGCTTTACCTCCGGGGAAGAGCCCCCGGTATCCATTGGATAGGAGGTTGGGTGGACCCTAGAGCCGGGCTGGACGAGATGGAGAAGTGAACATTCTTGCCCCCACCGAGACTCGAACTCTGACCCCTTGGTCGTCCAGCCCGTAGACAGTGGCTGAGCTATCCCGGCACCTATTGTAATTTTACAGTTCTAAAATTCAGTAACCAGTACAATACGGTATACTTTTAAGTGCATTTAAGTAGAAATGCTGTTTCGATGGCAAATACTCGTTCAGAAATATTTTCTCAATAGAAACTATGAGGTAGACGACATACGGCAGTTGTAGTAAAATCATGCATAAATCTGTAGTTCTGCGCGACGCGGCTGATACAAGTTTAGATAACTCTGTAGCACCATATAAGGGCAGTGACCTCTCTCAGCCCAGACCTCTCGGAAATCGATTCGTTCATCTCGCTGCAGACACAGGGAGGAAGCTCCGTACTGTTGGGCGTCTTTCCCCATACAAAACTGCGCAAACTCTAACATCCCTCACAACGCTCACAACCAACCCCTCCATTTCTTTTGTTTTTTAATTAAAACTTGTACTTGACCCAAGTCCGCAGTTCTATTCTGGGCGTTAAAATGTTCCCTAACTCAGTCTGTCTGCATTCTGCGCCCGAATCATCATGATCATTAAGTAAACCGATCATCATTATTGAAGCTGTATCTTTAAATATCATTCATTCAAGTGAAAGAACAATGTACTGCCCTCAGCACATTCAAATATGAGCACACGCTGCGATGCCTATTAATTTACTACGAACCATTATATTGCCTCTTAAACCTCTCCAACATATTTTCCCACTCATTCCGTATGAGACAGGCACATTGAGGGATCCTAAATTCACGCAACCCCACTTTGGATGCCATTTTAATTATAATGCCTATAAGGCACAGTGAATATAATTTTTTATTGTTTTAGAAAATTGTTACCTGTCTCTTTGGTCTGTTAGTGCTCAATATTATAAAAAAATGGAAAAATATGACGAAACTTGATTATTAATTAAAGAAAATCTTGGGTTATCCTATAAAGGATCTGTGGGTTTCCCTTTGCCATTCTACCAGTTTATCTACTGTTTAATTATTATCACAGATATAAATGAACTGAGAAAATTTTATGTTTCATAAAAAAACATGTACAGCAATATAATGGCCAGTATACCATTTGGATGAACCGACAACTAATTATGGAACTGCGTCACAATGGGTTGCTCAGTCTTAATTCGCTAAGGATAAACAATACTAACATGGCAGCCATAATAAACTTCCT